AGCAACATGACCCTGCATGAAAGAGCTTCCTGTTAGAACAGCTGGGCAGATGCTGGAAAACTTCAGTGGGGAGAAATCTCACATTCTATGTTTCTTCATGGATTTTTTTAATGGGGGGAGGCGGACAAAGAAGAGCTGATACAGTAATACAATCAACCTCCAGTACCCAACACACACACACACACTTACACACACACACACACACACACACACACACACACACACACAACGTTCACCTCCATAATGGTGCAATGTTGTAACCTAGGATGAGTGCTCCGGTATCTACAAGATGCAAAGAATCTCTCTTTGCATGATGGTCTTCAACCAACCCCCCCCCCCCCCGCCATTCCAGGTGGACCCAAACTCTTCCCATACCCCTGACCTGCCCCCAACAAGGGGTGCGGGACTGTGCCAGACCTGGAATTGCTAGTTATTTTCTCTCTGACTGGAAGAAAATGATACACTTTTTTTAATTGCAGCCATAACCAAGAACGACAACATGGTAAGGAAAAAAGTCACTCACCTACTGTAGGGGCATGAGCAACCCTGTCAGGGTTCTGTTGGTCCTCCCAGCTCTGATTCCTTTCCATCCCTACCTGCCCACTCCACCATCCAGAGTAATATGCAGAGAGGATGAGATGAGCAGGCGGACTAGCATGCATAGTGCCCCAGATAGGCCCCCAGGTCTGGTGGAGAGTAAGAGATGCCAGTGCAAGTCTATGGAAAAAATCTTTAATGCTCATGTTCTCTGTAATATTGGCCTTTCGTCATACATATATTAATATGGAAAGAACTAGATGGCCCTCTAGTCTAGCATACAGTGTATCAAGTGCTCCTTGCCATTACTATTCAGGGAAAGTCACACTGCATTTATTTCAGGGAGCTGTTCCAGTATATGAAGTATCCTTTGAGAATGGAAAACTAATAACATTGATACAGGACAAGTTTCGATATTTTGGCATCCAATTTCAGGAGAAACATTACTGGGTGTCAAAAAGACTGCATGGTGTTGCAAGATCCTTCAGGAATTAAGACTTTTCATCAATGTATTCACACCAATTATTTACGACACTAAAACATAAAGGGGCTGCACAAAAATGTTTTGAAATCTAATTTTTACTTCATTCTATCTATAGATCTATGTTGATGGGTGAGGATGTTCTCTTTTCCTTCAAAGGGCAAGTTTGGGATGGCCTGTTAGCAATGGTGGCATCCTTGGTGGGGGCATAGGAGCAGCAGCAGCAAGAAAAAGCTGGCTAGTAGGTCCCAGAGGCATTGTGGGTACCAGCTACATCCACTACTGAGAGGAGTACTGGGCCAGAGGAGTACTGCACCCTCAAACCAAGCAAAAATAACCTGCAACATTCCCAGTGGTGACAACTTCACGTACCTTGAATTCTTTATATGGGTGTGTTTCATAGTCATTCTTGCTACCATGGTATTCTCCAAGAAATCCTGTTAAGCAATGACCTATCAAGCCATCCAAAGTCTTGGGCCTCCCTCCCGAGTCCTTTTCTTGGACTATACACCTTATTTTCCCTAAATGTTTGGTAGTCTCTTGATACATCCATGGTTGCACTGAAACTACACTAGCTGGATCCCAGCTAGTGGCATGGCATATGACTGCAGGCAAGGGATATCTGGACTCCCCTGGCTTTGTTCCATTTCCACCTTTGGACCACCGTATGAGAGCCAGCACAAGCTTGTTTTGCAAGTATTGCAAAACAACCGTAAGAAAGGAGTGCCACTGAGACAAGAAGCCTGGAGCAAAACTATTGGTGGCTTCGTTTAAATCTATGGAAAATTCAGGCCCTTCCTGCTTTAGGGCTGTTTGTTTAGACATCCAGGTAAACAAAATTAAGAAGCAACAGATGGAACAATTCCCCCTTCAGGGTCTACTAGAATCAAGACCAGCCTTCCCCAGTGGCTGGGGGAGGAAGGAGTTGCACCCCAACCTATCTGGATGGCACCTGGTTAAGGAAGAATGAAAGGCCTCGCATCAGCCACCCACCAACTTCTGTAATAACCCTGTCTCCTTGCCTCTCCCACCTAGCAGATCCCTGATTCATTCCAGCTATCCTCAATACCTGACAGGGTCTGCCCCACTTCTGGGGGGTTTGTGCTGCTGGGTTGTGATGCCCTGTGGCACCTGAGGCTCAGCTTTGACCATTCTATGTTTTCACCTCTAGCCATTTACATCTTCTTCAAGATTCCTTCTTCACAATCCCTCCTCTGGCCTCATTAGCCTTGTTTTCCCCATGTTTCTCTATGACTGGGTTTAGACAGCATGGTAATGCACTGAACTATGGTTACTGACTTGTTGAAATTTGAGTTATGTTGTCTGACCCTAGCTGCACTAATAAGCCATGGTTTTTTTTTAAACTATGAGCTACCCATTAAGAATACCCATGGTTTGCTGTTGGGTTGTCAACTATGGGTTGTTCATCATGATGTTATCCCAGCCAGGCTGAGACAACACAAGAACCCATGTTTCAACAGCAATCCACACTCAACTCATCCTTTATCCTGGTGTGTGGGTTACTGTTTTATCTGAATCTAGTTTGTATCTCAAGGTCCCACAGACTTTGAGAAGTTTTGACCCCATGCAAACTTACAGTTGCCTCCTTTCTTCACAGCATCTGGACTGCTTAGTTCCCTGACCAACATCCTGTGCTACAGCAGCTCAGCCTGTAGTCTGAGGCTTCTCCATCCAAAACATGTAATAAATATTATTTCACATACATATGCACATGGCTAGCTTCAAGATTTTGACAGCCTCTGGGCAAGGTACTCAGTGGCTCCTCTCCCTCAACAAGTATAACTTGTTGAGGGAGAAATAACTAAATACTGTGATTTCCGTATAAATGTGCAAGATAGTATTATTTCACTGTTTCAGCTAAAGGAGAAGACACAGAAGTATGGAAGACACACCACAGGACAAATGGCAATCCTTCTCAGTCACATCTCTGACTGGTCCTAAGCATTTCTTACGTATTTTAAATACGCATGGCACTTTGGGGAAGAGTCACAGACCACAAATATAGCAAAAGAGGAGATAAAATCACAGGTGGGGGACATTTTTGGCTAAAGAGCTGCATTCCCTTTAAGGCAATCAGTTGGAAATGTGGTTGCATGCTAGCAATTGCAGTACTCCGAGCAGTCCTGGGAAAAGCCAAGGCCAAAAGTGACTTCTTTACCCTACACCCACTTTCACTCCCTTCCTGCCTGGGAAGGAAGATCTACCTTGCCAAAAGTCTGAACTGATTCCTTAACAAAGGGGTTTGAAATTGGGCTGAGCTCCTACAGCAGCAGTTTGTTCATCCCTGAAGAAGTAAATGTCACATTTGATACATTTCTTCTCCCATTTGTAAGGAAACGTTCCAATACACAAAGCACAGAAAACAAGTTTCTATCCCCAGCTCTACTAGCAGTCTCTCTAAATGGTTTCAATTTTTTTCGACAACAACTCACATTATCTTACTTCCTTCTAAAGCCAAGACTATTAGGACATCAAATTTAATATCCAAGTTTGTTCAGTTTGTTATCCTGGTATATTCCAAGGTAGGACAAAAATTTCTTGTTGGGGGCATCTCTGCTTAATGGCCGCCTTATAGAACACTTGGCAGGGAAGTACTAGATCCCCCTTCTGCTGGCCGTATTACATCTATTTGCAGTTTCCACAGTCTCCCCCAAATTATCCAATTTTTCTTCAAAACAGAATTCATTTTGACTGCATAAAATGAGTGCCTAACGTGCATCCTTTAAGTGGCAACAACCAGTATCAATTTCATCCCACACAACTTAAGATTTGCCAAACTCAACAGTGCTTTGTGTGAGCTCATGAAAGGTAGTTATAAGGTTCTGAAGCTTTCTTATGTTAGTCCACAAGCATAATGAATTCTGCAACAGCTGCCATATGGTCAGTTGCAAGCTTACCAATTCAGCATTACCAGCTCTCTTCCTGAGGCGTGCTAAGCAAGAACAAAAAGGGACACAGAACACAGTGTATGTAGGATTTCTGTACCCAAGTAGGTACAGTTAAAATTCCAACAACTGCAGCAGTTTCTTCTTGAGTGGAATGGGCACACACTCATCTAGAGAAAGAGTGGGAGAAAGATGCATATCTTGAAAAGGAATGGGAGTTCAAGCTTCTGGTGCAGCCAGCTAGGTAGTATGATCACCGTCCTTGGTTCCAATTCTTACTCTCACCCAAAGCTGGCACTAAAACATGAGCATTACTCCACCCGCAAAGCTAAGGTCCCACATGAGCCACCACACAGAGAAATCCTTATTTGGCAGTCCTGTTCCTTCATTTTAAGAGCAAGATAAAACCCTGGATTTCACCCCTCCCCATAATGCTCTATTTTAAGTTGGTTGGCTAACACTGCTTTAAACATGCATTGTACAAAACTGTAGTGTCTGTTGACTGAAATTAAACCATAAAATAGTTAATAAAACCCTCCATTCAAGGATGGAGGGTATATGGATGCCTCAACTTAGATGGGATGCTATACCGCTGGTAGTGGGGGCAGGAGGGAGGTGGCAGTGTATTCCTCCACCCCACTGTGAATGCTTGCCCTGGGGAGTAGAGCAAGTTTGCATCTTGAAACCTTTGTTTTCTGCTTCCCACCCATGTTCCTAAGGTACAAGCTGTTTTGTTTCTTTTGTTGCCATCAAGAATGGAAACATTAAGCCACTCACACACTGAAGCATGACACACAGCAATGTTATCCATTTAAGGAACCATGGAACGAATTTATCCAGTGTGTAAAAAGACCATATCCAACAACATAACACGCATAAGCAACTGCATTCTTCCATGTGCGATTCTAATGCAGAGGCTGGTGTGTATGCTTGCACAGAAGCTACTGAGTACCCATTAACAAATCTGTGTGAAGATACTCTCAGCCCTTTAGTTCATGGCACTGAATACAATCTCTCTTTCCCCAAACACACTCTACCATCCGCTTTTAAAAGACAGAAACCCCCAACACAAATGCTTGTTTGATGGTTAAAAAAATTCTGGGTTTTTATTGGTTTTTGCTAGATAATACTAAAAAAAAATCCCTCCATTCTGAAAGGCAGGGCTTGAATTATTTAAAATTTGATCCATTTGTTTTTTTTTTTAAAAATGGGGGTTAAGGGGAAAGAGATCATGGCAAAAAAAATCCTTTGAAACCTCACATTTTGTCCAAATCAAAATTTATTTACTCCCCTAAGCATATTTCTAAGGCAAGGGTATTTATGAAGGACAGTCAGAGCAGTCGGCCTGGGAGATACAAACCAAAACAAGCCTGCAACTCGGACCTTTGAGAGTAAGGTGATCAGAACAGTCTAGAATGTATTCTAGAATGTGGCTGAAATCTATAGAAGAGCATTTTGGACAGGAGCAATATCCTTGGACAGCGGGTCATATTCTGCAAGTAATATGACACTACTCTCAGCAGCGAAGATCACTTCCCCCTAGAGCACCAACATTATCATATTGGAATTCTCCAAGGAACAGCTTACAGTGCCCAATCTCAAAGCAAACTGGCATTTCAACATTGACACTTCCATTCATTTGATACAGCTGTGCACCCCTGGAAGGGTTCAAATGCCATGTGATTTGCCATGAGAAAAGTTGATTCAGTAGCAGAAACAAAAATGGCCAATTCAATTCCAAAGGGATTCACTTACATGCTGTGGAGAAGTGTGGCAAAGATCCTAGAGAGGTTCATCTACTGCCCTACCTCTTCAAATCATTTACATCAGAGGAAAGAGGGCCAGCACAGATAGGCTAAGGCTGAACACAGACATGAGTGGACTTGGCCCAAACCTTTTGTCCCTTCTCCAACCCCAGTTTGGGTCACAAAGGGCAAAATACACATTGTTCCTCATAAAATCCATTCAAGCAGTCTTGCCCTACGGGCAGTGCTTTGGCATGGCCAAATAGTACGAGGAGGAGGAAGCTATCAAATCTCCCAGTTTTTATGCCCTTTGAGAACAACAATATTATTCCAGAAGTACCATAGGGTGCTGGCCAGGAACAATTCCACTACAGTGGTATTAAAAGGCCCACATTTATGAAAAACATAACATACAAGTTCAACTTGTGATATGATCATTAGGAGGAAGCCTGCATCCTGTGAGCATCTGTGCGCATAAAAATGCCAACTGCAGAAGACGTGATTGTTAAGCATGGAGATTTACTTTTTTTTCCTGCCATGATCCCAGTTCAGAGTACTGCAAGAAGCAGAAAATACTTAAAGGACATTTTATATATATATATATTTATTATATATATATTTTGAGATAAGAAAAATAAGGCTAATTCAAGCCTTGCCCTGTGCAAACAAAAACCAAAATGAGAGATCGCCAGTCACACAAAGGTCCCGATTACATTACCACAGTCAGCTTGTTATTTTCTGTTCTCTCTCTCTCTCTCTCTCTCTTATTAGAACAAACTGGGGAGCTGAGTTCTCCTCTGGTACAAGAGGAAGGGGGGTGGCATGGAATTGATTTCAATAAAGCTAAAGAAAGATTCTGGGAGGGAGAAAAACCTCAAATACAAGACAGTTGACTGTTCTAGGAGGGGGGAGAAACCTGGTGGGCCAAAAGTAAAGAGTCTGTTAGTCAAGTAATGAATGAGTTTTTAAATTATTCTCTTGTTTTTGAAGTCTAAAGTTCGGAAGCTGTGGGTCCCACCATTACAGGGCCACCACAAAATAGAAGTGAAATCCCCCTGCCCTCCCCTGACCTCTTTTGGAAGAAGTCTGTGTCATCTGCTGCTGCGTGTTCGAAGGGTTCCCCCCCACCCCCACCCCCCGCAGGAGCAATCTGTCGCAACCAGGAAAGGCAGGCAGGACTCAGGACGAGAGGGCGCTTTCCTTCTGTGTTGGCTGGACTTGTGAACGCTGCATCACCTTTTGGCTTTCGACATCTCTAAAATGTTTCTCAACCTGCATGGAGGAAAAGGAGGCAAAGGCGTTAGTGCCAGTCATAATTAACCATGCCACCTGCACGTTCAAGGAACCTAATGGGTGTGTGAGTTTAGCTGCATTTTAGACTGCTGTAAAAAGATCCGCAAAGCAGCTAGAAACTCCCGCAACTGATTGTCTCTGCTGACTACAGGTAGCAGCATCGAAGTGTATTTGAAGGAGACAGGCAAGACACGAACTAGAAAGAGCAAGACTGTTGCCTCAGCCATAGCCAGAGAATGCACTTTCTTCAGTATGACTGCAGGGCAGTCATACTGTTTGGAGCGAACATGGGACAACTGCAAAGACGCTAGCATAATGCTTTGTATCTCAAAGGAACATATCACAGGCACATGCCTTTCAAATGGAACATGACAGAACTGTACACTTTTCATTCTGCCATGGCAGCACTGGGAAGTTCTGTTCTATGGACAGAAGCCGCACTCAAATGATTTTAGTTTTTAATCACTTCCTGTTTGTCACAAGGAATGGTACCTACCTTGACAAAAAAAAAATAGTTTGCGCCAATCAAACTAGCTGTGAAGACTAAGAACAAATGGAGGAGTGGACAGTTTGTTTTAGAGTTGGCACAACAGCAGAACCTGTGCAGCTACCTTTTTAGTTACACTTTCTCTTTTCTCCTCCCCACCCCTCAGGCGATCCTTGATCTACTTACTATTTTGCGTACATGACTTAGGGCACTCCCCTCTTTGCCTTTACAGTTTTCCACTTGGTATGGAGGGGCAATGACAACTTCTTCCATCACAACTATATTCTTCTCTTGCCATTTACAATCTTTAATACTGGAGGAAGAAAACACATAGATTATTTGTTTTCTACACACATGCACAGGCTGAGTACAGGTACAGTACAAGAGAGCAAAGATCATAACTTGCTTTCCCGTGTATCCTCCTACTCCAATAACTTTCCCTTTAGCCCAAAGAATGCCACATTTTTATATTATGTAGTAGCACTAATAGGGACATGGCAAAGAAGTGGAGGCTGGAGCACATCAGGGATTATAATCCAAGGAAGCTAAACAGCAAAAGGAAATAAAAGAGTCTTGGCAAAAAAAAAAGAGCAGTGCTAGGGCAGAAGTCCAGAAAAGCAAGATTGTGTAAGCAGTTGTGTAAGAAATGCCTTTGCCAATATAGATATTGAAGAGGGACTAAAATATCTTAACACCTTAATGAGTTTAATCCAACAGAAAATACATCAACTCATACAGAACATTTTAGTCCCAAGAAGCAGTCAAGTGTCAAAGACATGAAGAGGACTTTCCAGGGGCTACTTCACTATGGAAATGCTGCCCCTTGTGAAGTCACCAGACTCCAAGTCTGAGCATATCTCAGAGGTACAAAGAGCTACATTTAGGAGATTACTCGGAAGTTCAACAACCCAATTTAGTGCCTGCTTATCCTGGACACATTGCTTGTACTTAGGACACTAGCATGCTGAAGCACAAGCTGGGCCAAGCTCCTATTACCAGTGTCTTGACATGGATAAATATCGCAGATGACACCCAAACCACTACTCATTCACGAAGGCTCCTTCTCAGATGCCTATGGTTATCATGCAGACACTGAGCTGGAGCCATTTCAGGAATATAACCTTAGAACTAGAGCCAGCAGATCTTGTTTCAAACACACACAGGACTATCCTATATGCAAGCGATATATGAACAAGGCTAGAGGATTACTTCCTTGGTGCTTATCAATGTCATTAGCACTTAATTTACAGAGGCTCCTGTGTCCCAACAGCCAAAAGCATTTATGTAAACTTTTCAAGTAAACAGCCATATCCTGACAGCTGGCAAATCTGATGGCCACCAGAACTGTTATTCTGTGAATCAAAAGGAATCACTATTCCTGTTTCTAGACTAGTCTCCTACTAGGTCCAAAGCCTTATTTAGAGTAGACTCAATGAAATGGGCCTAGACCTTAGGCTGCACTTGACTAAATTAAGTCCCATCCATTTCAGTGGGTCTATTCTAAGTAAACGATGCCTAGATGTATCCCCTGGTTTTGAAAACAAATTAGATCAGTGAACTTATCACAAGTGCTTTAAACCAGCTTTCCCCAAAATTGCGCCTTCCAGGCACATTTGGGCTGCAACACCTAGAATTTTTAGTCAATGGCCCTGATGGATGGGAAGTCTGGGAGTTGCAGTCCAAACGTCTCTGAAGGCCACCAGGGTCGGGAAAGGTTGCTTTAAACTGTATGATACACAAAAAGAAAAATGCACTCTTCCTTTTCAGGTTTACAGCATCAATTAACTGAAACAAAGTAAGCAACTGCAAGTCCAACACTAACTAAGCATTTAACTCACATCATTTACAGAGCTATAAAGAATACCTTAAGATTAGAATCTTAAAATGAAAAAAGTATAGGCCAGATATTTTATCTGGAAGCAAGTTATTTGAATAAGCAGCTATATATCTATCATCATGAACAATTTTCACCTATAATAGTTCTTGTTGCACCTTTGCTATAGGATAATTTTTGACTCTTTGGAAACAGTGCCACTCCCAGCAAAAGTGTTAATTCTTTTCAGTAAGGATCGCACATAGGTTTCCTTCACCCATTTATGTCAACATTAAGATTTATTTCCAAAACAGCTGAAGGGACCCACTTAAGAGAATGCAAGTGCAAACACGAAAGTGAGGAGAAAAAGTACAATATGAGCACATGTATATTTGGGCTCACTTATAACCAAGCACAGTATTTAAGTTTACTGATGGGGTCAGCCAACACATCAGATGTGGCTCTTTTCAGATGTGAATGCTGAACTTGGTGCGTATACAGATGCATATCTTTGCTAAGGGAATGTCATGGCACTTGATGATTCCATAAATTGTTTTTATATATTCAACTAACCATGTCCTAATGTTCTCTCTTTTCAGTGGATTATTTTGTTTGATATGTATTTTGGAGACACAAAAGTCATGCAGGTATCTTCATAAATACAGACTTGCAGCCTTTATTATACACTTTTACAATCCAATTGATTTTATATTTTACTACACACTTTCATTCCATTTTTTTTTCGCTAACTGGATGACATTTTGTAGACATAACAAGCTTCATTATATTAAGCTTTTATGAAGCACAATTTGCACTACCACTGTAGCAATAAGTTCAACAGCTCAGGTTTCCATTCAATGTTTATATTTTCTCCATAGAACATTCAGTATTCAAACCACACTTGGAAAAAGTGATTTGGGTCAGAAACATGTATATTCTGCAGTAAAAAGTCACCCAGTTCTGCACCACAGAAATTCATGTTATTTGACAGAAAATAAAACCATCCAGATAAAACATGGTAGGCAACTTGTGCCCCTCCAGATGTTTCAACTCACAATTCATCTGAAGTTCTCCAGATGTTTTAGCCTACAAATTCCTCACCTAACATATTCTACTACAAGAAGCCATGGGGATTGGGCAAACAGCTGTATATTGCTTGCAAGATGCAGGCTTTTGAGGAAGGAAAAGAAATATGGAAAGAAACTTCTATCAGCATTTGATGGAATTACAGAACTTGGGAAGGATGAAAGCAATTTCACTGCTCAGTTACTCATGTGTAGCTCCCTGCCCTCTTCCTAGTTACCAACTGGTCCCATTTTCTCTCTTCCATCCTTTCTACTCACGTCTTGTGTATAGTCTGGAAAAGTTGCTGTCCTTCCAAAGAGACCCCAGCACTAATTGCATATGCCTGGCTCAGTTTTTCTTCCTTCTCCATCCGTGCTTTGTTTGCAAGCTGGAAAGGAGAGATACAAGATGCAGAGATCTTAATATTGGTCCACAAGTAGCAGCATAGACTTCAAATCTTAAATGGGAGTGCTGATTACTGGAAACACTATTTGGACGACTAGGGATAAGACTTTTAATGAGCTGAAGTCCTACAAGGTAGTTGAAATAAACCCTAAACAATGCACTGCCAGAACATCTCCATACAGATACACATTTTGCAAGTAACATGTTTTCAGTGGATCTACTCTATATAGAACACTAGATGCAAACCCCTGCATTTTAACTAAGATGCATCAGTTACATCTGATAGGCTTCCAACACTGCTTCTCAAATTTAAGACTGCCACTGCTGAAAGCAAGGACTACTGTATCTTTACTATGCTGCACCATAAACCAATTACAAGTTAAACAAAAGGATATGAACAGTGGCTTGAGAACTATACTTGGTACTATCTAAGGGAGCATAACCACTAGCAGTGTCAGGCTGAAATTCACAAAGGAGCCAGCGAAGTTAATGGAGTACTTCATACTAATAGTTTGCAAGCAGTCACGTAATACTCTCATAAACAGGAAGACCCCTCTCCACAAAGGATTCTTACCTTGTTAACATTGAGTGACGCTAAAGGTGGGGGGGTTTCTGTACGGTCATTAATTATTTCCACGTCTGAAACATACTGTAAATTTATAAGCAAGATATCTGCATGGTTAGGTTTGCCACTTGAAGAAGGGCATTCTGAAGAAAATCATTAAGGAGAAAACTTCCCAAAACTTCATTTCAGAGAAAGAATAAGTTACCAGTACCATTGCAGGAAAGAACTTATAATATGATATCTGAACTTATAACCTGATGCTCTCTTCCCAAGAATACATGCAATCTCTGCATTAGTTTCACAGGAGACCACATTATATTTCTTAGGGAAAAAACCTCTTGAAATAGCAAATACACATGTTGCAGTAGCTAACGTTGCCAAAAGCAACATCTCACTAGTCAAAATCAGGAACAAAAAGCTGACATCAAATGCCCCCTCTAGGAATGCTAAACTCAAGCCTTGAAACAGGTAAATAGAAGCTTTTAACATACTGAGCATGTTTAGGAGCCAGAGTATACCGGCTTTATCCTTCACAAATTTATTTAATCCCTTTTAAAAACCATTTAATAATTTAATTAAGTGCTATGGAAAGAAGTATTTTCTTTTCTCCATCCTAAATCTCCAACCAATCATCCTAGGTTCAGGTCTAGGGCAACACACTTCTATTTACACAATTTCTCTGCAGCATGCCAAATTTTATAAACCCAAGCTATAGAAACAGAACAGTAGAAAGCTGAAGCATCCTCACCATCTTGAGTGCCAATTTGTTCTTGCTTTATGCTCTTGAAAGTTATTTCAAGTGGAATGACACAGAACAAACCCAAACTTAAAGACAGACTATTACTGCACATACCTCTTCCCATACCTGGCTTGAATACCTTCTGGCTGCTCTGACCATGGGGGTCAAGTAGTACATCAGCACTGATGTCAACTAGAGTCAACTTTGTTAGCAAAGCTTACACCTCACTGGGCTAAAGTGGGCTTTGTACTTAAGAGATGAAGGACAATCACTCCATGCCTGCAGGAACCCTCAGGTTCACAATGGATTTGTAATATATACAGAAAATACCATTCCTGCTGGTACACTAATTACATTCCCTTTATTGCCAGGGTGCATAAAGAAGACCAAGAATTTTACCCCAAACCTTGCTTCATCTTTATAATTTTATCAGATTTACATATAGAAACAAACCACCAGCACTGAAATGCTGGATTTCCTCCTCCCCAAAGAGTCAGCTCCTGCAACTCTTTCTTTCAGTTCCAGTTTGCATGCTGAGAAATATAATTTAATTCCACACATTCTTGTTTGCCTTAATGTTCTCAACACTAACTACAATAGAAGTGTGACAGTTCTGAAGCCTCCCAATGTGCTTTCCCACCCACACCAAACACCCTTTTTCAATATTGACCACATACCAATTCACATCAAAATGGTCAATTGATACATGTCCCAAACCTGTTGTTCAACTTTATCAAAAAGGATTCACTTACTGATGTTCATCACTTGATGACAGCAACTTCAAATAAACAAACATCACATAAAGCACATAGATTAGCACAGAAAACTTCCTCATTACCACTGATACAAGGCTTCTGAATGGAATCAATGAATACATTCAGATACATTCAGATTACTTGTCACTGAGTATTAAGAAGTCAAATGAAACTCATGCCTGAGTGAGCCAACCTTAAGTTCAAATACTTTCCCATCCTTCACACTGAAAGGATTCTGGAACACCTGCCTAGTTTAACCTAAGACTTCTCCTTCACCAAAACCTTGTCAGGTCTCCCTTATCTTGCCAGAACACCAAAAGCCATTTTTCTAGACCCTTTCCCCATAAACAGCACTATCCTAAAACCTGCCTGAAATCATGCTTCACTTTCCCCCATCTTAACAAATAGACTAACATTTATTCCCCAAGCATTTCATTTGGACTTCCATTCGCAAACACGATGTTTCCCTCTTCTTACGCTAACCAATTACTCTAATACTTCCCAGATTTACCACTCACTCTATCTCCTCTCCCTATATTTTCAAACCATGGAAATACAAAACAGGCAAAAGATATCCGTCAAGCTCAAACAGCATTCCGCCAGCGCAACACCGCCGCTCCCCCCACCCCCCTCATCATTCCTCTTGCCCCAAACCATGCTCGCGGCTTTCCTTCGTCTCCAAGACACCTCTAGCCGCCCAAACTGCCTTCTCCTGCCTCTCACAGCTATTAGAAAGTTTTCTCTGGCCCAGGCACCGAAGCTGGATTAGGCAAGTGAGCTCACATACCCACACATCCCTTTCCCACACACCAGATACCCCTCGCAGGCCCGGCGCCGGCATCAACCCTTGTCGCCCTTGCTCCATCGGGGCCCGGCCCAGCCATGCTCTGCCCTTTCCTCCTTCCTCACAGTAAGGATACTGAGCGCCAGCATCTTGGTGGGGTAGTCGAAGGCTACCACCTCGCCCTGCAGCCGCTGCTCTTGGCAAGTCCGGCACGACACCTGGCTGCCCACACTGAAGTACTCGCCCGGGGCCGCCATCTTGTTTCAGGCCCAGGCGGCGGCGGCGGCGGCGGCAGCACCCCTCACGCCCCCGCTGCGCCACAGCAGCAGCAGCCTCCGCCGAGAAAAAGGAAGAAAGGGAGGCCCGGGGAAGGGGGCACCGAGACCTACCCCGGCGTTACAAAAAGAAACCGGCGCGCTTGCCCGCCTGGCTGATACAGCCTAGGCGGAAAAAAAAAAAAGGGCGAGGAGTGGCCAAGGCGACGGCGCCCCGCCTGTACGTCAGCCCCTCCCGCACCCACGCACGCACGCGACGTCACCGCGCAGAGGCAGATGGGTGGTTGATGGGCCCGCCGACCGGCGATTCCATCTCAGGGAAAGCGGGGGTGATCCGCTCTTGTCCACATTCGGAAGTGAGAGAAGAGAAAAAAAGAGCGCAAAGGAAGGAAAAGGAGGGGTTGTGTAGAGAACCAATTCACAGCCTGATCAGAACCGTGTAAATCTAATGAGTAGACATTCAGTGCAATCCTATGCATGCCTACTCAGAAGTAAGTACTACCAAGTGCAGTCGGGATTGAACTCTCAAATAGACAGTACTTCAGCCCTACTCCTTAGTTAGTCTATAGGATCACGCTGGCCTTTCCCTCCAAAATGTTGGCTGTGCTGGCTGGGGATGATAGGACTTGCAGTCCGAATACACTGAAAAAGGCCCAGGATAGGCGTCAGTTCTGGAACTCTGCTAATGTCCAAACATACTGAATGCTGACCGCCCTCGCCCCCACCGCCACCCCCACCATGCTGATAGGGTGAATTACCGGACTAGTCAGGTACATATTGTTGCATTCCAATACACGCAAGGCACAGAGCGAAGTTCTTGGCATGTGCTTATTTTAAAGAGCGGATGCTTCACTGCTTCAGTGAAAAAGAGAGATCATGAGCTTCCAGTGTTGCATTCTTGTACAGTTGCCTGGGAATGTGTACCATTGAAGTCAATGGAACTTATTTCTGAGTAGGCATAGATAGAATTGCAATGTAAAAAAATAGAACATCTAAATAAATAGTTCACAAAATGCAGAGAAACCGTAAAACTGCCGTAATGCTCAGAGACACTTTTAAAGCCAATCTCATGGCCTAAGTAGAAAAAACAGGTTGCAGTTTAAAAGCTTGAAATTTGAAGGAAGGTAATACCCCAATAATGCCACAGGTACTCTCTCCTCTTACAATTCATGTAGCTTTCCCATCTGTAGTAGTAGCTGACTCTTGGGAAGAAGCATTTTATTTCTCCAGCAGCAATTTAAACTTTTAAAGAACATTAAGAACAGAACAAGAGATACACAACTCTAGGTCTGCAATTAAACTATGTGATACAATAATGTGATAAATGCTATGCAACCTGGCCTATCTAGATCATTTTTCTCACACCAGGACACCCACAAGCAGGACTTGGACGTGGTTTAGCACAGTGCTTTTTTTGTACCAAAAAAAAAAAAAGTGCCGGAACTCATGCCGCCGGCAATAAGCACACACACCAATCCCAAGCCGAGCAGCGGAGCAGCGTCCCTAGCAGCTATCTCTCACTATCAGATAGCAGATCGCAGACACAATAGCAGCCTGCAGGCACTATATTAATGATGTTTGCTGCTGATCTGCTATGCCAAAATCACTTCATAAAATCCATTGAAAAAAGAGTGCCAGAATGCCGTTTCGGTGCGTTCTATGACAAAAAAAAGCCCTGGTTTAGCACCCTCTGGCTCATGTTCCCCAGCAACTGACATCTTGACTCTGAAACTGGAGGTAAATTAAAGCTATCAAGATTGGTAGCCTTTGACAGCTTTCTCCATTAAATGATATACTTCCATTTAAGATCATAACCATTATTTATGGAAGCAATTCCTTAGTGTTAACTATACCCTGTGGGAAACCTTGTACAAAGAATGGTTTTCCTTTGCCTATCCAGAATCTCCCATCTTCATTACATGATCGCAGGTTCTAGTTTTATAAGAGTGAGAAATTTCTGTGTATCCATTTTCTTCATGCCTTTCATCACTTTCTGTACTTTTTGCAGTTGGAAAAAAACATGCTTGAAGTGTGGGGACCAAAACTGTACACAATATTCCTAAATTAGATGTACTATAGATTTGCATGGATGTGCTATGATATTAGCAGGGTTTTTAAAAATTCCTTTTCAAATTATCTCTGCATGGAATTTACATTTTCACAGTAGTCACATATTGGGTCAATATTTCCAGCCCTAAGATCCTTTTACTGATCAGTTGCTGATTTGTCAGCTCAAATCCCATCAACATATATATGAAGTTAGAGGTTTCCTCTGCCAAATATACATCGACTAACCCTTGTTTAGACTGACACTCATTTGCCATTTTAATGTTCATTCATCACACCAGTGACATTTAGGAATACATTAATACATATTAATTAGTTATATACTAATTTAGACTTGGAATGTTTCTAAAGACCTGAGATTTTTGTATAGGACAGTATAAAAATGTTCCAAATAAATAAAAAAAGTTTATAGAATTTTAAAAATATTAATAACCAGGAAGTTGTAGGCATTTCTTTTCAGAAGTTGCATTTGAGATCAATGCAACCTTCTTCCATGTATGTGTGCATAGAACTGCACAGGATAACCCAATATGCATACTCTAAGCCCCATTGAGCTTAACTGGAAGTAAGTATGTATTCAATTGCAATAGCAAAGTACACAAACCTATGCATGTTCACTCAGAAGGAAGAGTCCACTCTCCTCTGTGTGCTAGGATTTTTGCAGCCTTGAAACATGTTTAAAAGCAAGAAATAACATGTACACGTGCTACAACAGGTTTGTGGCTGGGGGGGGGGGCTGGTGGACAAACACAACACAACTGCATCCTTAAAACCTTAATTTATTGCCCCTATTCGGGGCTTTTATATTTCTGTGGCGTCCTAGGTTCCTTTTATTTTGATCTTTCTGTTTTTATTGTAACATTTCGTTTCCTCCAGGTTAAGAAAGGGGTTTTTTTTTTTTCAATTTTAAGGACAAAATCCTACACATGTTTAGATAGAAAAAAGCCCTGCAAATCCCAGCTTTTTCCAGCCAGCCATGCTGTAGCTGTGTATTTCTGGTTTATGGACACGATGTATGATCTCTGATGCAGTCTAGAAGTGGAAAAGAAAACTTGACAGAAAACTGCCATTCAAAACAAAAGGTTCAAACTCCGATAACCCTATGAGTTCAGAGGAATGTCCCTTACCCCACACTGTAAGCAACTTGATAACGGCTGATTTCACGTATGCTAAGACTTCTGGGAAGCGTAGTTTGCCGATTCAGTGTTTCGGGCAGGCGGATTCTGGCCATTGCAGGTAACGGGAAAGGGGCGTGGAGTAAATGAAAGCAGGAGGCGATGGTGAAAGAGGGGTGGCAAAAAAGCACTCACAAAGGAAGAGGGCGGAGGAGGAGGACGCTGAGAGGGATCCAGAAAATATACTGGGGGGAGAAGGAGGAGAAGCAAGAAAGGGTAGGTAGCCGGAAGCCCTCTTCCCTTGTTTATGCTTTAAAAGTGAAATGCATCATTTCTTATGACGGATGCTCTGCGCCCCCAGAAGACAGTCGAGCATACAGTCAGCTCCGTAAAGGTTTCCAAACACCACTGGGCTGGGGATCCCAAGCCTGAAGAATGGCCATGTTGTATAGCCCGGCAACGTAGCCGCTGTTGCCCTTTAAGAGGATCTGTATAGCTTTGTCCTGACTTCACCCCCTCCTCTCTCTCTCCCTCCACCTCCGCATATCCCTTTCCCACTGCTACCCAAGGATCTCGGGAACTGTAGTTCTACGAGGAGGCGTGAATGCAAGATATTCCTCGTGGGGCGCATGGACTGTTTCTAGCGGCCGTAGCTTTTAGGAAGTTTCAGAGGTGGCCGGTGTAGTTTAACAGCTAAAGGACTGGAGGAACCAGAAAGTTCCTGGATTGATTCTTGCCCCTGCAGGAACTGTTTACGTGGCCTTTGGGCAGTCATTCGGCCTCGTCCTATGAATATCTCTTATATCTGGAGATCGTGACCTCCCGTAGGGGGTGAGGTTGGGCTGGATCCAGACTTACAGTAGGCCTGTTGAAATCAGATATTACTGCTGGATCCAATCACTTGGAATAGGCCCACTGAATGTAATTATTGTTCCTAGATCCAACTACTGAGAGTAGGCTCATTGAAATCAACCATCTCCCAGATCCTACTGCTCAGCTTGATCCAGACAGTTATGCGTAGAGTAGACCAACTGAAATTAACTACCATTATTGGATCAAATCCTAACAATAATACTTTGAGTAAGCCCACTGAAATCAATGGGGCTCAGGCCAGTATGGGCTACGTATGACTAAGTCTGGATCCAGTCCAGTATGAATGAAATACTTTAAGCCTTCAATGGCAGTGTATTTCTTCTATCCATTGTTATCAACTGACAGATTGAATTGTTTGGGAAGACCTGATATTGTAGGATTGCTGAAACTAAGCAGATGTGGACCTGATTGATAGCTATCGGTCCTGACAGCTCTACACTACTTCTGGGGAACATGGCTGGGAGGGTGCCATTGCACTCATGCTCCTCTTACAGGTTTCTGGTAGATCACTGGTTGGCCACTGTGAACAGAACGCTGGACTGGATGGACCCTTGGTCTGATCCAGCAGGGTCTTCTTACGTGTTGTTATCCCTACCTCATCCTCTGTGAATACGAGACAACTTGAGCACCATTCAGCTGAAAGTTCATGTGGGTGTTCATCTGGCATTTCAGCCATTGGATCTATCCCATGTGCATGTATATACTGAAACATCTGAAAAGCTAATCAAAATTGCAAGAAAGAATAGGATGAAGAGTCTCTGCAAATGGCGACTCATTGATTCAGAACTTCCATAATCACATGGTTGGCACATATACAGTTTGTATGCATACAGGATTTGTCAGATACTTGTAGGGGTTGCAGCCAGGTCAGGGGTCATGTGCAGGGACATTCCTACTCCCTGTTCATGTGTATGAACTTAAGTACTGTGCTCTGGAATACCATGAAATAGCCTATCTCGGGGCAAGATGCTCAAGTATTAGGTGGCTTCTTACCTCCAAATGGTGTTGAAGAACACTGATAACCTTGTGACAGTTGGGTCTAGTTTCTGGTCATGGTTTGATACATCTTGGGCACCTTGACAGATGACCTGTACCAGGAAAAGAATGGAGATCAGCACCCTGCTCCATCACCAGCCTTTCAGTAGCTTTAAATCCCACTGGCCATGGTATTCTTCTAAAGCAGGGGTAGGCAACCTGGTGTCTTCCAGATATTTTGGACCACAACTCCTATAAAGCCTGATATGACTTGGGAGCATCCTACATAGGTATGAACCTGCCCATACAGTACAATCAACACCTGAGGCTTTCTTCCGAGTGCCTTCTCCAAAAGAGCTTCAGAGGGTGTGGGCCTTCTTGTCGATGTTCTCCCACCTCTGATGGTAGAATGCTCTCCTGGTGAGATCTACCTGGTGCCAGCATTTTTTGCCCAAGGCTACTGTGTTAGCCTTTAGGCTCCAACTAAAAAAACCTGTATTTTTTCAAGCTTTTAATGGATAATGTTTTAGTGTGTGGTTCTATGCTTCTGTGGTTTTACTGCTTCTATAAATCTTGTTTTCCTGCTATGCTGCTTTAATTTTAACGTACTACTGATTTCACCTTATTTAATTTCAGATGTGTGTGCACATGCATGCATTTTTATTTTTATAAAAGAAACTTTTTTGGCTGTTTTGTCATTGTTACTCACCTTGGCATAAAATAAAATAAAAAATAAATTGAAAGGGTACTAATATGGTTTCCAACCACATTATGTTAGTATGGTCCTTGCATGTATGTTATTGAATTTTTGTTCAGTATGTTTTTGGAAGAACATCATCTACTCCACATGTTACTGGACAGGTACAGCTTAACTCCTGTGATCCATATATTGGTAACCTTGAGACTGGACTATTGTGATGCTCTGAATGCGGGGTTGTTCTTGAGACTGGTTTGGAAGCTGCAGCAAGACTGCAGCTTGGCTTTGCCATGTGTACAACTCATGCTGAAAGGGTTATTCTGGCTGCCGAGCCAGGTTCAAGATATTATGACTGACATAATGCCTAAACAATGTAGAATCAGGAAGCCTGAAAGATCATCTCCCTCTGTACAGGTCTATTAGATAGCTGTGATCTTCAGGGGAGGCCTTGCTGTGTGTACCATGCCTTGCAGGGTCATATCTGGTAGCAGCAAGTCAAGGGGCCTTCTCTGTGATGGCCCCTCCTTCTAGAAAGCTCTCCCCTCTGTGACATGTCACGCACTGATGAGCATACTCATTCAATAATTCCTGAAAACATGCTTATTTTCCCAGGCTTTGTTCATCAACTTTCTTTAAATTGTCTTATGTTTGTAATTGCTTTTGAACTGTGGTGTTAGAGAAGACTCCTGAGAGTCCCTTGGACTGCAAAGAGATCAAATCAGTCAATCCTAAAGGAAATCGCCCCTGACTGTTCTTTAGAAGGTTGGGTACTAAAACTGAAGCTCAAATACTTTGGCTACCTAATGAGAAGGAAGGACTCATTGGACAAGGCCCTCATGCTGGGAAGGACTGACAGCAAAAGGAGAAGGGGATGGCAGAGGTTGGGGTGGCTGGATGGGGTCCCTGGAGAGGTGGGTGTGGCGTTGGGCGTACTCGGGGGGGGGGGGGGGGGGACAGGAGAACCTGGAGGAATGTTGTCCATGGGGTAACAGGGAGTCGGGCATGACTTTGGAACTGACTAACAACAACATGTTTGTAATGATGTATCGTTTTGTAATATGTTGTGCTCCGGGAGTTTTAAAATGGGAAGCAGTATATAAACCAAAAGAAATGCATATTAAATAAAAACCAGTATGTGTTTTGAACTTCTAGGGTGCAGTTTATAGAGCTACTTGTGGGAATTAGGTGGGGGTGAGGAGTGGGGGACTGCTGCCCAGAAACAACCCCAAAGCCTGCTTGACATTCCAGTCCATTTTCAGATTCTTGTACTGATTGTAATGCTGATTAACCCACCATCTTTTATGTAGTCTCTGTTCCAGAATATGTTATTATGTGCGCTTTGCTGCCCTTCTGGCGCAGCCATCGCTTCTGTTAATATGTTCTGTTTATTGTTCAAGCTAATTAATATATTTAAATGAGGCCAGGAGTAGGAAACCTGCTCTCCAGGTGGCGTTGGGCTACAGTTCTTCTAGAGTCATAGTCCAAACCATCTGGAAAGCCCCAGGGTGTTTCGCCCTGAAATGAGACCTGTGCAGGGCAGTCCTAAGGCCCTTAGAACATGAGCCCTTTGGGAACAAGACTCTTCATAGTTTAAAGGACTGATGCAAGTGAAGAAGAGACCAGCATGGTCCCTAGAGGACACCAGGCTGGGAGGGCTAATGTGATGGTTGAATGTTTGTTCATGTGAAGGCCGTGTGTGAGAGAGAGACTTTGGTCCTTCCCACTTTTGGCCTTGGTCCCACTCACAGCTTGCAGATGGCCCCAGAAGGTTGTGGCAAGGTCACCTAGCCCTCAGGCTGGAAGCCCTCCACTGACTGGACCACGAGAAAAGGTCTAGAATTACGTTTCTACCTATCCCTGGCTTACTGGGTTGGGGGTGCTTCGCTTCAGCGGCAAATCTGGAATATTTGGCTGTCCCTCGCTGTTTTACAGTGCTCAGAGAATGGTCCAGTACATTGCTATGCAAGAAGCTACGGTGAGCTGCTTTAAACCTTTTTGGCACTTATCTTGTGAAGCCACAAGCCCACTGAGATCCTGTGGCAAGCACAGCCTCTTAACCCATCTCTGTGTCCTTTTCAGCTTCGTGACCATCATGGATTCTCTCTACACCAGTGGCATTTGGTTTGCAGAGATGCTCCAGATGGGTCTGCCTGGCTCGGAAGACTTTTGGCTTTGGGTGACCTTCCTGGGTGACCCAAAATGCATCTTCATTATTTATTTCCCTCTTGCTTATTTCCTGCTGGACCAGAAAGTTGGAGTCAAAGTGCTCTGGTTGGGTTTAATCTCTGAATGGCTCAACTTAGTCTCTAAATGGTAAGCAATTGGTATCAGATGCTATTCCAGGATTGAGCTGCTCTTGGAGACAGCATATGAATAGGCCTTGGGGCCTCTTCCTGGCAGCCTTTCAAAGCCCCTGCTCCAATGAGTGCTGAATGGCTTCCTTTTTAATTTCTCATTATGCCCCTTAAAGGCCACCGCCATCCAGATTTCTCATAGTCCCCTGGAGGAATGCTGCCTCAGCAACACCGGGGAAGACTAAGATAGCAGCCACCCAGCTTCGGTTCAGGTGCTGCTGCTACCATTCTGGCATAAGTTTATTTCAGTTTCTCTAGGAAGTTTGATATATGCAGTCTGAATGATGTCGGTATTCATGCCTCACAACTACTTTGGTGAAAAGGAGCGATGAGCCAAGCAATGGGCATACACGTACCCAGTGCATCACACAAATCTTATTCTTATACACCTCCTGTGTTCCTCTTTTGCTTCTAGGTTGGCATCTCTGTGTAACTTGTAGGAAATGGTAGCCTTTGGGGGATTCTTATTTCAGCCTGAGGGTGAAATGTCCTTTCAGAGAAAGCTTGTAGGGGCCCCATTCCAGTGACGGCCTGGCTTGAAATTAGAGGGGCAAGGACAAAGACCAAAGAGGATGGGCCAAAACCAAAAATGCCAGCCTATTTTAGCTTGCTGCCAGGAACTAACCCTTAGCAAATAAATTTCTGTCCTTTGGAATGTAGAAAAACTGTCCAAAATAACAAAGCAGGCAATGACCAGGAGGAAGTGGGGAGAGCCATAGAGCCAGATTAGGACCATAGGTGGGTTGGATTTGGTCCCAGGCCTGAGACTGAGCCCTGATTTTAATTTATATCCCATTTTACAATTCTTAGGAAGCCTGCTGAGAACTCACTCCATATAGTTAAATATAGAACTATAATAAACAGTCTCAGAAATGTCTGGATAAATAGCAAAGAGTCGTAGTCAGCAGTAAGTAATAGCAAATAAATAATAAATCACTGTAAAGCTTCAGAAACCTGAAAGTACCAGATCATTGCTTGACTTGTTATTACTTCCTGTTCCCCCTCCCTTTCCCAAGGTTCTTATTTGGTGAACGGCCGTTCTGGTGGATGTTTGAATCTGGATTTTCCCAAAAAGGAGAAGTCTTTCCCCGCCAGTTCCCTGCTAGTTGTGAAACAGGACCAGGTTGGTAACTCAAGACGAAGTTCAGCACTTCAGTTTATTTATTATTTATTTATTTATTTATTAAAACATTTTTATGCCGCCCCATTCGCCGAAGCCTCGGGGCAGCTCACATCATTAAGTTAAAATAATTATAATATAAATTAAAAATATAAATATTAAATTAAAATACAACAATACAGTTGATTTGGCTTTGCTATTTAAGAATCACTGGGGTAGCCTCCCCCCCCCGCCCCCCTGGGCTGTTAATTCTCTAACTGTGGCGATAACTTTGGGAGACAGAGCATTTCGACATCTTCTACAAACTAGTTCTAATGTGGTTGAGCAACCCGTTTTTCTGGGATGGCAGCTTCCGAAGCTTCTCATCCTGGTGGGACCAGCTAAAGGCTGAGGTGAGTTGGAAGAAGAGTAACCATGCGGTGCACTTGTCTTCACCAGTGGCCGGCCAGATGTCTCTGGAAACTCACAGGCAGGGTGAGGTGATGTGGACCAGGGCTGGCCTGAGGTCCACACCCCAGCAGGGGCCAGCTACCAACTCCTGGAGCCTCCTGGCATCTGATTTTGGTTATCACAAGAAGGCAACAAGCTGTTTGTTATTTAATCTATCAATTTTGTATTTTTATTGCCAGCCAGGAGGAAGGTAGTTGTGGCATATCTGTGTCGTGCCAAAATAACTTGGCTGGCCTTGGGTACTGTGCACATTGAGCGAGGTGGGTGGAGGCATCATTTGCTATTTGGCCTCCAGCAGCAAAATACCTTTGGCTGGTCCTGCCAGGAGGAAGAGAGGAGCAAGTGGTTAAGTCCCCCTGCCAAGAAACACCTGGAACCAGAACTGATTATGACTGTCCTCTGTTGTTTGCCTTGGACGACTGGTAATTCAAGATAACATAGGAATCTCTCTTATTTGGAGTCAAACCACTGGTCAGTCCAGCTCATGGTGTGAAACTGGGGCCTTCTGCAGGTAAAGCAGATGCTCTGCCGCTGAGCTCCAACCTGGCTGTATGGTGGAAGGTGAGATTGCACAAAATATCTGAAGAGCTTTTCCCACAGATAATGGAGCAAAGTGTTTTTCTCCTGTTGTGGGACTTGCACCAACTGGTTCAAATGGCAAGAAAGGGGATTTTAATTAAGCATTAGGAAAAGGATTATGAGCATATGAGCTTTTTGATGGTGCCACACACTGCCTTGAAAGATGGCGGACTCTCTCTGGTAGAGGTTTTTAAGCAGAGGATGTCTGGTCACCTCTCAGGGATACTGCAGTATTGGGTTTCTTGCATCAGCAGAGCGTTAGACTGTATGACCTTCTGTGACACGAGCCCCACTAGAACATCCCAAGGGCCCAGCTTGTCCCCATCCCGTTCACACAGTGGCCAACCAGCCACACACAGGTGACCATAAGCAATCCGGGAGTGTAACCACACCTTTCTACCCATTTTCCACAGCAGCTGATGTACATGGGTACACTGTCTCTGAAACTGGAGGCAGCATATAGCCAGCGGCACTAGTAACCATTGGACGCCTTATCTTCCATGCATTTGTCTGACTCCCTTTTTCAAGTATCCAAACTTTTCTTATTGGAGCATTCCCAATTAACAGCTAAACTGCTTAGGTCTAACTGGCTTGGAAACAGGAGTGAGGCATTAAATGTACAGGACTTTTCTGCTTCTTTTTTATTTCTTTGTTTCTTGCAGAAGAATACTCAAGCCCTGATGCTGCCAAATTGCAGATTGAATTTGGGAGCTTAAGAATAGAAACAGAAATTTGGGAAGTATCTGACCAGGCATCAGATTCTCACCTTCTTTGCAGTATGTGAAGAGAGAATAGGGCAGTCTTCTCAACCTGGCGCCTTCCAGATGTGTGGACTGCAGCTCCTACCATGCCCTGCTGGCATGTCCATTCTCCAGGGATAAGGAGAATTGTTGCCCAACACCTCTGGAAGGTGCCAGGTTGCAGAAGGCTGCCCCAGAACCAGCCGGTGTAGCTGCCACAGCTTTTGCCTGCTAAGCGGATGCCAGTGTGGTGCAGTGGCTAGAATATCCTCTTAGGGAAACCTAAGTTCAACTCCCACCCAGCCACGAAGACTTCTGGCAGGGCCACTCAGTATTTCTCAGCCTAATCCCTCTTACGAAGTTGCTGTGCTGCTGAAAGAGGGCAGGAGTGTGTATGATGCTCCAGGCTCCTTTGAGGACTACTGGGATAACAAAATCCTATGCATGTCTAGAGAGGAAAAAACCCTACAACTCTCAGTGTTCCCCAGCCAGTTTTCCAGATGTCCAAAGCTTGGCTTCAGGCAAGATGGTTTCAGATTGTACCTAGGATGTTCCCAAGCATTGCTGGGAAGAGGAAACAATCTGAAACAATTTCAGTACCCAGTAAAGCCCAATTTGAATGACTGCCATCTCCTCTCTTTCAGCACTTTAACCAAATGCAGACTCCATGTCCTGAGCATCAGCTGCTTGTGTGCTCCTCCCTCTTTCTCCTTTGCTCTGTTTACCATCTTGCTTGATGAAGAACTCTGGAGAGCTCAAGAGCTTGCACAGTTTTTGTTTGTTGTTGTTGAGTTGGCCTAACAAAGATATCACTGTAATATCGATTGACTAAGGTGCATTCCTAAACAGGTTAGGCAGAAGTCCTGTCTGGGAAATGCTGGGCAGTGGACAATTCTTTTCTGTCTAAACATGCGTAGGATTTATTGCACCCTATATTGGGTTGCACCCTAATAAATGAGCCAAAAAAAAGTGTAAGTAAAGAGCCCCTTGAGGGTAGATTCAATTGGATGAAGAAAGATCCTTATGCCCTTGTGGTATGAACAAAATTGAATTATCGGAACACTGGGGAAAAACAAGTTTTATGCCCCCTGTATAAAGAGATTAGGCAGAACTATTTGGCCTGCACTTTTGGCAAAATGAAGTATTGACCTGTGGTAAAGAAAACTGAGTGCCATCTCTGTAGGGAAGTTCAGTCTGTGACATATAATGATGCTCTCTGTGTGTTTGGGTACTTGGCAAATAATCAGAAAACTGCCTTGAAGCAAGCAAATGTTGTCTCTGCTAGTTGTAAGTTTGATGAGCTAGGCTGAGTGGTGAGAATTCAACAGGCTGTCTGTTCTAGGCTGTTTTTATATTTCATGACGGTTACTGGGTAGGTCTTGTGTTTATTTTGGTTGGTCGTAAAGGCAGGAGCACTACATGAGCAATGCTTCTGAAGTAGCCATTGGCAGACATCCTCCAAGAATTTATCTAAAGCTTTCTCAAGCTGTCTCGGTGCGTGTCTATCACAGTGTCTCATGACAGTTATGTGCTGCGTGTGAAGGTTTGTTTGACCCACACCAGTGCCAATCCAGATTCACAATTAACATGGAGGGGAGCCCGGAGAGCTTTTATAGAAGGCAATTTTGGCTTCTTTTTTGTTAATAGTCCTTTAAATAATACCTATAGCATATGCAAACAAAAATAATAAAAATACCTCCTCCCCCACATTGGCACCTTCACTTATAAAAGCACTGAAAATATGCAAGGCACAGTACAGAAATAAAATTAACTGGTTCCTTGGCTTATGATCAGAAACAGTCCTCCAGATGTGTGGGCTACAAACCTCACAATCTCTGGCCAACATGGCCGATTCTGCTTTTCCCCTTTGCCAGAATTGTGGGCTTCTTTAGTCTGGTTCCAAATTTGCAGCCTCACCATGCGTGTCTTCTTGTGGCACCAGAAGGGAAGTGTCCTTCTGCCCACCAAGACCTCTCCTGTGAGGATTATCCCTGTTTCTGCTCTTGTTCTGCATCATACAAAACCGTTGGCAGGAAAACTCATACTTGTGTGGAGAAGGGTGGGGGGCTTAATGAAATCCACACTCCTCATGCCCCCACCCTCAGTTATAGCAGAATCATGTCCCTCCCTGTAAACTAAAACAGAAGTCAATATGGAGCCTCACCAAAAAGCCTCTGGAGAGACTCTGGGTGAGTCTCTCCAGAAGCCCCTGGAATTCAAGGCTGATTTGTTGTCACCAACAAGTTGATCAAGGTTTTGGTCTTTGACATCCAAACTCACAGGTTTGGGAAGGTGAGGCCTTGATCAAGGAGTTCTCTCACAGATGCGGGCTGTGAAAATCTTCACCCACCACTGTCACCTAGCCCAGGATTTCATCAGCTGGTATGGAGGGCAAACCTGCCAGCACTGGATGGTGTTTCTGGAAAGGGGATATTTGACTTAGTTCGTCCAGCACTGCACAGTGCAAAGAGATCTGTGAGGCTCGCTGGTCTTAAGGTGGCAGAGATGGGGAAGAGTGCATTTGCACAACGACATCTTGGACACTACTTGTGGTTGCTCATAAGACCATCTGATCCAGCAGCAGGTCCCCAGGCTTTGATTCCATCACAGCCCGGCCATATCTTGTGGCACTTTCCATGGGCCTGCCCCCGAAGAAGACCAGGTAGCTTCCTCTGGGGCAGACAGAGCAGCAAGGCTGCTAACTGGGGCATACTGTTGGATTCGCCTCATCTCGGCACTGAAGGATCTGCCCTGGTTGTTTTCCGGGCTGACTTCTAAATATCAGTTTCAGCCATTAAAGCAGGAAATGAGAGGGCCTGTCTGTCTCTCAGGCCAACCTGCTCAGATCGGTAGGAGAGGTCCTTCAAAAGAAATCTTCCCCTGCAGAGGTCTGCAGATCAGGTCTGCGGGAAGGGGCTTTCTCCCTGCCACACTGCACCCAGATGGGAAGGCTCAACCTCTGGAGTTGTATCTGCTTCCCATTTTCTGTGCATTCAGGAAGGCAGGCAGAGCGTGCGCCTTCTTTTTAATGTGGCTTTTAAAATTGCTTCTGTGATGGCTGCAAGTTCTAAGGTTGTTTTTAGGGGTTTGTACTTTTATTTGATTATGGATTTAATTTTCTGAAATTGTTGATAATGTGCTTTGGTTAGCTTCAGAAAAGGAGCATAGATATAGAAATACCAAACCAGAGATAGCATTCCAAAGTGGGCTGAGGCCAAAAGACCCTCTTGTCTGAGCTCTCTGCTGTGGGATGCAACCATCACCCAGGAATGCTGATAAAAGAACGCGCAGGAAAACCTCATCTTGCATCCTCTTTTTTTGCAGGCAGTCCCTCCGGTCACTGCATGATTACTGGTGCAGCCCTTTGGCCAATAATGAATATGCTGACCAAACGAATATCTCAGCACTCCAAAAGGTACATCTTTATGAGACGGCAGTTCAGGTTCCCAGTTCTCCCACATCTCTGTTTTCTGATTCATTTTTGTTCCCATTATCTTGATCGCCATTTTCCTCTACCTGGTACTTCCAGGGCTTTTGGACTACAACTCCTGGCATTGCCAGCCATTGGCCATGGAGGGCAGGGGCTGAAGGGAGCTGAAGTCCAAAAGCTCTGGAAGACACCAGTTGGAGAGAGTGAATTCATTGCACTTGATAGTCCACCTTTCCCCCATGACATTCAAGGTGCTCTGCAGGTACTTCCTCATCCCTTCACAACAACCCTGTGAGGTAGGTTAGAATGTGAGTAACTTAGGTGAGTAATTTGAAAAACATCCTCATCTCAATGCCAAGCAGAAGTGTTGAACTGTGTAGCATCCCCAGGTGGCCAGGCCAGAAGAGTCCGTGTGCGTGTGTTGGGGGTGGCTTTTTACCTTCTTCTCTTTTTTCCTCCTCATTCCATTTCTCATCATTGGTTCTAGGACTGGTGCAACCCCACACCCTGTCCTGTAGGATTGCCTAGGGAACAAGGCAGCTGTTCCACCCCAAACTCCCAGCTTTCTGCCTGTCCCACTCGCAAAGCATTGCTGGTGCAACAGCCACACCAACAGAGTTCCTGCCACCGGTCAAGGAGCCTATTTCCCTCTCTGGAGGCAAACTCTTTCTCTGCCTGCAGAAGAACTAGTCCGGCTTGCTTAGGCTTCCTGGGATAATCTCCTAAGAACAGTAGGATTGTACCCACGAGTCTCAATCTAATGCATCCCAACCAAACCAACCCATAACATGTGTGGCTGCAATTTCTCTGCTAAACGAATTCACTGCTTCTTTTTTGTCCCTTGACCAAACTGGCTGTACTTGACTGACTCTTTCAGCCTCTACTCGGGCTCACACTCCCACTTTTATCCCCTCTCCTGCTGCAGGTAGGTGTGGAAGGCACAAGGGGCAGAACCCTCATGGAACCTGACCTTCCATGGGAAACCGTTACTGAAGGGGTGGACAGAAGGTAGATTTCCAAATGTTTTGGGCTTTGACACCCAGAGGCCTCTGCCGACATGATCAATGGTCAAGGATGGCCAGGAGCTGCAGTCTAAAACATCTGGACTTTCTGCCTACCCCTGTGCTAGAGAGTACCCTGCTCACAATTAGTATGTTGCATGCGGCACAGATGTTTTACTTATATATTTATTTATCTCATTCTGCTTCTATGCCACCCCATAGGCCAAGGGTTTTCTGGGTGGCTTACAAATACTGAAACCAGCACATAAAAACAATCAATAAAACAGATAAAATAATAAAATTAGTAAATTGATAAAAACATCTCATATAATAAAAAATATATAATTTTTATTACACAACATGACCAAGTGCAACCAGATAAATTAACAACCAATATTAAATAAATAAGCAATAATAAAACACAATTTCAATTACCCCAAAGCTTATTTGAACAAAAAAAGTTTTTACCTGGTGTCTAAACAAGCCGTTAACCCAGCAGTTTCCAGGTTCGTGCACTGGAAGGGCTGCCAGGTTTGGCCGATGCGCGCGCTCGGCAGGGAGGAAGCTGCGTCCACGCTGCCAATTGACTGACTTTCCTGGCCATGTCTCTCTCCTCCTTTTTGCCCTCTGCAGCTGCATTGCAAGGATGGTGCCCTTGGCAGCTTATCTCCTCCTCCTGCTGGCCGTGGGCCTGTCGCGTATCTTCATCCTCGCTCATTTTCCCCACCAAGTCATTGGTGGCACCGTGGCAGGTGAGTCTGTTGCGCTCACCTGTGTGCCCGTACTCTGGGGGGCCACGGCCCTTTGTAGGTGGGCCTGATCTTCCATGGGAAAGCATTACCATGATATGTTCTGGGCTGAGCTTAGAAATGCCAGCAATATTCTCCCACGCCAGGCTCAGGAATGAACTTCAGGGACTGGTAAAAAGCCATCTCAGGGGAGACACCTTTCAAGCTCAAACGTTCTTCTCCAGTTTCAGCCAGAAGGTTCCTGGGGGCTTCCCTTCTCTGCACTGAACAGTCTCCCCCTTCCCTGTAACTGGCAGCAGCAGAAGCACCAGAAGAGACAAAGGGTGCTGGGAAACAGCACACTTTGGGAGCCATGGGAAATGCTGGTCTCTCAAGACCTGTTCTGGATGAGATTTGTGGCAGCAAGTATCACAGACAAGACAGACCTACCTACAGGTGGTGAAAGGAACAAGATGGTCATAGGCCCAGCCCCAACCTGAGACCCATCTGTGTATCAGAACCAGCCCTCCGCCAGGCTCTGGTTTTGGGGGACCATCAGCATTGTGCTCAGCAGGCCTGCCCCATTCCTTCAGAAGCATTTCTGCCTCGTTTACTCCCTTCCAGCCCCAGGGAGCTCATGGAAAGTTTTGTGGCAGGGATGCCAGATTGCCCCTGTGCGGGCTGCTGGCACAGACAAGGCAGTGACATGAACTCTACCAGAGAGGCAGCGTGTGATGCTGTGGCCACTTACCCCGTGTCTCACTCTTTTCCTTTTCTGACCCCTCTGCTAGCGATCATCCTGGGCTGGCTGCTAGAATCCTGGGTACCACAGGACAGGGGGCTCCAATTCTACCTGTGGGCTTCCATGTCCCTTTTGCTAAGCACCCTGATGACGTACTGGACGTTGGTTGCGCTCGGTGTAGATCTTGCTTGGTGAGTACCTTCAATGGGAGAGAGCTTGGGGCGTGGAGGCATCCATATGGGCATATTTTTCACAGGCGGTGCCCCAATGAGCATTTAAGATCAGCCTTCCCTAGCCTGATGCTCTCCAGGTGTGTTGCACTACAACTCCCAGCATCCCTAGTCAACTATGTAGCTGACTATGTAGTCCAGTGCAACTGGCTGGGAAAGCTGCTTGTAGTTCTTCATCTTTTCTGCCAGGCCAGTCTTTCAGCTCTCTGGCCACAGGGCTGGGGGATCTCATGTAGCAGAACAAACTTCGTGGTATTAGTGATAAGGGGCAGGGCCGGCAGAATGGATTTTGTGATCATGCTACTGGTCTTCTGAACACCCCCTGTACAGCTTCTGGTCATGCCTTTGGAAAACCTTCCTCAGGTATTAGAGGGATTCACAAAATTCAGAAAAGCAATATTCACTCAAGTATTGACTTCTGAAAAGGAAAAAAGGGGATTCAACCATATTTAGCCATACTGAGAGTAAACTCATTGAAATCAGTGGGACACAGGGGGTGTTGCCGGGCACTTGAGCTGTACCAGAAGAATGGTGAGGAGGTTATTAAGGTTCAGCCGGCAGTGCAGCAAAATTCCCAGTATGTAAAAGACAGGATGGTTTCCTGGAGCCACAGCAAGGACTGATAGCCTTCAGCTTGTTAGGAAGATAATCCCACTGGAGCTGCCTTCCCCAGTCCTTCTGTAGATAAGGGCTGCTTTTGCTGGGAGAACAAGACTGTTTGCCTTGTTGAAGCAGCCTTGTCCCTGTCTCCCAGGAAGGGGAAGGGGCTCAGAGCTTGACCCAGTAATAGTGGGGGGAGGGGCTTTATAAAAGCCATTGCAAAAGGTGTTGTCTTCTGCTCTCATCCTTGGGAGAGGAATTGATATGTCGCTTGCCTGGCCAGCTTTGGAGGCCCAACTCACCTTTTCCCACCAATCATGGGATCAGTGAGGCCACAGAGATGGGAGTGTGAGATTTCTTGTCTTTTCATATATCCTACATCCATATTTCACCCTTGCATTCAGTAAATCCTCTTTAACACAGCTGGCTTCATTTGTTCCTAGGTATCCTCGTATCTATAGTGAGGTGTTAGCTGGACCAGGCCCCTGGGATTAAAATAGGTCCCAATCTTTCCACTGGAAGGTTAATTTTCAAACTTCCTTGGCATGCACAGTGGGGATTTGGGGAGACATTATAGAGGGAAGGGAGTGTTAACCCTTCACTCCTCAATTTGATCCTTCTGGAAATCTCCACCCCCACCCCATGGCAGCAAAATACAGGCCTTCCACTTGCACCAGTGAAAACATTGCATTTCTAAATTTAATTGCCATGCAGGGAGAACAATTGGGGCGCATCATTGCAACATGTGGGAAGGGGACTCAACCCTTCTCTTTGCAGTCACAGCCCCTCATCAGAATTTGTCCCCTGCTGTGTATGTAAGCTGCTGACAAAATCTTCTGTTGGCATCGGTGGACCCTTCAGACTCTGTGGAATAGATCCAAGGCCCCAGAGGAAAGATTTGGGGTTCACATAGAACAACACCCCCATAGTACTTAAATCAGCCATGGCTGACTTGTCCCAACAATTTCAATAGGCCTGCTTTGACTAAATTTGGATCCAGCCCAAAGCCATATTGAAGTGGCCTCAGAAATGGAAAGAGAGTGTTTAGTTCTGTTGGATTTGCTGTTTCCTTGCAGAGGTTGTCCCTGTGTGACTTTTCCGTTGCTTCTTTCCAGGTCAATCAACCTTGCCACCAAGTGGTGCTTGAACCCCAAATGGATCCGCATGGACACGCGTCCCTTTGCCTCCCTGTGCCGTGATGCAGCCACAGCCCTCGGGCTGGGACTGGCCTTGCACTTCCGCCGTGCCCAGGTCAAGCAGGAGAGGCTCGGGTGGCCTTGCAGGGCTTGGTGTGCCGCCCTCGCCCTCGTTGTCTTGCGCCTTCTCAGTGACATGGGGCAACCGCAGGAAGCGGCTCTCTGGTATGGACTGGCGTTTGTGAAGTATGCCACGTTCCCATGGATGGTAGTCACGCTGCTTCCCAAAATAGTTCTTGCTGTGGCCTCTAGGGCAACACCACCCCACAAGGAGTAGCTTGCAGGAGGAACGAGATGCTCTTTGGGAAGGCCCAGCAGTGAGGGACCCCCTCAGGATCACGAGCCTTTCCCTGCAGGCACCCCCATCCACCCTACTTGACATGCAGTCGGTTTTTCCACTCAAAGACATTCTAGATTTTGCCTCAGAGCCGGTTCATTCAGACAGGCCAGTACATTTTCTCTCCTGGTCTAAACAGCTGTACCAAAAAGCAACCCAACATCCTGGCTATTTCTTTCCTCATTGCCTCCACATGTACATGCTTATCCCAGCTCGACTAAGAAGTATGGTTTTCTTGTGTGCCCGTGGCGGTTTACAGTTCTGTTCAGCTCCCGGCACGGCAGCCCAAATGATTTTAGGAAGGCCTCTCCAGTGGCAGGAATCTGGGACAGGCTGCCTGGTGACCCAGCGGAATGGATATCACAGTGGGCAGTTCAGAGCTGGCCCAACAAGGGTGCGTCTCACTTGGGTCAGGCGGAGCTGATTTGTGAGGCAGGAGGAGGTGCTGGGTGGTCTTTCACTCCTACCAGTCACTGGGTGCTAAAAGATCTCTGGTCCAATCTTTTCGGTGGAAGGATGCTTTCCCCCCTAAGCTTCCCTGCCATGCAGAGAGGGAGTTTTCATTGGAAGGGCAAAATGCATGAAAAGAAAAGGCACAACCTTCCCTCCTGCACCCCCAGATTCACCCCTCCCCGCCAACCCCAGCATGGTAACTAAGCTTAGGAAAAGCTTCCCATAGGCTCCAGTGTCTTCTTCCCATAGGCTCCAATTAAGCCCCTAAGCTTAATTACCATTTGGGTGGGGAGTTGCATGATGTGAGGAGGAGGGTTTCTTCTTGCCAGAACATCGTGCTGTTTCTTGGAAACAAGTTTGGCTCAGACGTCCTCACTTTTGGTGGAGTAGACATTCACGTATGTACCTGAAATGGTTTCTGTACAGTACTGAGATCCCACCCACAAAGAGTGGTGCACGCATTATTCCTGCGTTGAGTCCACCAAGCTTAGATCAGTGAATCAGAGTTGGAAAGGAGGCTGATGAGGTCGTCAGCTTAGGGCAGAGAACTCAAGGGAAGATCTAACTTGAGCCTTGTAGCAACAACAAAGCGGTAGCTTCAGTCATAGGCAAGGCAGGACAGGGCCTTTCTCGTCTGCTGATTTGCTCTGCCTTAGTGCTAGAGCACTTCCCTAGGTGCAGAATCGCTGGCCGCAACGGCAGCTGGCTTGCTGCTTCGAGTGTCAATCCTCCAACCCAGAGGGAGCCGTGCAGGTAGCACTCCTGCCTGGCAAGGAGGGCACTCCAGTCCCTGGTCAAAAGCACCTGCATCTGTCCACGCAGGCTTCCAGGCTTCCAGTGATGAAATGGCATCATTCCCCACTCAGCTGGGTAGTTCAGATGCGAGTGGCCACCCAGTAATTGCTAATAATTAATCATCCTGGGATGCATTCCAGAGCAGAGCGGCCATTCCCTCCCCCCCGCCCCCCAAAGTTTTTCTCCTGTAATTGTAATTTTCTAGTACCACTCAGCTTTTGATATGGATGCAACACTCCTTCCTAACATGAACTCTTGGGGAACTTTCTGCATAAACAGTGGATGAGGAGACCTGCCTTTGTTGGCCTGATGTGGCCACTCTTGTTCCCTCCCAAAGCTCCACTCCTTCAGAGATGAGCGGCGGAGGCAGAAAAAGGAATCTTGCTGTTTTCCCCCATTCCCTCTACAGAGTGTGCAGCTCACCCACTTAAGTGGGAGCAGGCACGGTATGCTCAGTGGGTTGCCTGCCCCGCTCAGTGGAAGAAGGGACAGGGCAGATAGAGCTGCTCCAGCTGAGGGATAAACATCCAGGGGGACTAGACTTCCCCTGAAATTTGGCTTCATTGTGTTGTTGAGCCTGAAGCCCAGCAGGTGCAAATATGCTCACTTCAACCCTATAAGTAGATAAAGCTGGAAAATATCCCAGGCTATTTAACATGTCCCTGTAGCATCTTTTCAACCTGCCTCTCACAAAAAGAATCTCACAGAATTGGAGTTGGAAGGGGCCAAGAAAGCCATTGGGTCCAACTCCCTGTTGGTGCAGGACACCAGTTTACACAATCCCACTCAAATGGTTGTCCAGTTTCTTTTTGAATGTCTCTAGTGTGGGAAAGGCAGCTGGTTCCACTGTTGTTTTGCTCTGACAGTGAGGAAACTTCCTGATGTCCAGCCTGAATCTGGGTTGCCGCAGCTCGAACTGATTATTTCATGTCCTACGCTCTGGTATTAGCAAGAATGGGTCCTGACCTTCCTCTTTGTGACAGATCATGTGTGTCCCCCCACCCACAGTCTTCTCTTCTCAAGGCTGATCATGCCCAGTTTGTTTAATCTCTCCTCATAGGCAATGTTTCCAAACCCTGAATCATTTCTGTTGCTCTCCTTTGGGCCCTTTCTAGTTTTGCTTTCTTTTCCCTCCATCTTTCTTAAATCTTGGTGCCCAGAACTGTGCACAGTATTCTAGATGAGGTCTAACTAATGAAGCATATGATCTGAGTGTGGAGGAACTCTGTGGTTCCATTGTTATACACAGATCACTACCTGGTAGGTTTTAGACTTGCTGGTGATTGGAACCTCTGCAGGGGTGGAGCATCAGGATGGTTTGCTCCAAGATGCTGATGGATATGATGGCTTCTTGACAGCTTTTGTGGATTTTCCTGTTGCCTTGGCAGGCAATTCTGTCAAAGTCCTGGCCAATCTTTAGAATGGAGAAATTACCCAGGCGGTGGACATAATCATTCTCGAGTGCCTTCTCTTGCAGAGTAGAGCCACCCCAGCACCTTGGGCAATATCCCCAGGTTTTCTGGGGATCTGGTGGCAATGAAATGGGTGAGATGTTGGCTAGAAAAACATTGGCAGAAATCTCAGATTGAATATGATCGAATACAGGCTACAACCTATATGAAGGCCTACTCTGGTGATATGCGCAGCAAAGAAGAGATTATTGTCTGCTGCTATCATGTCTGCAAAAAGCTGTTCTATGAAGTTGTTTCAGGTGGTCAGGGGTGTTTTATACACTAATCCTCAGAAAGAGAACTTAGATCTCTCAACAGCCTGCTGTGGACAATTTGCTCAGGACTTTGCAAAGTTATTTGCATTACTCTGACTTGTTGCTGTTGTTGATTTTGTCCCAGAGGATGTATCTTGGCTCCTGCTTGTCCAGTGTTATTGGATGCTTTTTAATGTGTACAGCCTTAGCATCTGGACAGGATTGTTGGAAAGGTGAGAGCTATCTTTCTGGATCTTCACCTTTTCTAGCTCATTCTGACTATGGAACACACTCCACCTGGCGCCATCATTATAAGTTTTTCGGCACCAGGTCAAGACCTTTTTATTTGACCAACATTTTAAAGTTAATTAATTTTAATTGTATATTCGTTTAATTCATTTTAACCATGTTATTTTATACTCAACCAATATATTTGTTTAGGTCTGGAGATTGTATTTGGGTTTTAATGTCTGTAAATCACCCAGAGAGCCCTCTGGGCTATTGGGGTGGTACATAAATGCGATAGATAGATAGATATATTCATTCTTGTGATCTGGAATTAATACTTCTGTTAATGCATCTCAGAATAGCATTTGTCCTTTTTGAGGCTGCATCACATTGCTGGCTCATATTTAGCTTGTTGTCCACAATAACCCCAAGGTCTTTCTCTTTTTCAGTTCTGTTGAGCTCATCTCCCCCATCTTGTATCGATGCATTTGGTTTTTTTTCCTAGACAGAGAACTTGGCATTTGTCCCTACTGAATCTCATTTTGTTGCTTTCAGCCCAGCATCCAAGCTTATCAGGATCACCCTGGATCTTCATTCTGTCTTCCAGGATGATTGCTATTCCACCCAGTTTTGTATCATCTGCAGATGTTTGTTCCTTGTATTTCCTCATCTGAATAATTAACACACATGTGGAAGAGCACTGGGCCTAGGACTGAACCCTGTGGCACCCCACTAGTTACCTTTCTCCAGTTTGAGAAGGTGTCATTGATGAACATTCTTTGTGTCCAATTTAGCAGCCAAGTTTGGATCTACCTGATAGTTTTTTCTGTCTACTCCAGTGTTAGCTAGTTTGCCTATCACGATGCAATGTTGAAAGCTTTGCTAAAGTCAAGATAGTGTCCATAGTGTTCCAGCTGTCCATTTGGGAGGTTACCCAGTAAAACAGTGCGATTAAATTGCATATTGCAGCAGCAGCATCCTTCCATTCCAAGAGTGCTTGAATGATCAAGCTGTATACTGTATACTGATTTCTTCCTTCCCTGTTTCCCAAGCATCTTGAAGAAGAAGGGGTCCCAGAGGTTAACAGACACATCATGAGGCTGAGCTGAAGGGGGCGAGCTTGAAACTTTACTGCCTCCCCCACTGCTTTATATCTACCTCCCAGTTCCTCAGGACATAGTTGATGCTCCAAAACAAAGCAGTACCATCCCTCAGGCTACTCCCTCACCCTCTGCCTACCTTCTGTGTGGGTTCCTTAATGAAATATTAAAATATAAATAATGCACTAGTTTGTAAATAACCACTGTTTAAATGGCAAGCGTGCAATAGTAAGCAAACCCTATTTCCATAAGGACTGGCAGTGCTGGTTGCTGTGGTCTGCTAGAACTCTGGCATTAATTAGCCCCCACAGAGTGAATGAGTACTGTACTACTGCCTAAGGTTTCCCTTTTTGTACTTTTCAATCAGTCTTTCCCAGGTATGACCGAAATATCAGAATCAATAATGCAAAGCTAGTTGGCATTTGCAGCAAGTATAATTTGTTGGTCACAAATGAACCCCTTTCACTTTGGAGACACAGAGAGAAACATAATTGGAGGGGCTTGTCAGCCTTTTGCTTTGTAAACTCAGATTAAGCACAAGCTCGATATCTTTTCTCAAGAAAAAAAAAAAACTTTTATTGTATGAACATTTCCCTGGCATTCTGTGAATCCGCTTCCTTACCGTGTTCCCCCCAGCATTTCATGTTAAGAAGCATAAAAACATGGTACATGCAAGGCTTGTGGCAAATAACCAGAACAAACCTGTACAACTGTCTGTTGTTCATATTTGGATGCTGTTTAGCACCATGTCCTTTGGTGGGGGCGAAGTCAATCATCAGAGCAACTTATTCTTTTATTACTTGTTTCATTAGTGTGCTGTTTATCTTGCTGTATTTTATTGTAAACTGCCCAGAGAGCCCTCTGGACTGTAGGGCAGTGTATAAATGTTAAATGAATGAATGAATAAATAAATCTACATACCATCTGCTATAGTGGCCACCAGTGAATTTCAAAAAAGGGGAAATGCATTACCAGAAAAGATGGCACCATTTTGCATAGATGTAAATTTTAAAATATGATAATTTAATTGGAAATGCTCAATCGGCTGTCCACGTGCTCTTTTGAGGACGCCCTCAAAATAGAAGACAGGCCCCTGACAGGCCTTCAAATAGAGGACTGTGCTCTTTAAGAGAACATCCATGGGAGCTGTAGATACGTCCTTTGCATGTTTACTCAGAAATAGCTCCACTGTGTTTAGTGAGGCTTGCTCCTGTGGAACTCTGTACATAAAGAACAGGAGCTGGCAACTTGTGGTGCTTCAGAAGCTGAGATTGCATTTCCCCTAATCTCTCACCTCAGGTTATTTAGGCCAGGACTGATAGGAGTTCTAGGCCAGCAACATTTGGAGGGCCACAAGTAGCCTCTAACTGGTAAATAGAATTCTGGATTAAGACACTACGAAGCACACCTCCTGCATGCACTTGGGTCAGATCTCTGGCAAGAATAATTTCTCTCTTCCCCGGCACCCTGCTCAGTCAAAGAGGAAAAGAGACCACCTCATCTACTTCTGGCACTAGACCTACCCAGTTCTGGCATGCAGCCCAAGAAATTAGTCCCACAGGAATGTGGCCCTTGACAGAAAATTCTGCCCTCCTCTCCTTTAACGTAAAGAGAAAACTACCTCATATCAAAGCAGCAGCAGCAGCAGCAGGAGAAAGGTCTTCCTGTAATTTGTAAAAAAAGAGGTGTGTGTGTAGCTGTGGTCTTTGATAGGAAAACGGGTGTTTTGCAAGTGTGCACCTGTTTTCATGTGTGAAACAATATGATTCGGGTGCAGAACCGTTAGTATGGGCCAAATCAGGTCCATCTGGCAGCTAAACCAAGCCCTCTGGTATTTTCCAGATGGCCACAGCTGCTTTCCCAAGCCACTTGTTGGGCGATTTCCCAGCTTTGTGCAGTGATTATCCTGTTGTTCTCTGACAGTTTATCCTCTTATTATTTTCCTATGACTTAATTACTGGCCATAAGAGCTTTAAGCTAGAATATGCTAGAAGGTTCTGGGGGGGTTTTTTTGGTTCTTATTCATAACTGTTTCACCTTTGGTACTGCCTACCACTAGGATGCAGTTGCTGAAAGTTTCCCCAAAATGGAACTTGGCTGTTGGGGTGAAACACCCCTGCTTTAGAGTTGGTACATGTTTGGCATTCAGAAGCTTCTGGCCTGGCATCTCCTAATAAGGCTGGAATGGCTCCCTCCTAAAACCCTCAACTGCAGGAGGCAATTTTGGGCTTGATGGCTCCGTGGTCCAGCCCAGCTTAAGGATGCTCCAATTTCCCATATTCCCAAGTGCCTGCATTCAAGACATACCATGTTCATCTCTCCTCCCTGTCCCCGCACTCTGGTCATTCGAAAAGTGGAGACAAGACTTACAAAGGAAAGCCAAAGGGCTTCATACATTAATTCTACCACAAAATATTGCCAGAAACAATTTTATTTACACAAGGACAAACATTGGAACATATTACAAAATACTCAACTGAAAATTGTATCCAGAGAGAAAGAGAGAAAGACAGAAAAGAGAAAAAAGCAAGAGGAGGGAAAAAACAAAACAAAAAACAAACTACAGGTATTCCCCACTTAAAGGGGCATCTTCCAATGTCATGGGATGGGGACTGATTAAAAAAAAAGACAAGTCCCAATTCCCCTCCACAAGAACAACCCCCTTGACAACTTAATACTGGTGTTGTATCCTGTTAAAAGGATACTCATAGAATGGGAGTTGTAACACATGCACACGCGCACACGTACGCACGCACACTCAATTGTTCCATGCTGTTGTCCTGAAGACTAATGGCTTTTCAAAGTATTTGCTACCCTTGGCTGGCTTGCACTTCTCCCTCCTCACAAATTAAAATCCAAGATGAGAAACAGTGTGGAAACAATGGCTGGTGAACATTTCTCTTGCCTTCCTCCCACCTCACTCTATCCAGACAAAAAAATAAACAAAAACCAGAGAGAGAAGTTAGAAACAGAGATGGAACTGTGACAAACCCTAAATGCATGGCCCATCCCATCTTAATTGAAATGCTGTCATTAAATTTAGCTGAAATCTTTCTTGATTGAGATGAAGGGTGAGGTTTTTTTCAGATTATAACTTTATTACAAATCTCTGAGAGCAAGGAAAAGGGAAAAAATAGGATCGATAGCTTTGTATCAGCCCCTGATCTGGTGAATGCAGTTTGCTTCTGTGCAGAAATAGGTGCATGGGACATAAAAAGCTTGTACTGCGGACAAAGACTACATCCTGCAGCGATGCCGACAATACACCCACAACTCCATGGGTCACCCTGTTCACATGCCCTGGTGGAAGCCTCGGTGTACTAGGCACTGTTTAGCCTAGAGACAAAAGCAGCCTGTTGCCTTCTGCAGATCTCTAGGTCTGCACAAGAACTTCCCACAAACTGCAAATGGACAGCAGCGCCTGTGAAAAGAAGATGCGGTGCAGAGGATGTTGCGACTCATATGTGAATGAAAGAATCTCCTGTGTGGACAGACAGGAAGGATTTACGCACTCTTAGGAGAGTCTCCACCTATAACAGGGCTGCAAAACCTGTACTCCTTCAGAAGTTGGGACTATACTCTGCTCCATTATCTCTGATCATTGGCCATGGTGGCTGAGGATGATGGGAGCTGATGTCCAATATCTGAAGGGCCACCACAGACTCCCCCGTTGTCCTCTACACCTTATGTGCACAAAATTAGAAATGCCTATCAGCCTGCTATAAATGTTACCTTGTCCTGACCTTAATTTCTGCAGGAGCAAAAATTTCAATCCTTGTATATCTTCCTCGTAAAAACTGACCCAGTGGGCTGGTTCACATGTCACAACCACCCATGGGTTGTTAGGAACAAGCAGGAGCAATTGGGTATGCTGCCCTGGCAGCTTTCCACTTTCAATTAGAAACCTATCACTTTCAATTCCACTTTCAATTAATAACCTATGATCACCCCATTCACTGGTTGTTTAAAGTAATGCCTGAACCTAGATGCTCTGTGCTGTTTTAGGGTTAAACAATCCAGAGTTAAACCATGGTTTGTTTCTAGGTTAACTCTGAACAATCCAGAGTGTCTAGATTAGAATGTCACACTAACAACCTATGAATGGGGTTGCTAATTGAAATTAGAAATGATGCGTCACCAGGAGCAGCAAGCTTGTTCTTGCTAAATTTTGGCTATTTGTGAATTAAATAACAGACAAACTGCTGTTACATGTAAGCCAGATCAGTGCATCAAACCAATGTGCTGCCTTGAACATGTTTTAAACTTAGAAACATTGACTGGGTTGGAGCCAGATGTAAGTCAGTTGCCCTTAAGGCCCACTGATTTCACTAGGAACTAAGTTATGACTTGTCCCACTGATCTCACTGGGACATCAGTACAACTCATTTAACTGGGAGTATCCTCCATTTAACTCCATATAGCTTACTTCCAAGCAGACACACATAGCATTGTGTTAGTCTAGATTCAACCTATTACAATGAACTTCATAACCACAGTGGTTGGGCCTCCCCAGAATGTCACTCACTCTATCTGCTCTATCTCCTAATAAAGAAAGAGGAGGTGTGTGCGATGCTTTAAGCCAGAGGCAGGCAGACTTCAAGCTGTGAGATTTCTATTATGTTTTTTTTGGAAGCTTGAGGCCTATGAACTAGAGCAGGTGCAAAAAGGTGGCTTGAAATAGTGGCTGGTAAGCAGAGGTTAGTGGCACTAGAAATGACAGGGATGCAGTACCAGTACTACTTTCCTTACTGGAGCACTGATGTAATCTGCCACCCCTGAGAACTCCCCATTGATGCTTACAGTAGCTGGGGAGAATTTTCCCAGCAACAATATATTATTCTGAAGGTGAAGTATATTGCAGTGGCTTGGTCTTGAATAGCTACTGGTGCAGATCCACCAGCACTGGTGGGCTCTCCTTGGGGGCATGGCAGCACCTCCACGGTAAGTGCCTTCACTACACCACTGGGTGAAAAGCCATCCCAACTTAGAATTCAGAACAGGATGCCTCTGAGTATATGCTCAGTCCAGGGATTTGTTTTAACTACCCAAACTGAGCTCCTAATTCTGCTGTGCAAAAATCTATTCCTGGCACTCTGTATCACACAAGTTTTCCTTTATCTCAACAGACTAAATTGAGAAGATGGTGGGTGAAAGCCACCTTGTGGTTGCTGTTGGGAATCAGAAACCATTCCTGGTCTATTGCAAATCATTCCAATAAAACTTTCACCTATCTCTATTAAAGTTCCAAGGAGAGCAAAAAAATGAAAAAACCACCAAGCAATGCTGTTACTCAACAATGTTCATGGGATGGCAGTCTGCCACTGACTATCAGCCTGGGGGTGTGTGGGGGGGTGGGGTATGGATGTGGAATAGGGAAAAACAGCCCCTATGGCTCCCCCCCCCCAATTCCACAGTATGATTTTTTAAATATATATATATATATATATATATCAGGACCTAAACCTGGCCTAGTAAATCTCCTTGGTTAGGCAACTAGACCTCACATTCTCTAGGGCTGTAGATTTGACTCAAGTCTTCCGATCCATAATGGCAGAACTGCAGATGGCGTATAGAATGGAACAGAACATTGGTAGAGGCAGATTTAGGGTCTCTTCCCAACCCCCTCATGAGGCTCCACTGTGTATGGATTAAATCCATGCATCAAGAAATTTTACTTCCTTCTTTAAGCAGAGAGGTCCTTCCATATACACTAAGCTAAGCAAACCCAGCCCAGTCCCATCTTCTGTAACTGGCAGGTAAACCAAAATATGAGAACTGGAGAGAAAACATATACACTGGAGAGAGAAGCATGTACAATAATTCCAGATTGCTGGGAAAACTATTGTATGCTCTCAGTATGATTTCATAGAATCACAGAGTTGGAATAGGTAATCCAGTCCAACCCCGTATTCTGTATAGGAAATTTAGAGCTAGAAAATGCCTACTCAGACCTCTGCTTGAATGCCTTCACAAGGGAGAGCTTCCTACACATCAAAAGCAATTGGTTCCCACACTGAACTGCCTTTCCAAGTGTGATGTTTCTCCTGATGTCCAACCACCCTCCTGAAGCCCATTAAATTGAGTCCTGTCTTCTAAGACAGCAAAGGACAAATCTGTGCCCCTTCAGGTATTTGAGGAGTTCGACCATGTGCGACCATCTCCCTGCCTGTCCACACAGCACAAGTGGTGCTCAGGTATACCACAGCAGGCCAAAGCTGAGCAATCTACCCCAGAGGAGGTGCAAAACCACATACCACAGGATGCTTCACTTTCACAACTACTGAGCGCTGCACATTTTGCTAAGGATAAATTGAGGGGAAGTTCAGATGCACTTTGAGTAAACCCCCACAGAAGCACACGCTTTGTATCGTACACAGCTATACAAACTACCCGTCTAGAATCGATTCAGGGCAACCAATTCTGCCAGACTGAACAGCACTAATTGGCAGGTGCATGTGATGTTGCCAACCTTTTTCCAGCCCCAGGCCAGAGCAGTTTTGTAGCTTTTTTCAAATGGGTTTTCCCTTTAAAGACAAATCCAGAAAGCGTCAAGCATTTACATGAATATATTTAATGCTATGCTTAATTGCTTAATTTGTTTATGGGTCAGCTGAAGACTGGAGGGAGGACAGCACAGAGAACTGAGCTCAGTGTTCAAAACACTGGAAAATACATCTGTCAACTGCACTTTGAAGGCATGGGAGAACACTTTCCCTGCCTCAAAGGCTCCCTTTGTGGGATAGAAATAAAATGGCGAGTCCTGTTTAAGGGTACACACCCTTAAAGTGCCATCTGGGAATGTGGGAAGTTCTTGGGTCAACCTAGCCATGGGAATTGGTCCCATTACTGGGCTGAAGTCAGGCTGGCCCAGCCATGAAACCATGCAAGCACAAGGGGCAGTGAAGGCAGGGACTGGTATCTGAATAGTGCTGTAAAACTTTTCAAAGTGTTGGTCCAAATTGACATGGAGGCAGCGGTGGTTGTGGAGATGGGACATACTGGCCCTGGGCTTCATTTTAGGCAGCTAAATTTCTTGAGCTGACATGACTGCAGTTACTGAGGGCTGCCATGATGGGAAAGACCTGAAAACCAAAGGAGAGCGATGGGTGTGGTGGTATGCTTTATACAAGCATTGTAAAGGAGAGATGTTTTTAAAGGTGTGGTCATCCATGATCCATATTAGCACACCTCCCCAGCATAGTCAGGAATGTGGCAATGTTATTGTGTGGTTCCATGCACAGTGTGCTGACAGCATTGTTGTTGGTAAAAAAAATCAGGAAACTTCAGCACAACACTGCTAGAATGCAGGGAGCAGGAAAGTGGGGATTAGAAACCAATTGTAAATTCTCCCATCTTGGTCATTTTCATCATTATTCCACCGTTTACAATAATGCTAATAATAAAGCTTTTGGTGCTATAGATGGAGATGGAAAATTCTCGGTCTGGTAGAGCCTTCCCAGTCTAGCACCTTCCCATGCTGTCTGAGGATGATGGGTGCTGTAATCCAACACATCTGAAGGATGCCAACTTGGGAAATCCTGGTGTGGTAGTTAAAGTTACAGGTGGCAGCTAACATAACAAATTGGCCATCCAATATTGCTTCCCTTCCTGGCAAGGATGCATTTCACCTCTCCGTCCCGCACATATGGCTTGTTCTTCCTTGCTACTAATGCAAAATCTATACTTGTGGGTATGTTAAAAATAACACAAACATGAAAATTCAGAAATGGTTGGAGGTTCTCCCACACAGCTCAGTTCCCTGAATCCATCCTCAGACCCTCTTGCGTGTCTAGGATATTGCATGGGATTGGCTTGCTATCCCACTCCAGCTGTGGCAAAGAGGCACCACCATCAGAGTGGAGAGCAAAGGCTTCCCTGCATGCTCAAATTCTTCTATACTGACAATCCACATGAGGATCCTCTTCCCTAGCTTCTCTATTTTTCAGTCATATTTTTCCCTGTTGTTGGTTTTTGCAAATCTCCAGCCTCCATCCCCATCACCCAGGTTTTTATGCAGCTGGTACTGCATTTGCACATAATGAAAAGCTATTTTTAACCATGGCTTGTTGCTTTGGTCATGAATTGTCTTGGAGGCAAGCAAATGATAAGTGGTTTGTTTTCTCTTTTTTTCCCCTGTCCCTTTGCCAGCCTTCAGAGAAAGTTCATTTTCAGGCTGCTCTTTCAAGGTAGAAAGCAACACAAACAAGCCAGGGACAAGCCACCAGTGTGAGTTTACACATCAATACAAGCCATAGGTTAAACAAGCCAGAATCTATAAGCCAACTACAAATAATGACTTTAATTTCTGTACTGTACCATGGCTTGTCTCCAAGAATGGGTTCAGGCACTGGCTAGTCCATGTAACACAACAGCTCCCCGTGGATGAGGCTGTGGTGCACATGCAGCCGCCATTTTGGATATCTGACCCCCACTCAGGGCTTGTGCAACTCCAGCAAGAGTGGGTCATGCAAGATTATATAGCTGTTGCATAACCCTAGACCAGACTTGAGGGGTTGAATATGCAAAGTGGCACCAAGGCTCATGGGAACTGCATCAGGCCATGCAAACCAGGTCAACAAGAAGCCAGATTTTCATAAGCCACACCCTGGCTTAGTGTTATGTATGAACCAAGCCACTGTGTTTGATAAATCAGAACACGCTGCACTGAAGCAGTGGGTTTTGCTGCCCTCTGCCTCTTTGCTGTTCTATGGATCCAGCTACTAGCTATCTATTATACTTGAAGAAATGGAAGAAGGAAAGCACTGTCTGGGCATGTCTCACCCTTCACCATGGATAAGAGAATGAATATCTCATAAGAAAATCTGGGAGGAAACATTGCCCTTCCACCATGGAACAGTTGGGAAGACTAAACCTGAAGCAAACCCAGGGATTCCTGAAACAAACCCTGGCAAGGTTAACAACCATTAAGTGCAGCTAAAAACACATCACAGTCTTACATTCCACGCAACTTCCAACCCCCCTCCCCAGTGCCTCCCCCACCCATCCCACACACAGTTTAGAAATCCCATTGCCCTGAATTAGTGAAAACAATACAAGCCCCATCATTTCCTTTGTTGCATTATCCCTGCTAGCAGCTTTCCAAAGGAAAGGAGAGTTTTGTGGTACGAGTTAAAAAAATACTATTAAATAATACATCTGTAATAAAATTATATACCTTTTTTCTTTATATCCATTTCTTTTAAAAGCTAAAATTGTTTTTTTTCTTTTTTTTTCTTTTTCTTTCTTTTTTGGCTGGTGAAGTAACAGCATTCTCTCCTTTTTCTTTTTTTTTTCTTTTTCTTTATGAATGGACAGAGTTTCATTGAAACAAAGTTTGTGCACATGATACAAGAAATCAAATTATTTACAATAAGTGATGAGGAGTATTTCAAACAATGACAAAATGAAGAAGGGGGAAAAAGAACAGAGAAGAAAAGAGAGAGAACTTCAAGAAAGCATTGGTCATTGAACAGTCAACAAAAGTCTTCATTACAAAAGGGATTTCAATGACACATGGCCTGATCCGGCTAAGGATATCCATGCTTGTAAAACAGGTTTCATGTGTGTATTCCTTGCCAGACTGGGAACTGCAGGCATAACTCAGACACACATTTCAGATCCGCAACTAAATTTGCAACTGAGGATGCAGCCTGTCTGCTTTGTGCTACACTGCTCTGAATGCCTCTTGTGATGTGTGTTCAAATGAGTATCCCCATCCACATCATCGCCAAACAACTCAGATACATTAAGGGTTTGTTTATGCACAGCTGGAGCTGGATCCAGGTCGTGTGCTCGAGATTACATGGGATTCCTTTCCATGGTTAAACAGGATTATCTCCCACATAAACGGTTAACTAAGATGGGTCTGGCTGGGGGTGGAATGGAGAAGAAAAAGTGAACTCACAGGGAAATTAAGGCATTAACAAAAATGACTTAAAGGCACACATTTTTCCTTTCTCCTCACCTGGGGGGCTTTTCCAAGAGTTTAATTCTAAAGTATAGATAATGAAGAACATTTTACAGCTGAGATGGATCAGGGGACAGAGAGAATGAGGCAATAAAGGTCAGGATCAGATCTAAACAGATTCAGTCCAGAAAACCCAATATTTTTGCTGGGATGTGGGAAGGAAAGAGTGAGGACCTAAGGTCAGAAACTAAGGAGGCAAGGAAACATATTGTAAAATGCAATAGGGGGTTAGCCTTCAATCCCTTCTAAATGTGCAACTATCCCAGAGTAGAGAAATGGCATTTTGGGGCAAATTCTGCAAGATGGGGCAGGGGCTGGGCCAGCCCAATAGGCAGGAGAGATGGTTGCCTAGAGCAGCAAGAATCCCAGGGGTTCCAGGCTACATGGAAAATCTCCCAAGGAGGAAAACACGATCTCCCTCCTGCCCTAGTCTCTGGAAGTTAGAAGCCCACCTCGTCAGCTTTCCTGACGGCAACCCAGCTCCCCTCACTCTACACAAGGGGATGGAGGAGGTCTCCACTCACATAGATGGGACAGGAAAAGGGTGCTGAAACTGGGAAAGCCTCTGAGGAGGGAACACAGCTCTCTCCTCTCTTGGCTTCTTGAAAGTCTTGTGGGGAGTGTGTGTGTGTGAGAGAGAGTGAGACAGAGAAAGAAAGAGAGAATTAGTTAATGATCACCTGAGGCAACAAAATGGTTCGTGCCAGGCTTGAGAAGCGGGGATGAGCTTAGTGGCTAGAATAGGGGTGGGGTGGAGCAAATGATGCCTAAGAAAGGAAAAATGGAGGAGATGCCCATGTGAAAGCTACCACCATTCCCCCTGCAAATCTCAAAGAGTTAGGACAAAACGGTGATGCTGGTGAGAACGAATGCCAGGAGACTGACGCGATCACGCACACACACGCACACACAGGCTCATTTTGTCCAGTGCAACTCTTTTTTCCGTTTTTTTTCTTTTTAATAGATAAAAAAATTAATTTGTTGTTGTTGTTGTTGTTGTTTTAACGAACTCACAAATGACCAATTAACCCACAGAGTGACAGCTACACAAATTGAAGTCTTGGCACTTCACAACACAGGTTCGGCCTCCATTGGCTCTTCTGTTTGTCTGTGGGGAGAAGGAAGAAAGGAAAGAATAACTCATTAATGGCATCGCATTGGCCCAGATGTGGAGGAACTGTCGGATACATGGGTGCAATGTCAGAGGATGTTCAAAGAACATTATCATAGAGGGACAGTTAATCAGAACTGAAGATCAGCACAGCAGTTAGGAAAACAGAAGCTCTGTCCAGGAGACACAGAACAAGGCTATAACCCTCTTGGGTTCTGACAATCAAGGTGTCATGCTAAGAGGGCTGGCAAGCAATGCATTCTTTTAGAGGCAAGGCAAGGATGGGAGGAGAGCAGGAGAAAGAAGCACAATTAGAAGGAGTCTTACTTCCAGCACTGACTGGGATCAGCATGCATCTTCTGACATAAAAATCTTAAGATCTGTGTCAATGAGCAGGTTCAGAAGACCACTTGTCTCCAATCATATCCATCCATGCCTTCTGGCATGGAAGCAGGGCTGATTATGATTCCTGATCTTGGTCTCCACCTGTCCTCCAAATCTGTCACTGAAGCCAGGACTAACAGCACCCCAGAAGGGAAGAAGGCACCCTATTCTGGACTTTAGCCTCCTGACAAGAGAAGTTCCTCCTTGCCAGCCCCAGCTTTTTGACCAAGGCTTTATCCAAGTCTGACTCCCAACAGAGCACAAAGTTTCAGTGTTCACTCAGTGGGATCAATTGCCTGAGCAGTTTTTACACATTATCACCTGATTCAGTAAGTACACAAACTGTCTCTTACAGGACTAGTCCAGAATACACAAAGAAGATGGCTGGAAAGCAGGCTATATAACTTCGCAGATTTGGAACAAGAAAGAAACATATATGGATAACCAATTCCCTTCCAACTTTTACTCTTCATACTTCTTTTCTCTTGCATTCCTTTTTAAAAGCAAATAAATGTTACACAAAAGTGACCTAGTGACTGCAAAGAGTTCTTAAAAAATGGCCTCGACACCAATTAGCTGTCCAAAACCGACAACTAGTGTCAGCTTAGAACGGCAAGATGGAGCCTGTTTCACACTGGGCTACTTCCAACAGCCCTGTTGTGGTGGCAGGGTGGGAAGGGGTCAGTAACCCCAAGCCGACTCTCCCTGAGGGTTCAGTAAAGGAAAGAAGTCTGGAGGTTCATGGGGATTTCAGTTCTGGGTCTACAATGGTCAAGGCTGGTGCCAGCTGTGAGGGGACCCCAAGCAAAGCATCCTCCAGCAGGCCCCATCCAGCACCACTGGGCTCCCCTCCCAGCAGAGAGTGGCCACTTGCTGCCCCTGCTCCTGGCTGTCCCTGCCCGTGTCAGATGTTTGCAAGCCAGCAATCACTTTGATGCTCCCACAATGCCTCAGGGTAGCTTTATTCCAGGGCTATGAACATGTCAAAACAGCAGCTTCCCAATCATCTGCTGCTGTTCAGTCAACCTGAGTCCAGAGAGATGGGCAGGCAGAGAGGTTCGGCCTGGTTTAGTGAGCAGACAGGAGGGCGGAGTCCAGGGCAGGTGTCGGTGCCAGTGGGCCCTGCCTGGATGCCGAACCTCAACAACTGCCAAAAGGTGCCACAGGCTGCCCATACTCCTGAGGCCCTTTTTTGTGGATTTCCAAGATAAAATGCACAGCAAGCTCAATATGTTGCAAAGCATTTGCAAAATATTCCCCATGCCCACATGATCAGGCAGCAGGCAGCGAGACACTGATACTGCAGGAAAAATGCCTCCGCAAGGGCTAGCTCTTGCTGCCAGCCTACAGTGGCCTTCCCCACCTTGGATCTCTCTAGATACAGAGCCCTCATCCCCAGCCAGGTTCCAGGTTGGGAAAGGCTGGCCTATAGGGAAGCAAGATGGGGACTGCTCAGTGCAGAGAGCGAGCGCCTTGCAATCCCCTAACAGAGAACAACCCCAGCTGGCTGTCTCTTGGGAACATGAGGAACAGAACCCAAACCCTTACATGGCAGGTGGGCCTGATCCCCAAGCAAGTAAACTTACCGGACACCGCCATCAGCTTTCCCCTGCTCTGTGTCTACTGACAGTGATGCCATGGCGCTGACTGTCTCGGCCTCCTCAGCCTCGCCCTTCTGTGCCTCCAGCAAGGAACAACCAACAATCGCTGCGGAACATTTCACTGAACTCCAGTGCTTGCCTATGAGACAAATGGGAGAGCATCACACGGGAGCCTCTGGCCCCTTTGGAGCTGCCCTCCCAGGACAACCTCTCTTCCTTCAAGGCCTTCCACCAAACTCCACAATCACTTCTTCTGGGCAGCCACTGATGCAACTCCATTGCCTCAGATCACTGTTAGAGCATTGACTTAGTATGTGCAATGGAAATGCATGCATTTCCTTCTTTGACTGCATTCCTGCTGTCCCTGGAAAGCACCAGGGCAAAGGGAAGCCGGAGCCCCTGCCATTAGTCACAGAATGAGCAGCTGCAGGGATATGCATTTCATTTTACATTTCAAGGGTCAAGCGTCTCTGATTCAAACTCTAAAAATATGATGTAATAATAATATAAAACCATAAGATAATCTTGCACAATCCACAGTAAAAATCCCAGGAACTATTAAAAATGTTATCCTATGCTGTCAAATGTCTGGGAGTAGAATCTTAAAGTCTTAACCTGGTACTGGAAACCTGACAATGTTGGTGCCAGGGGGACTATACTGGGCAGAGTGTTCTATAATCAGGGCGCCACTACTGAGAAGACCCTCTCCCTTTAGCCATCTTCTAAACCTTTTTCAGATCAGGCACATGGAGGAGGGCCTTAGATGAAGATCCTGATTTCCTTTCCTTGGCCCAGCTCCCATTTGGACTGCAGAACCGAGGAGGAGGAGGAGGGTGCAGCAAATCTTGGCTTGCCTTGAACACCAGCCAAAATTTGTTCTCACCATGACTCTGCCCGTCTCCGCAAGAGGGCAACGACAGTGACCCTTGCAGAACTGCCGGAAGCAAGTCCTGGTTTCCTCTACAGCTCTGAAGGACAGGAGTCTTATCTCAGATGCTCAGCAAGTAGCAAATGAAAAGCACCTGGTTTCCTCACAGCCCTGCAGGTGCCCCCAAGGCTCAGCAGAACACTGGGGAGAACTCCTGGCTTCCCCATTAGTGTTGCAGATTCCAGCATTTCTCCAGGTGTGGAAAAGGTGCAAGAATTAAAATGCAACATTGTCCTTGTTCACTACACTGGGCGTCACTGCCCCACCCCCACAATCTTACTCTGGATTTCAATGACATTCTCCAGCGTGGCCACAGCATTGGCATTGGGCTTTTGTCGCAACAAATCTTCATCTAGCTGTTCCAGCTGCATCAAAGGGAAAAAATGAGGTCTTTAATTGTTCTCCTATAAAAGTTGCAAGGATTCAAAGCTTTCTGAGGGGTATGGGAAATTTAGGGGTGAAAGGACAGAAGAATGGGTAAAAAAGGCAGGTGGAATTATGACAGAAAGTGACAGGAGAAGGGGCAAAAAGAAAGGCAGGACAGACCTGATCCCCCCATCCCACTGGGATGCATTTGGCCCAATGCCTTAATTACAGTGACTGTAGGAAAACATGTTTGTTTGTTTGTTTTCTATAAAATGTATGGCTTCTATTTTCATTCCTTGCTACTTCTCTGATGACAGAAACTAAGATGTATTTGCTTAGGAAAGGGTGTGACGGTTCACATGCTTTTCTTTAGTACTAGATGCATTCAAAATTTGCTTGTATAAAATTAAGGTCTTTATTGCAATGAGGTTACAGAATTCATGTAGGCGCCATTACACTAGCCTTGTGCAACCTGGTGCCCTCCAAATGAACTTGACTCCTACTTGCATTGGGCCTGCTGGCTGGGAACGATGGGAATTGCCATCCTACACATCTCAAGTGGGTAAATAGTCAATAGTATTCTTTTCCTGCAAACAAATCTGCTTGTGCCCTACACTGCACCACAAAACAAAAGAATCAAGCAAAATAATCACAGACCCTGAGCAGCTTGCACTAATTTCCAGCTGGGCCTTGTGCTGATGCCACTGGTCAGGTGGACATCTAAACATCTATTTAAACAGAAACTGACATACATCCCTGTACTAGTATAGACACACCTTATTCACGTTTCCCACCTGCCTCACTCCTAATCTGAATAGTGCTAGAACTCTTTGTCAAAGTATGGGCAAAATCACAGCCCACCAGTGCCCAGAAACACTGGACCTCATCCTAAGACTCACCCTGAGCCTTTCCCCTACACTCACCTCAAGGCCGAGCAAGGCGGAGACACAAGCCTCAGAGGCATCGCAGATGGCTGTCAGATCATGGCCTCCCTCCAAGGCTAGGACAACACGCCCACCTGCCAGTTTCATCAGCTGCTTGGTCAGGTGCCCAAAACCTGTGTGGTTAGGAAGAAAACAAACTGTTACCTTCTGCTAGAGAACTCATACTCCTTTCCTCCTCTCCCCTCACTAAGAGACAGGAGCAAGCCACAGGTGCCCACCCTGGAACTGAAAACAGTGCTCCCAGGACCTACGAAAAGGGTGCAAGCCATTCACAGGTGAAGCACTGGGGACAGGCAGCCCGTAAGCCATGATCCACAGTTGCCTTTTCGTTCTTTCCATGTGATTTTCAATTATGTTTGTACTTGATGCCTCAAAAGACTGGCAAGGCGGGGAAAGGGACTAATCACTGCTTCAGGACCAAAGGAGCTGCAGCGCCAACTGGTGTGACATCGCCACGCGGCATGGCGTGCTGGAGCTCCATGGCACAGCACACGGTGCTTTGCAAGCAGAAGGGGCCAGTGTTCATCCTTGACATGAGCAGATAAAAGGCTGACGGGGCCAGGAAAGGTCCGGCAGGTGAGCAAGGAGTAGTCCAATCTAGGCAGGAGGAACCAGTGGTCAGGCTTGGGGTAAGGCAGGGTCATGCATGCATGTGAGTGCTGTTTCTGAAAGCTTTAGCTAATGGGGCCCCATCCACATCTCCCAGCAAATCTCTTCCCTTGCATCGCACGGCAACTGTTCTGATCAAATTCAGGCTATATTCCTTACACCCTCCCTCATTTCTATGCATGGGGTCCCAAAAGCCCTACTGGCTGAGCCAGCTCAGGAAAACCCCCTCTAGGCTTTACTCTTAAAGCCAGGCAGGGCTTAGCAACTAAGCCCAGTTTAATACATGGGCTTTGCTGGAGCTGAAGCTAAGTAGGCCTGGGTCCAGTCAATTCTGGGATGGCAGACTGCATAGCAATCAGGTATTCTGCCTTAAATCCCTCAGTGAATGACAGGTGGGATAGAACTACAAATAACTACATGAATGTTGTATGATATGGGCATGGTTTTTCCTGGAAGAGGGATGGTGCTATGCTCCCAGTGGTAAATACACATCGCTACCCATCAGAGATACAGTTCTGTGCCCACCTCCCACAACCTATGTGTGAGTAGCTTGCTGTCTTTAGAAACTAAGAAGGCCTCCCTCCCACAAGACCAAAACTCACATTTGGCGGTGACAGAATATCCACCCAGTGGGGACAGGTGCCCCTCCACGGCATCGAAGCCAGCAGAAACAAGGACCACATCTGGGGAGAACTCATTGGCTATTGGCATCACCACAGTCCTGGAAGGACACAAGGTAGCTCTCAGATGTCTCTTAGGAGGAGGCAATTCACCAGCAAAAAAGTCTGCATCACCCCACTGGACAGGGAAGGGAGAGTCCAGCTGTACTGACCTTTCCCCCATCTCTCTGCAGCTCCCTAATGCACAATGATTAAAATTAGCCCCATCTCTGTTGACTACACAATGACTTGCACCTCACTGATGCAAGCCTATCAAAGAGATGCCTGGAGGGCTGCCGTCCCTTCCCAATATCAACTGCTTCCCAAAACAATTTCCAGAGGGGTTGGGCAAGTCCATTTGCTGCAGAAAAAACAATGAAAGAGTCTTGTGGTAGGGATGCCTCAAAGCTCTGAGGAATATGTCTCCTTTAGTATTTAGACTTTCTCTTAAGCTTGGAGAGCTAGCCAAGCAGAAAGAAGTCTGAAGATGCTGGCAGAGCAGGGGGAGCACAACCAGCAACCTTCTTCTGTGTCATGGGAAGCAGCACAAACAGAAGCTACTTCACGTGACATGGAAGAGGGACGCCACTTGTGAAGCAGCCACATTGGGCTTATTCCTGATGAGCCCTGTGCATCTTCTGGACACGCTCACCTGCAACTCCAGCTCTGCAGCTGTGGAAAGGCAGACTGGAGTCCAGGGAGCTGAATGGAAGGAATCCAGCAGATTCCCACCCACCAAAACAGATTCCTCACACATCCCTATCTTGTGGTTCCTTTAAGACTAACACATTCATGAGCTTCCACAGGTTAAGAATTTTGACTCCTGAACCTTCTGCTACAGAGCTCCCTACCAAGAAGATGGTGCTAGAGACAGGGAAAGAGCTAGACTAGACAATGATCTTTACGGTAGCTCAGCTGAGCAACATTTCAACATCTTTATGCCTTTCCCCTCATAATAATCTACATGAAAGTTGCAAATTTTCTCTAGTTATGAGGGAAATGGAACCCATGCACAGGGCTGCTTTTCTATTTTAATTGGTGTTGTTGCAGGAACACTACGGGAAGACTGCTTAAGCCAGTCTTCCCCAACATGGTGTCTTCTAGATATGTTGGGCTACAACACCCAGAACAGCCAGGTGGGGATTATGGGAGTTGTAGTCTACCACAACTGAAGACACAGGGTGGGGGAACTTGGTTTAAATGGTGACCTCTGTGGGGGTGGGGGGAATAGGGGCTGTACACAAATGCAAATATGTCTCTAATCAGAGACATATGTATTACTTGATGCATGGACTGAAGCAGGCTACCCAGCTATGCAGGAGGTCTTAGCTGTGGCAATCTGAGGAGGAAAGAGGCAAAAGGCAGCAAGCTCCTATGAGCGATCCATGTTCCAGAAGTAAATCCAGCACTGGCTGCTGTGATGGCATCTCTGTTTCTCGTCTGCAAGCCATACACACAAGACAACTGGGACGCGGCCAGGGGATAATGCAACTATTACAGAGACACCCACTGCCACCTTCAGCATCCTCCTTCATCTAGCATCCCTGGAGAGGATATCATGTACAAGACTTCATCCATGCAAGCATCCCTGTCAGTGAAAGACCCCAGTAAGATGGACAGGAAGTGCTGGCACCCCTACCGGAAGGCGGTCAGGTACTCCACGTCACCAATTGGGGGGTCCACTCCACCAGTCCAGGCAATGTTTACATTGTAACCTACACCCATCCCACTGCCGACCTGGAAGAGAGAAACCTCACAGTAAGAAAAGCTGGCCTTTAGTCATAGCTTGCAAACCATCAACACCAGTGCATTTTCCCAGTACTGTAACGTCCGGCTAGCACAGGGACTACAGCGAATCCCCTAACTTGCTGTCCTGTCACTATTTCTCCCTCAATACTCCATTTTTTAATGGAACTCTTTTTATTACTGTTTTTTTCCAGTGTTTGCAGTTTGTGCACACGACGAAGACATGTCAGTTTCAGTCCAGTAGCACTGTAACTTCTACCGACAGGAAGGGCTGCGCAACCCTTTCTGCAACATTATCCCCACTTCCTTTGAAGGAAACCTCCCTTCTCCTCTGCCTCCTCTCACTCCCTGCTTTTTCTTCACACTGATCTTCAGGGCATTTGCAGCAGGGACTTTGCAAGGGTGGATGGCACTGTTTTTCCCCTTATGCACCTCTGCAGCAGTGCACCAGCAGATACCCGCACACTCTATTTTTAAACCTCCATTTCTGCACAGCAGCAAAGGTAAACATGCAGTAAGCAGACTCTAAGAAGAAAAGGAAAATGGCAAAGTGGAACAGTGCTATAGTGTGGCACACGCCCATATGCTAAAGATAAACATGACAGAATGCATGTAATCATTTAAAGTCCTCTTACTTCTTCTCTAATGGCATCAGAATACATTCGCATGTAGTGTTCAACTGCAGTGTAAACATGCTGGATACTGTGCCACATTAATTGAGGAGCACTTGTGTTTTGGAAAAATCCCAGCACAGCTTTACAAATGAAAGGGGCTCCTGTGTAGATTCTCTATTGGGCCATTCACAGAGTTGCCAGGAAGGAGGAGGAAAGGATATATAGGCATAAATAGGGGAGGATTACTGCATGCAGCTGGATTCTATAAGAACATGGAAATGTAGAGTGAGAAAAGGAGGGAGAGACTCCTGGGCAGCAGTGAGCCAGATGTCTGCTTAGAAAAAAGCTAGTTAGCCTCCAATTACGTTGGAAGACAGGACAAGCATAGATATCTGCTCTTGAAAAAATAAACGCTCTCTTGGCAACTCAGTGGAAATGCTCCAGCTTCTGTCCTCCTTCCAAGTTGCCTCCTGGGCTGCAAAAACTCCCCACACACGAAGTGGCTACGTCACAGTGAGGGGGGACATTGACTGGTTAAGCTGCTGGACAACTCCGCTCTGCTTCTTTCTGCAATTCTCTCTCTTGCCAGAGCCAATTATGGTGCATACAGATATCCACCTTTACAGGAGTAGGACTTTCTGTTGTGGGGCAAACTCTACTTTCACCCTTAGGTGCTCCCACTGCTGACAACAGGGCTAGTCCCACCATGAGGCAGGGTGAGACATTCACCTCAGGCAGTAGGAGGTGGAGGTTGCAGGCTGCTATGGGAAGGCAGAGCTGTGTGCGCTCTGCCCTGCATTCCTTAAATTAGCTTTCAGTCCTCAGGTGGGTTGTTGTGCCACCAATGTAGATGTAGGTTTCAAATGCTAGTCCGTTTGGCTTCAGTGAAATGCAGGGGGTGGGGGAGAGACTTCTTGTCCTTTGCCACAGTTAATGGAACCTCTTGGGCTGGTCCTCACTGATGTATCTAAAAGGTAAAAGTTTCCCCATGACATTAATGTCCAGTCATGTCTGACTCTTGGGGGTGGTGCTCATCTCCATTTCCTAGCCAAGGGAGCCAGTGTTTGTCCACAGACAGTCTCCGTGGTCACGTGGCCAGCATGACTAAACCTTCCCACCAAAGTGGTATCTATTTATCTACTTGCATTTGTATGCTTTCGAACTGCAAGATTGGCAGGAGCTGGGACAGAGTACGGGAGCTCACCCTGCCTGCGGATTCGAACTGTCGACCTTTCGATCAACCAGTCCAGCGGCTCAGTGGTTTAACCCACTGTGCCACCGCATATGGCTTCAAATGCAGGCTAGATTTTCACCTCTCTCCCCATACATGCTTCAGGCTGGTGTTTTGTTTTAAAACATTATCCACTTTTTTGACCTAGACATTACAGAGAGATTTCAAGCTGGTTTCTGCCATAGCATCTTGTATATTTCAGAGTCAAGGACAGAAGTGAATTAAAGCTGTGTACTCACCTCTTCAGGAGCTCCACTGCCTGGGAAGAAATTGCCATTGTCAAAGCGATGGAGAGAGACATAGAGCACATTGGGGTCACTATAGAATGCCTGCTGGGTGCCATTGCCATGGTGGATATCCTGCCAGTACAAAGGAGAATGTAACCAAGAAAGCAGTGAGTCAATAAAGGCACACCACTTCAGGCCAATCAAATCAAAGGAAAGGCCCAGGCCAGAGTGGGGATGGGATACATAGGGGATGTTCAAGGGGATTTAGGGAAAGCCACCAAGATTTAAAAACAAGCAAGCAAACATCAAATCCTATGAGGACAGGCTGAAGAAACTGAGCATGCACAGGCTGGATTAAGAAGAGATAAGATCTTAGCATTGGCGCATGAAGTTGCGCAGTGGACAGGAGCATTCTGAAGCCTCTCTACTAGAACAGAAAACCCAGAACTGTGCTGAAAGAGGCAGAGAAGCTTAAACATACATCAGTTCAAGGTCCTGATCTTGAGGCACATGATACAGCCACCTTGCTGAACCTAAGCAAGTGTGGGTCGGGTCAGGTCAGGGTCTGGATGGGTGGGATCCCCTGTGCATGGTGCTTTGGATTCCACCAGGGAAGAAAGGTGGGATAGAAATATATTAAATAATATAGTACAGGGTGGCTGCACTAGGAATGGCGTAGGTGCGGTGGACTGAAGTTAGAAAAATACCACAGCCCACTGTGACAGTTTAATTAGTTCAGCCTTCCTCAGCTTGGCTGCGTTAGATCACAACTCCCACCATTCCCAGCCAGCAGTATGACACATCTAAGGACCCCAGGCTAGAGAAGAATGCCCTAGTTAAAACACACACAAACACACACACACTCTTGAGTAACATGGTGTGATTAGCTTCTTAAGAGGAAGGCTACTGTTCCCTAATCTTACAGCTCCTGGGACTCAATGCTCTCCTTAGTATTGTACACAGGCAGCCATCTGGCTCCCATCTGATGTGTACATATGTCCAGAAAAGGCCAAAGTAAAAGAGATGCCATTCACAGGATTAGCAAAGGTTCGTTAAGATAAACAGCTGGTGCAAGACCTGGCTCCAGATTAGGACTGCAGCAGGGAGGAAAAGGTTACAGACCCGCAAGCAACACTTCACAAGGGTTCCAATCAAACCCCCACCTCATGCCTATTTGCTTGCTTAAAACCATTCACTTCATTACTAATTTCATGGGTGGCATCACATAACATTTGGCCATTAGATGCAGTTTATAAAGAGTACCTAACTGTGAGTACACACCCTTGCACTTGATACATGGGCCTAGGTATGAAATATATCAAGAAAATCTGCCCCCTCTGTTTGTCATCTGAAAGAGGTGGGGATACTGCTTCCATCCTCCCACTTGAGGCTTTGGAGGTATTTGGTGGCAACCCACATTTGAAGACAGAGGTCTCCTGATGCCGCCTGTAACTCCATCTGTAACCAACTGGAAATGGTTTAACAGGGTGACATGATTATAGCCAGACAGAAACCACAAAGCCTGCAAAACCAAAAACTCTGTAGTTTAGCCACAAGCTGGAGCTAAATTATGTTGATTATGGCCACAAATTTGTTGAGGAACAGAGTTTTGGTTGCAGCCAGAGAGGCCAAGGCTTGAACTGCCTGCAAGCAATGGGGGGGGGGTGTTTGCACGCACACATGTACACTGTTTGCTTTCTTGCAGAAGGGAGTGGTGACTTCAGGTGCAGAGTGAATGAGAGACTCTTACCCAATCCACAATAAGGATTTTGCTGATGGCAAGTTTTTGCTGGAGGAGCTTGGCAGCAATGGCAACAGAGTTGAAAAAGCAGAAGCCCCTGGGAAATTAAAGAAGAGAAAGGCATTATCAGAAAAAAGCAGCTGAAAGATGATAATAAAAATGCCATGCTGAGTCACATCAAAGTTCATCAAGCAGCTAGATGCCCCAACATGGTGGGCAGCTGGATTTCATGAGAAAGGACCATAGCTGAGGGGCAGAACTCGTGTGGAAGTCCCCAGGTTTCATCCAGCTGTAGGTAGGGCTGGGAAATACCCCGTCTGAAATCCACAAGAACTGCAGCCAGTTCAATGCAAACAACAATACTGAGCTAGATGGGCCAGTGGTCTTTTGTGTTACATTTCATCCTTTTAAAAAGTGTCATGTTATCCCCTGGCAATGAATCTCACAACTCAATTACTTGCAGCATATCTGGTCATTTTACTCATTGAACAGTTTTTCCAATATTAGTCAGGCTGCAAAATCCATCATTCTGGAAAGACAGTCAGTCCACTGTTTTTCAAGTCATTTTCTGCTGTGATGTGGATCAATACTTTCAGTGACGTTGCCACTGTACTTCTGAGCAATTTGAAATAAAGGCAGAGGGGGGAAAGTGTCATCCACCTAATACACTGGCTTTTTTCTTTCTGTTTCAGGTGCCTCTACAGTATACGTGTAAATAATGCCATGCCAGCATCTTGTGGCTTCATCCTGTGCTCTCAGACATCTCATTCATGCTCTTTAAAAGCATCAAGAGTGCATTTTGAAGCCCGAGAGTCACACACTGACTGGATTCTGCAAGGAAAGCAGACACACCCATCCAGAAGCCCCCAGTATGATTAGTGGGCATAGATATATGGTTGCTGGTGTTCCTGGGAACTGTGTGTCCTAGAACATGGTCTTCCAAGGTCAGACCTGTGTTCTCAATAGGCCTCAGGATCAGGAACCTAATCTATGCGGCTTCCTCACTGCCCCACAGACTCCCGTCCTGCCTGACAAAATAGGACCAGGCTTAGGATCTTCCACCACTTCATCTTTTCCTCCCATTCAGATTGATCTGTCCAGAATAACTAAAATTCTAACTTGTTCCATCGTGAAAATGACATTCACATGGATGCAGAAAGAATCACTTTAGCCCCACTCTATTTAATGATTCCAGAAAGAAAGAGGGATTGTTTCTTTTATTGTTTCATAGGTGAGCAGAGCTATCCAGCTTTAGTATACTTGTGCTGCCCACTCACATAGCTGTGGACTCTTCTGCATGATGACCTGGAGGCCGAATGACAGCAAATCCATTCTGCAGCAGGGAAAAAGACATAGAAACAATTTAAATGCCACTGTTATTGCAGCTGCAAGGGAGGCGTCCAATATCCCATCTAAGGTATTTGTGGGATCAGGTTTAGCTAATGCAGCTTTTGGCATGGACAAGGTGCTCTTAGCCATGCAACCAAGCACATGCCCTCTCTATCTCTGTCACAGCTAATGAAGGCTTGCTAGCATCGTTTGGCTGGACTGGTCCAGAGTGTGTTTAATGCCCCATTGTGCAAAGGCATGGCACTTGAAGCTCTGAAGCAGGTGCTCGTGGCCTGTCCTGGAACCAAGGATTCTGTTCACTTCTGCCAGTCTCAAACATGCTACTTTTAAATAAGGTGATTCAGAAGCCGAGGCAGAAGAACTACAAGTGTTCTTGGAGGAAAATGATCTCTTAGTCCCTTTCCAGTCTGGGCTCAGGCTATGCTTCACATGCACCATATTAAGGTGGAAATGCACGCATAAGCAGCTGCCCCGTTCAATGGGAACGCAAGTCCAGATAGTGAGGATGAGCCTGTTGTGGAATCCTGGCATGTCCAAACAGCAGACCAAGGCCAGGGAACGTCCGAGAAGATAAAGGGGGTGGGGGGGACTGGCGGTTTGGGTTGATGAGAGTCCAGCTGATGCACCCATGGGAATGAGGCCAAATGGGAAGAGGCAAAGGGGTTAACAGTGTGGGTCTGGTCTATCTGGTCTACCAAGCCATGGGGAAGGGCTGGACATGTCTCACAGCAGGGCAGTGGGGATGGAGAGCACAGTACTTTGTCGGACACAGAAGTCCCTCCTCCTGAAATGGTTGCACCAGTCGCTAGGCACCAGCACCAGCAGGAGGTTCACGTGGGGGGGAAAGGAAGAACACAGATGGGCACGAGTTCACAGCACCCTGCCTTCTGGGGCAAGATGCTGAAGGAGTTATAAAGCAGCAAGGGAATGACTGATGTTAAAGAGAGCTCAACATTTCACTCTGGGTGAACTCAGAGGCCTGTAACAGTAAAGTCTGCTGGAAAAGGGAGTCCCAGAATAGTGTGCTTACTCAGGAGAAGGGCCCTGGCTCACCACACAGGCCTGGTTTTGGCAGTAAATCAGCCCTGGTTGTCTTATCAGGCAGTCAGTGCAACCTTCCTCCTCACATTTGATATCACTGTGGCATCTGATACTGTTAATCATTTAGACCCATTATGTGACATGGGAATCAGAGGCACTGTATTTCAGTAGTTCTTTTCCTATCGACAAGGTGGGCCCCAGAAAGTGCTGTTGGAGGAGTGACTCTTAGCCTCTTGACACTTACACTGTGGGGTGCCATTTTATTCCCAACAGTATTCAACATCTATATGAAGTCTCTGAGATCAGTCAGCTGGAGATTTGCCACAAGGTGTCATCAGAAAGAAGATGATATCATCCTCTTTCTTCCCCTCATGACATCTGAATCAGGTGTGGCTGTGCAGGCTCTGAGTCAGTGCTTGGATGCAGTGGTGTGGTGGATGGGGGCCAATAAACCGAGTTTGACACTTGGCAAGACAGAAGTGCTGTGAGTCGCTGAATCACAGGTCTGGGAAATAGGTCAGCTGCCTGTTCTGCATGCGGTCATACTCCTCTGGGGGAACAAGAATGAAGATATATCACCTGAGGACCAGGTAACTTCAGTGGCTAGGAGTGCCTTTTACCAGCTTTAGCTGGTATCCCACCTATGGACGTTCCTGGACCATGATATACTAGACACAGTGGTAAAAGCACTCCTTTGGTAACCTCAAGACTGGATTATTGAAATGTGCTTTATGTGGGGCTGTCACTGGTTTTGGTCTGGAAGCTGCGGCTGGTGCAGACTGCAGCAACAAGGCTGCTAACTGGAACCTCTTCCAATAATAAGCTGCATCCTAGCTAAAAACAAACAAGCCTGCACTGGCTGCCAGTAAGCTACTGGGCCAAGTTCCAGGGCGTTGTTGTTAACACATAAAGCCCTGAACAGCTTGGGACCAAGTGACCTTAGGAAGCACTGCACCTCTTGTATTTGGGCCCGATCTCAGCAATCAGCTGAGGGACTGCCTCCCAGTTCTGGGGGCGCTACATGTCTCTGAGCACCTACAGTGGAGCATCTAAACACATTCCCAAATGATCGTAGGCAGGCCCCCACAATTCCTAGGCTTAGAAATTTCTTCAAAAGCATCCCCTCAAACAGGTCTTTCCTGAAGTGTGACCCAGCCAGTTATGGCTTGTAGCACTCAGTAGATTGGATGGTTTTATTGCTACATAATTTGCATTGTAATTGTTGTTATTGTTGTCCTTATTGTTGTTTTGATGCCACTTAGACACTGCTCCTCCAAGGAACTCAGGGTGGTGTAAATGGGATACTACTTTGTGTTTTATTCCCACAGCAACCCTGTGAGGTAGGCTAGAATGAAAGCCCGAAGCCACCAAGTGAACATCTCTGGGCAGACAAAAGTTCATCTACTCCAGTGGATCCCTGAGACGCACTCAAGGAAGGTGGCCATGGAGTGTGAGAAAAAGAGGAAGGTACAACAAGAAGTTCTACACTGAGATGCATAGAAAACACCAGATTGCCAAAAGCTCAAGTACTCTCTGCTTATACTAATCTTTTATACTAAAAAGGTACTTTGCATCTGTTAAGAGACACCAGTGCTGGAAAGTTGGAGTTACTATTATAGCAGTAATCTGAGTGTTGCTCTTATGTTCTCTGGTTTTAAGCCATAAAATGCTGGCACCAAGCAAGGTTAAGGTGAGCATAATACACAAATTTCAGCAGTTCTAGTTCTGTTTGAAAGCAAGACTTACAGGCAGGTAAGGAAAGGGATGCAACATGAGAAGCTGCATGCTGGCACAATTTACCTTCAGTTCCCCAGATGCCACTTTAAAGGCCAGCTCCACCAAGCAGCCAACAGCCATGCGAACTGCACTGGATGAGTGCATCTCATTCCATACTGTGTCGCTGTCAACCTGCCATGGAAGGTAAAAGTCAGAGCACTGGCAGAACATAAATGTTATTATTTATAGTTTATTTATACACTTCTATATAGGTCCTCCTTTGGCCCCTGGAAAGTTCCCCAAGGCTAATATACAAATTCAAACATATTCAAAACAAAAATCTTACTAGACAAATTAAAACAGGGGGGAAAGTATTTGAAAACAGAATGCAAAATCACTTAAATGCTGGGCAGAACAATAAGAGAATAGAACACCCAGCTTACACTTTAACAAGGAAAGAGGCAATCTAACCCTAGAAAGGGAGCTGCACAATTGGAGTACTTTGTTAAGAAAGTCTTGCCTATTGTTTCCACTTCCTAGCAAGAGAGAAGAGCCTGAGGAGCCTAGAAGCACAGTGGTCAGACACAGGTGCAGGGGAATCAGACAGATTTAAATCAGACAGATACAGGAAATGTATACCAAGTCAGACCCCTGGTCCATTACAGCTCAGTGCTGCCTACAGGGACTGTCAGAGGCCCTCCAGGTTTTCAGGCAGGCGTCTTTTCCAGCCAGACCTGGGCCACTGGAGAATGAACCTAGCTAGGGCCTTCGGCATGCAAAGCATGTACTTTTCCAGAGCCCCCTCCCAAAAAGTGCAGCGAGTGACAAAGCAGAATGGCAACTTTTACACAGGAACGTGAGAAGGACAATGGCCTCTCCCCACTCCTCCCCAGGCATCAGCCTCCATCTATATAATTCCTTTGATAGCCACACACTCACCCCAATCCCACCACATGGGAGGACAGTATACATCTTCTGAGTAAGAGGGCCTGCAGAGAGAAAAACAGAGAAGACAACAACAAACCATTACAGTAGGTAGGGAGCATGTGCGTATGTCCGATTTACCATGGAAATCCATTAGGATGAGACCTGGAATATGGCAGAGAGGAAGAGCACAGAAGAACTATGCCACAACTGGATCCCAGGCTCTTGCTATAAAGGAAGAGTTTTCCACAATAAATGAACTGCAGTCACTCAGCAAATGTAATCAGGGATGCCTATTTATTGCCAAAATCACCATGCAATATTCATTTTGTTCATACAATGCAGGAAAAGTAAACTTTTTATAAAAATAGCGAGTTTCTAGTCCTCATGAATGCAGCATTAAGATTTAAAGACAAGTTAAAATTCTTATATTAGAAGTGTTCTGATCATGTCTTCTGGTAAACTTAATGCTTCCCTCTCCAGATTCAAGACCAAATTTTCTGCCCTTACCCTGCAACCCAGAAAAATGCAGATTTCAGTCACACTGTGAGGGGTTTTTAAGCTTCCAAATTTAAGCTTCTGCATCAAAAAAGCAGAATTATGTGATCTGGTAAAGTTCCTACCTAGTAATTTCTTGCTGTCAAGTTTTTGCCGGTTCAAGGGACTGGTTCCATATAATAACGTGTGATGCTCGGAATGGACTGTCTGAATTTCATCCAATGTTGCTTTCCGGCCTCGGATCCTCTAGTAGAAAAGAGAGAGAGAGAAAGAGAGGGATTGGGACAGAAGTGCATGCGCCAGTGTTGAAATGCCTTTATAGACGCTCTCTGCCATCAGTATCACTTTCTCAATTATTTTTAAGATCAGTATGGATTCTGTTCTTCAAGAGCTGGAGCAGAGTTTTGCTAGAATAGCGCCAATGTTATGCCACTTTCAGTATACAGATACATCAGCCTGCAGCAAAGGTGAGGAACATGTGGCCCATCAGGTATTGTTAGACTACAATTCCCACCTGCCCCAGGTAAGGGGTGATGGGAGCTACAGTCCAGTAAGGCTGCATACCCCCCTCCCCATCTCTTGACTAGCTGATCTGCAACTTCCAGCTAAGGGATGAAATTCCACATAATTTTCACACCTTCCCCCTTCTAGCCCAATCTGATATTTGTATAACTTTTATTGTATTTACCCATCTAAACTGTAAATAAGGCATGGATAAAAGCTTGCTTTGCAGTTAGTGTCCCTACTATCTTTTGCACTTCAAAATACACTGGAGTAATTGCCACCTTAAAAATCTGCCTAATCCTGGAAGCTAAGCAGGGTCGGACCTGGCTGAAATCTGGATGGGTGACTTAAAATGTTGTGAACTGACCATAAAGCTTTGGCTACAGATGGTATAGAAATATAACATTATTATTATTATTATTAATATAAGACTGGAACATTGTAAAAAAAGTTCCTAAAAACTAATAATAACTCTAATAATAACTCTAATTATTATAATTAGAGTTTTTAGGAACTTTTTTACAATGTTCCAGTCTTATATTAAAAGGGGGTCTACTGTTAGTGAAGGTTTCAACACAGCCTGGAGATACATTTATCCCGACAAGAGATCTGTTATTACTCCATGTAAAAATGTGAGCATTATTGCATGGAACCAGACCATTCATCCGGTTGCCACATTTTGTTTGCTCTCACTGGTAGCAGTTCTGCAAGGTCTTAGGCTTTTCCCAGCTTGCTCCCCGAGAAATGTGTGTGCATGGCATGCATCCTTTCACTGAGTTAGGGCTTGTGCGAAGCTGCATCTGTTTATTAATCCTGTCTCGAATGCCTTTCTGAGCACTCACCCCAAACTACAGCCTGAGGTGGCACAGCCTCCAAAGAGGTGTGCCTCCTCACCTTCCTTTTCGAGAATTAGCCTGCTCATACCCTCAAGGAGGTTTGCAGGGGACTTATTTGCGTGTCATCAACTGTCCGGGAGAGTTAATATTTTGATATAGGTCAGGTTTTGAAAATCGCATTAATAAAGCAGTCAAGATCTATACCAGAAAAAGTGACAAGAGCCGGTGAGTATTACCAGGCTGGAAATTTATCTTGTGCTACAAATTGAAGATACTTTCACAACACAACACACACACTGCATTTCCCAAAATGTCTCATTTGCCCTCAGTGATTTCACACCCACCTGCATTGTGCATCTTCAAATGTTAACATTTTCATGCTCTTAGAAATATCACACCCAGCATTTCCTGATGTGGTAGAGGCCATGTCCCTAGGCAGAGACCCTGACGTTGCTATAGTGAAAAAGTGGCAATTGATAATGCAAATCTTTAAGACCATGTTGTCTTGCTCAAGGAAACAGGATGACCCCACCATACAATTTTTAAAAACAGCCAGATTTCAAAGGACTATCTCTTGCATTAAAAATGAATGCTTACCATTTTAAGTAATACATTAACTGTTTTCACAAGTCTAAAACCAGACACCACAAAGATAAGTATTCTTAGCAACACTTGTGATAGCACCCTTAATTCAGTTTCAAAATGTTTTAACGCTCAGCTGCTGCCAGATAAATTCATTTTGGTTTCTGTGGTTCTGAGCCCATGTTAGATACATCCCTAGTCTCTGATGCATTTGTGTCTCACGATCACTCCAGAGAGTCAGTGATGGCGCACTACTAGCTCCTTGCAGAGGAGTAATTTAGTTGGCTAGATACATCTTGCCAAATGGAAAGGACCTTAGCAGACACCTTACATTTAGAAGATCCAAGATTCAGTGTTTAATATCTCCACTCAGAAAGATCGGGTTCACAGGAGATGGGAAAGTGAGACCTCTGCTTTAGAAATGAAGAATTGCTGCCAGTCAGAGTAGACATTACTGGGCCAAACTAACTAATAGTCTGACCTCGTGTAATACAGCTTCCTATGTTACATTGAAAGTGCAATCCTATGCAGGTTTAGATAGAAAAAAAGTTCAGAGTTTAGTCATCTTTTGTCTAAACCTGCACAGGATTATACCCTTACTCCCAGATAAGTGTGCAATTTATTCTTTTTAGTTATTCATGTTGTTGTTGTTGTTATTAATAATATAAATACAGCATAAAAGCATAGCAGTATGTTGTAAATTTTACACATTGACCCAGTTTGGACATCACACTAATATCCTTTGCCCATTTAGAAGAGGAGTTTGAAAGCTTTGCTTAACCACAGCTTGTTGTATCATTTGAACTAATGAACTATGGATAATGTTAACTATGGTTGGGTTGAAGCAAGCCAACTTCAAACTTGAGGACAGCTTATTTAGATGACCAATTTTCTTTTTGTTGTTTTTTAAACAACATACCTAAAGCCCATAGTCCTATTGATTGATCAGGGCAGGAGTGGAGCAGAATTGAATTACCAACGTGCATGGAACAAAACAAAAAAGCAACCCAAACTGATAAAATCATAATATCTAGTGATACAAGACGCAAACAGAGAATGACCTTCAGAAGAACCAAAAAAAGCCAACACTGCGACAGAATCTAGCTTTGTAATATATAGCCTTAATTCACGTATTGATGTGTAATGGCTAAAAACTCAACAAGACTCTAGTGGGTTCACCTTTTTTCATATTCAAACTCATTTTTGAGTATGCACATTGAAATAAGACACAATCCTATATATGTTTGGATAGAAAAAGGACCCGCAACTGCCACCAGGCTACAGTCAACACTGTGGCATGGTGAGAGTTGTAGGCCATTTTCTGCCTAACCATGCAAAGGATTGCACCCTTAATGTATCATACCATTTCCATATGCAATGGCATATATTTTCTCTTTCCAAATTTTCCACACTTGCTCTGAATCCATAATGCTAACATTTGGCTGTCCTGAGGCCTCAGTATTTTGATAATGGCTTTAATTAGGAATCCTAAAGTAGAAAGAAGAGTGCCTTGTAAATAAAGTCTTCTCTTCAACTAGAGTTTCCCTAGTAAGTTTCATTGTATTTGTTATGCAAGTCTGGTTTTCTCTTCTATTAGGCATTTAATTAGCATATCCAAGCTAGGAGGAATGCATTATTGTTGAACACTGCTGTTGTCAAGTAGCCACTATATTTGTACGCATACATGTGAGGTTTGCATAGAAATGTCACAGATTCTGTTTCTTGCATTTTCTGGTCCTTTATTTACCTTCCACCCTGTCCCTGCTATATATCCATCTGTGCATATTTCTGCTCATTGAGGATAATACTCCATGAATCTAGTGAACTGGCTTCTAGACACAAAAGCAGATTACTCAAGAACAGCCCAATCCTCAGAAGAACACGAATTGCCAAGTGCATCGTATGCAAAGTGGGAGGAGGGGCCTTGGAACTGGGAATCCAAACTAACCTATTGTCCCTCAGACAATGTTAATTTTTTGGGTTGGAATCTTGGAAGCTAAGCAGGGTCAGGCCTAGTTGAAATCTGGATGGGTGATTTAATTTTGTGAACCTTGCAGAGAGCTTTGGGTGGTACAGAAAGGTTACTGCTGTCGCTGTCCCTGTTAATTAATTAATTAGGTGACAACGAGGTATGAGTGCATGTGCATGCATGCATCTGTGTTTGAATGTTCTGTAAAATACTGAGACAGGGTTCTCATACTTGGCCAGCAACTTTGCCTCACTGGCTTCAAGCCAATTTCTGTCAGGAACGCAAGGATCTTGTTATATAGAGATAATACTTCTGCACAGTTTTTTTCCTTGCATTTTTGAATGTGTTAAGGAAGTAAATGAGCAAAAGACTCACCCACAGAGCTAATTTTGAAGATGTGGCAGACATCAAGTTTGCATAGATGTTTTTGCATAGAAGTTTTCTATAGCATAGATGTTTTCCCCAGAAGGTTCAGTAAATAATTGATGTTCAGCCCAGGGGGAAGTCAACATTCTTATAATGTCAATACACGTTCCTGCATGGAAAACGTAACAAGTAACCTGCTTGAAAATTACTGGAATAGCAAAAGGGGAGCATATGTATGTTTTTCATGCAGGAACATGATCATTAATATTGTACATGGGCTATTACAGAATCAGGTATTATAGGTTTGTGGTTTGTTACACCTACAGCAGTCTTCCAAACCTGGTGCATCCCAGATGCTTTAGATTACAACCGCTCCATCCCTAACCATTCACTATGCTATCTGGGGTTGACAGGAGTTGGAGTCCAAAACATTTAATGGACGCCAGGATGAGGAAGGCTGATCTACAGGATTGTGTATATAATACTAATGTTACAGGAGTACCGACTTTCCCCAGTACACACTGACCCTTTGGGGGAGAAGCACAGTGTCTCTACATACTAAGACTACATGCCATACGTAGTTATAGTGGCTATTATTTTTTATAGTTCCTTTGATGGTCATTCCCTTTTGTATCTGAGATACTGGCTATGATTCAGTATATTTAGGTATCTTTGTCTGCTGGGGTACTTTTTATCCTCTTAGGGTGTCATCTATATGTGCTTAAAGATAGAAAAGTCTTAAAGCTCCTAGCACTCCTCCAGTCAGCCATTCTGGCTGGGGGCGCATAGAATCATAAGACTGCTTCCTGTCTAGGCACACATAGTATTGCCCTTTCAACAGATTAGTTTTCAGAGAGGTAGTAGGTTACTCTGTTGCAGCAAAAACAGTAAGTAATCTCGTGGCACCTTAAAAATGAACACATTTATTATCAAAATAAGAATATACACATTTACTGAGCACATGATGAAATACATTCTGGTCTATGAAAGCTTATGCCATAATAAATATATTTATCTTTAAAACGCCACAAAATTATGCTCTTGTTTTTCAGGTATCCAACATTGTAGGCTAGGAGTTTCCTTCCACTTTAACAACATTCCCTAAAACTTGGTTTTCAACCCAGCCCTTGTAGCTGCCTTACCATTTGCTGTCAGAAGGCTTCCACTCTGAGGATTCTTACCTCACACTTGCTTAGCAACCCTGTCTCCTGTAATCTGGACCAGATACTCTGGATTCTCCCAGCATGCTCTGGGTGAATATTAGTGTTTCCACATGTACACTGATGCTTCAGCATGAATGTGTCATAAACTATGCCTGTCAGAGGGCAGGAAAGGAGAACAATTGCAGGGAAGGGGAAAGAGAGAGAAAGAGAAGGGAAACTAGTGAGATTATGGCAATGCTGGCTAGACCACCAAATCTCCAACAGTGTTTAATTTCTAGAATGAAAGTGGCAGGAGCTTAAAAATTCTTGGAAATTGCACTTTCTGAACCAAAAGCATTTTCCTCAATGCTGGAAGTCCATGAGTCACTTTTGGTGTTTTCATGGAAGAAAATACACTCCGCACATGCACAATGGCATCCAATACTTCATATGATTCAATACTAAATGCAGGTCTGACACAGAAATCTGGGAGCTCATTCCAAGTAATTCCTGTTTTCTACACTGTGGAAGATGTGCATGGGAAGCTCAAGCACACTGAATGCACAGTTATTTGAAAGACCAACCATTTTCCATAAGTACCTACCCACATACTAAGGCCTTCAAAAGAGACCCTCCAGCGCATGCCCTTACAATCTGAGATAGCGACCTAAAGAGCCAGGCCTTCTCAGTGGTGGCACCTCAGTTATGGAATGCTCTCCCCAGAGAGGTTTGCTATTATATTGCCATATTAGCACCAAGCAAAGACCATTTTGTTTTCTCAAGCTTTTAAAATGATAAGGAGAACAATTAAAGAACCTGAAGCAGCCCAGATTTACTATATCAGAATTAGGCTCTTCTTACATGGCATCAAGTGGTCCCAAAGCGTACCTAGGTTCAGGATGGAGGGCTACTGACAGAGATGTGCCCGCAGGGAAGGGATTAATTTGTGACAGACACCAGCTCCAGAGCCATGGAATGTGTAATACAAAGAGGGCTGCAAACATCTGCAGTATATATTTTACTCGCTATCTAGAAGAGTAGTTTTAGGGCAGGGGATATAGCAGCGGAACAAGCAAATACATATCTTGCAGCTTTGGTAGAAAGTATCCGTTGCTCAGGGAGACACAAGTTTACACCACCTCCTACCTGTAGTGAAAAGGTGATTGGCCAAGGGTTCAGCTGTACTGCTCTTCAGACTAGTACTGGCAGGTGAAGACTGGGTGCGGCTGAGGACTTGATGGGGTAGAGTGCTGATACTCAGGGGGGTCTGGTACAGCTGAAGGGACCGAAGCTGATGTGCATCTGCAAACACCTGCCAAAATTGTGCAAGGGAGGAAGGCAGGAAGAGGAAAAAAAGGAACACATGAAGAACACATTAAAAAGGTTCCATTACTCCAATAAAGCAACTGTTCAGATGTGGAGCCTAAACATGTGAGCACTCACTGAAGGCTGTCTCATTTATATACAATTCTTCCAAGCTTGTACTGTTTACTTAGCACTGAAAAGTCTAACGCACCATGAGGAAACCCAAATGCTGGATTGGATTCAAACCTAGTCACACTTAACAGACCCACTGAAATCGCTGACTATAGGTCTACAGCTTGATTTAGTCTGAGCACTGCACAGACTTACAAGACTTGGTCATCAGTGGCCATGTCAGACCCTATTGGAAAGAAAAATGAAACTTGGGAATATGGTAAAGCAATTACACAACTCCCTTACTTAACCCCAATTTTTCATGCTTCCATGCTGCTGACGTGAATTAGCTTGGATTGGACTGTTATGGCATGACATGCTCTAGACTAGGCTTGAGCAGAAGGTAGATCTCCAGATGTCTTGGGCTTCAACAGCCAGAAGCTCCTGTCAGCAAAGCCAATGGTAAGGAACATCAGGAGATGAAGACAAAAATTCTGCAGATCTATTTGCTGCCTACACCTGCTGTAGGAAATAAAAATGTAGAGTCTTCCCAAACTTGACTACATCCATTTTAGGAATAATCCCTGACTCAGTTCAAAACTGTTTTATTTCTGAAATAGTTAGTCACCCAGTAGCTAAAAGCTCTCAGAGTGACATACCAAAGAAACAAAAATAAAATTCACAACTCATGTTCATAAAAACAAAGACACAATAAATACAGTTAGTTACAAGCAGCAGAGATTAAAATGTCATCAAGCAGTTTCTCTTTTATCCTCCTCACTATCTTTTTCTGATTTCTTTCATTCTGGAGATGGAGACTTTCATCTTTGCAAACACACATTCCAGCATGGTGCTGGTGAAATATTTAGATGCACAAAAGAAATGAAGGAAAGAAAGATGAGTCACACTCAAAGATGATGCAGAGAAATGGAAAGGATGCACATGAAACAAGGGCAGAAGACAGGGAGAGTGCCTGTGGGGTGGAAGATGAATCACTCCCCTTTAGGGGATTCCATTACTTGATGAATGAATGGATGAATAAATGGGGGAGGGATGCTGCCTTCTGTCTCCTTCAGGATTATGTCCTCAGCAATGCACCCCCTAGATTCCTGGGAGTTTCACTCTGCTTGCTCCTACAGGGCTATATTTCAGTCTCCTACCTCCTACCAGACACAACCCACTGCATGGTCAAAAGGCAAGACCCTGCCACCCCCAGTATGTCAGAAGAACACAAGAAGGGTCCTGCTGGTCTATCTCGAGCAGTCTTTTCTTTCGAATGAGCACAGAGGCACGACACTGAAGCAACTGCTTTCTGCTTTGGCTGTTCCTCAGCTTTAGAGAGTCAGTGCCACGGTGCCTCTGAACCTGGAGGCTGCACAGAGCCCTCTTAATCCCCATGTAAAGCCAGCCAAGCCAGTGTGCATTACTGTGGGTGTGCCCAGACAGAGGGCTCCCGGCTGCCTTGTATTGCTGTTCTTCCAAGGCTATGGCGCCCTGTTCTACTTCTATCCCCGTTCTGTTCCTTGGGGGCTTGCAAGGGGAGCGGATCTCATAATACTTCCCCAGTACCATGAGCATGTCTTTGGGGCCCCTCCCTCTCAGCTTTTAGTTCTAACTTGCAAACATCATTTTCACCTCTCTCAATCTGGTACCCTGCCGTTGTGTGGAACTACAACTCCCAGCACTTCCCAACCAGCCATGCCTCCTCTTGCACCCTTCCACTTCTTCTCACAGCATCACTTTGCCACAGGTGAGTGCCAAGGGACCAGCAAACCTGCCACACTTTCTCCTCAGCTCAGCCAGCAATAATCCCACCCAGATCTGCTGCTCTCACACTTGGCTTTCCTCATAGACATGTGGGGTTCTTGCCATCTCTGCTCTCTTTCCAAACCCTTGGCCTTTTGCACATGATTTTCCCACCAGCAGTGTCTGAAGAGACATACACAATCCACCATGCCAAACAGGGAATTGAAAAGAGATGCAAGAAAGCCCGATCCTCCCATTATTATAAGTACTGGGGAACTCTAGAACTGGAGTGCTATCCGCTGCACCTGAACTGGCCATATGGTGCCTTAGTGAGGGGTGTGCTGAGTAAGTTTGAATCTTCACATACTTGCACACAAGGAAGCACAACTCTCAGACCACAAATGAAAGCTCTCCAGCCTCATACCTATGTGGAGATCCTCACACATCTGACAACAGGGATGCCTACAACTGAGAATTATGTGTCTTTCCCATTGTATCCACACGTACATAAAAAGATGGACTGATGTTCTGCATGCGGGCGAGTCTCCTACAGCCTTAGGGTTACCTGTAGCATTCAGTCCAATGTCATGCAGCCCTCAGCCTAACTTCAAAATCCCTCCATAGGCAATCCATACAGACCAATGGCAAGAATCTGCCTTTCTCTTGGCAGGCCAGCAGAGAGGACAGAAGAGGAGAGAAAGAGAGAAGCAAGTGGCAGACAGAGAAAAGGGATGACCCACCCTTCTTTAGGCTTCATCTTACCCACTGCTGGCTTTGGCCCCCAACCAAAGAATGGTTGCCCACCCTGGTCTTACAGGAAGGGGTTTCAAGCAGATCCTTCTTTTATATGCCTCTTCCCTTCAAAAGAATGGAGACTTCTCAGTGTTAATAGACAACTGGTTTTAATGCAGGACTCACCTGCTTATAAGTCACTCCAAGTTCCTCCACCTCCTGCTCTTCTTCTCCCAGTCTGCTCTCCCCAGCCTCATCCTTTACTTGAAGACGGCCCTGCTCTTCAACCGTCTCCTCCTCCTCTCCCTCCTTGATCTCCTCTTCCTCCTCTTCCAGGTCATCCTGCGTTCCCTCACTCTCCGTTGGCCCATCAACCATGAAGGGCCCCTGGCCCAGGCCCAAGCCCAGGCCCAGGCCCAAGGACTCCTGTTGCTCCGTCAGCTCCTCTTCTGTCTCTTCTGGATGCGTTGTGGGTGGCCGTGGCAGCTCCCCAGTCTTAGTGATGATCTACAAAAGAGAGGAAAGAAAGAATGGAAGAAGAAGGATCTTACTTCAGCTAACTAACCATTTTGAAATCAGTGGTGAGAAACTGATGCTCAGCTCTGTTTTCTGTCATCAGAAAGAGTCTTTGGGCCCCAGCCATGTTCAACTAGCGGCAGGAAAGAAAGGAAACTGATGGCAGTGCATGCCTGGCTCTATTCCCCTGTCACAGGATGGGCAGGTGCTGGCTGGGAGGCTTCAGTCTTAGCCTGTTTGGGGCATTCTGGAAGGAGGATGAGGAGGAGGAGAAAAGAAAGGCCATGGCCCCTGACTCCTACACACTATCCTTGATTAGCTTACCACCCAACAGCTAATAAATTAAAGAGACATTATGGTGCAGGGGTGAGAGTGCTGGATTCAGGAGATCCAGTTTCTAGTTCTGTGTGACTTTGGACCAGTCTCTGTCTCTCAGCCTAACCTATTTCACTAGGTTGTTGTGAGGATTAAAAGAAAAGGGAGTACGACATAAACTGCCTTGGGCTTCTTGCAAGACGAACAAAGTGGTATATAAATGTAAATATATATTTATATATATTTATATATATATATCTAAATAAATTCTGGCCCACTGGTATTACAGAAACCTTCCCCTGACCCTCACTAAATGAGACAGCTCCTTTTCCACCCACCTTTCCCAACTGGATCTGCTGCTGCTGTTTCTGTTTCTCCAGGAAATGCTGATGCTGTTGCTGCACAACCAAATGCTGCAGCGCTTGAGGGCTCTGAGGCAGTGGTGACGATTGGGTGCGGCTCAGTGGGCGGTGTCGAGGCAACTTGGTTACAGTCCGTAGGTTAGAGGGGATGCGCTCCCCTGTCACCAGAGGGGATTGGCCGTGCAGAGGAACTGTGGTGAAGGAATCAGAGGTTATGCTCTGGACAGTTTCCAGAATGAGGCATCACATTTCTACCTTTCATTTAAACACAAAAAGCCATGGACAAGTTGCTAGTCCTCATTATTTATTTATTCAGATGATTTATTAGTGCTTTGACTACACAAATTGCTTTATCAACATAATCTTCCCTATTCCTCCCAATAAAACTTAGATTAGCACAATTCCCATTTTGCTAAGGAAGAAGCAATGCTGAAAAGAAATTAGAGTGGTTTTCTGTAAGAACTCCTTCAGCTGACACTAACCCAGAGTTGGTTGCTGCTGCTGAACAGCATCACATCACGGGTGCGTGGCTGGTACTCAGGACGGGCACAGGTGAATGAAGTCACTGACTCACACTGCTGGGCATCCACCAGCCCGACTCCTGCACAGTAATATGCAGCTGCCCCATATCCTAGTTGCTCACAGCTGCTGACAACAGCAGCAGTTAAATGGTTAAGCAGTGGTTCCTTTCCAATCAAGCTGCCACTACACTGACCTAAAGAGTGCCTGTGTCGCCTCCTCTGCTCCCACTCACCAGCAATTAGTGTGTTCTGCTGTCGTGCCTGTTCCAGGAGCAGAACGTGCTGAAGCAAGGACGCATGCCCGTGGTTGTTGGTCTCGCCTTCAAGGGCCACCCCCAGAAGGCAGCTGGGGATGGATGACATGCTCAGGAACTTGCTTGTCAAGGCACCCCCCTGGCGCAAGGACTGGATGGCCTGGCGCTCAGCTTCCTGCTGTGTGGAAAGGTTCGGGGAGGCCTAAAGAGGAGAAGCAAGAGAGTTTGCAGCTGCTGTAGAAGTGCACAGAGCTCCAGTGGCCTAGCTGTGACCCAAATTCTTATACTGATCTTCCACACACTCCCTTCCAACTGCTGATCTCACAGCCCCAGTGAGTCTTATCTTCTGAATCTTCCTATGAATCCAATTTCTATTGCATCCAGAGTTGATTCCCTTTCACGAAGGCAGACAGTGTTGTCTAACGCTTACATCTCTCAACAAGCCCACATATTTTAAATTTCTTGGTTCCTGACCTGTATCTCAATTAAGAGTTAGATGTGGTGGTCCCTGAAGTCTGGGCCAATTCTAAGTTACCCGATTTTGGCCTATACCTCCCTACCCCAAATTGACTGATAGTGAGGGGGCTGCCTTGGGGAGGGCTTGCCGGAATCAATGGGGTTCAAGCTGTGTTCAGGTTGTTGCCATGTGCCATCAAAGCAGTATCCTGGCCTCAGTCTGAGGCCCCAACTCTTTCTCTTCTCACCTTCAGGATGTATAGAGAAGTGTGGTATTGGGGAGGGCTTCTAGTGGGGGCAGGGAAGCCTCTAGGCACTCTCACACTCCTGAAGATGAGCTTGGACAGCCTGTATCCATCAACTGAAACAATCATGCATTCTCCCCCTATTCACCTTTAGCTCCATTTCCTTCCCTTTCTTCTGCTGTTTCCTAGTGTATTTTTACATGGTACGCCCTTTGAGACAGTGCCCTATGAAATCTTCTATGTGTAAAGCATGAGTGCATACCTGCAGGCCCAAGAGCCAAATCCAATTCTATGGGGTTCCCCAAACAGCCATGCTTCCTTCCCCCAGCTCCTTTCCCCTTCCCTTCCAAACACCAATCATTTGATGGTCATCCAGCTTTTGTAAAGTTATCCCCCCCAATATTAAAAGACTGAAATGCCTCTCATAAGGTTTGGTTACTGGCAGGATGGGTTTTAAACTAAAATAGGTGGGCATATCTGGGCATGGGATGGCCCTTCCCATTTTGCCTTTGCTCAGCATTGGACTGTAGCCCGTGAGAAATTTTCCAAAGTGAAATTCAGTTCTAGGGCTGAAAAAGGTTCAACATGGCATGTTCTAAATGCTGTGTGCATAAATGACACTGTAACAGCAAGAGTGATGGGGTCCAGAAGCCTCACTGATCTGCAATGGTGCCAATTTTATACTGCATTATTAAGGCATCCAAATACCTTCCAAAATATTCTGAGAAGGAGTCGCCCATCAATACTTTCTGCTGTGCTAGTAAAGCAGCAACTGATGGAATTAAAACACTTTCTTTTCTCGCTCTCTTTTTTAAAGCAGCAGCAATGCTCAAAACAGTAGGCACGTGAGCTTTAGAGAGCCATAACACAGCACAGTCCAAGAACCAAAGGTGCAAACAGATTTGAGTTCAAAGCTACACTAATTAATAGAAGTCAAGATGCTCGGTGCTACTTTCAGCCAGTCGTGGGTGTTTAAGAGCACACGTGCAGATCTCTTTGCTATTCTTTGAGGAAGAAAACAAATCACAGCAGAGTCCAACAGAATGCAAAGTCTGCCACTCAGCTATTTTCAACTCTGGATGCTGAAAATAGTCAAGTTGTAGACTGAGCAAAAGCACCACATGCCCAACCTGAGCCAAGCTGGGTGACTGTCACCAGAGGGAGACAATAAATAGGTCACAGTTGGGCACCAGTTGGCTGGAGGAGAAACAAAAACAGAGACTGGAGCTCTTCAAAAAGCAGAAGGAAGTAAAAGGCTGGGAGTGAATTTACGGTCATCAGGGTGGAGCATCAAACGGGGGGCTCTACAGTACGATGGGGGGAACTGGCGTAGGACTGAAGCAAGAATTGGACAGAAGCTGTAATATCATAGAAAAGTTGTGCAGCATGGGTAAGGAAGAACATATTAATGTTTCTTAAGGAACAGAGAAATTGATCAGCAACAGATTTTAGTCTGCCAGACAGAAGGACTTCCTCATAAAAACACAATAAGGAACTCAAGGCTACATGCATTAGCCAATGCCTCAGACATAACTAGGCTCTTAAATAAACTTGCTAAATACACAGAAGAGAAAATGTCTCTTTGTCTGCTAGCTATGCCAGCCAGATACAGAAACTCCATGTTCAGAAACATAAAAAACATTGTTTTCACAACCCAGCAATATTAATGAAGTGTGTATGCGTGCATACAAACACAAACATTTTAGCTCTATGCTTCTCCATATCCTCTTCTTCCATATTCTCCCTTCCCCTACCAGCAGATCAGACAACCTCTGTAATCTGCACTGCTGCTTACAGGAATGGAACAAGAATGCAACAGGAATGAATCCCTGGAGCAGGGGTCCAAACCCACGTTCAACTTATGGAGCAAATTCCATTTAGGAGGCACTCTTGGGCCTACATTCTAGTGATAGACTGGGCCAAAAGTAAAAGGAGAATGGACCAAAGGGGACAGGCCAGCATGCGAAAAACAGTTGCCTCTTGTAGCTGCCTTTTTTTTTTTTTTTTTTTTAAAAAAGCCAAAAGGCATTTCAGTCTTTTGGGGAAAAAATCTAATCAGTCAATCAGTGACTGGGGAAAAGGGGATATGGCCAGGAAAGGGAGAGAAGCCATCCAGGGAACCACAGCGAGCTGGACTGGGACCACAATGGGGCAGTATTTGACCTCCAGGCTGGAAGTCTCCTAAACAGACTGGGTGTCTGAGCTGCTGCCCCCATTCTTAGGTCTCCAAGGTTTTTTTGGTAATATATACTCACGTTGAGGTGTGAATTTGTCACGGTGACGGTAGCCTGAAGTCCTAAAGAGATGTTGGGCAGAGATGGGGAAGTGTACAAGCTGAGCTGGCTAGCTGACCCATCCATGGTGACAGCTCTGTGTTGGGGCAGCATCTGCTTTATTAAAAAATAATAATAAGGCAAAGGGAAGAGGGGAAACGGGATTGGTGGTGGTGAAAAACAAGAGAAAACAGAAGAATAAGAAGCTGTAATCAAGGAAGGGAAAACATTCTCCCAGCTCCCTTGGTTTAATCCTTCTAGGAATGTTCAATTCCACTAACAAAGCAAGAATAACTGAGACATCTATGATGGCTTACTTATTTTTAAAATATATATACCACTACACGGTTGCCAAAGGTAGCAACTATAGTCTACTGCAGCAAAAAGAACAAAGAGTCCCGCAGCACATTAAGGACCAAAAATTTTTACACAGTATGTGCAAGAGATCAAGTGTGCTCCCCAATGGAATGTTCTTAACACAAAGCAAATGCAGTCATTCCATCTTTTTTCTCTTTTCCATGATAATGATGGTGAACATGATCATGATGATGATGAAGAAGACAGAGTAAGCGGTGAGAAAACAAAGAAATGTTAGAAATGGAAGATCACAATGACATCATGACTCCTGCCGCTGCCCCCATAAAAGTCCATGGATCAGGCAGAGCAATGATGCTGCACAACAGAAGCGTCACCTGGAAGCATCCAAAGACAATGCAAGGATCAGCAGGAATATCTCTACCCTGTGCAGAGCATCAGTGCATTCCAAAGTCAATCAAAACAGGTATGCTTTACTCCCACCGAAAAATGGCAGGGTGGGGGCAAGGGAACACCAAACAAAAGCCAAGTAACACTCTGCCTACATAGTAGAGAAGGTAGTATTCATCAGCCTCCACAAATGTGTTGGACAACAGCTCCCACCTTCTGCAGCCAGCATGCACAATGGTGAGCACCAGTTTGGGGAAGGCTGATATGAACACTTCAAGATGGGCAAGCCTTCTGTACGGGGAAAACTAATCCCACTCCCAGCTGAATCCAAGTTTAATGTATTACATCTACTAACAAATTCTAACTCACTTCATCTTCAAAATGTTTAAGAAGGGCAGTTTTAAGGTCAGCCATAGAATGTTCTGGGAGACTTAAATGCACCTCTACTATTTTCTGAATGTTGCCATTTTAATGTCACGCATATCCTTTTATTATTTTCCATTGTAAATGACCAGTCTGAACTGTGTAAAAGGGCAAAAAGCTTTTGTCCTTATGCAGACCATGATATTCTTTCTAGATTTGGCAAAGTGAACATAGGTACAGATGCTCTCCTGAGGACATTCAGTGGCACTCTGGCATAACATGAAGACTCCAGGTAGATAAGCATCATTAAGATGCTGTCTACAGTTCAACATACTTCTAACTGGTTGAATCAAGACTATGTTAGTTGCACAGTTCTCACTGAAATCTATGGGACTAGTCACAGCTAACTGCGCACTGAATTTAACAGCATTTAATCTGGATTGAACCGATACAATCCATTCATACAGATGTTTGTGCAACAGAAAACTCAAGATGAACATCTTGTTCTTTAGTCTCTAGTAATTGTTAGGTGCTTTACATTTGTTTAACAGGATAAACAACAAGCATTTGCACATGAGGTTCAGGTTTCACTTAGCTACCACATTCCCCTAAGCAAAGAGATTGTTCACAGTTTGAGAAGCAAAGTTGTATGGCAGAAAATTCAAGCATTCCTAATTAGCTTTCCAGACTGGAGTAAAGCCATAACAAACATAGCAAAAGGAAACAAGATAGAGCACTTAGAGAGCTTCACGTACACACAAGGAAATAGTCTTGATGGAATGGAGCACATTGGGGCAGAGAGCATTAAGGCTGGAATAACTATGTAGTTATGTCCACCATTAATATAAGCTCAAGAGCATCACTTCAGCCAGCTGAACTTATATATTGCTTGTAGAATTGTTAAGAAGCCAAACAGATCTTAAAGGTATTTAATAAGACTGTTAAGTGTAAGAGCTAGGACCATATTTGTATTGACCTTTATTAAAGGCCAAGCCGATCTTCATGACCCCACTGTGGAATTAATTTATAATGAAAAATGGGTAATACATTTCACAAATGTAAAAAAGAAAAAAATCACAAAGAAAAAAATCCAGGTAGTAAGGGCTATATATGTTAATTGCTGGAAGTGATGACAAATTCCTAAATTACTTGACAGTTACACAAAGATCTGACTTTATTGGCAGAACCTGTCAAGGTTAACTAAAAATTAGGCCTGGATAATAAATGTAATAAAAAAATTAGGCCTGGATAATAAATAAAAGACAGCTAAAAAAGGTTCAACCATTTCTAGAAAGTTACATAAAATTCAGTATTTGGCCATCTAATCCCTTTGTTTGGAATATGATCACTTTTGTTTTATTCTTATAATCAATAAAATTATTTTAAAAATACTAAGAAGTTGAACCCAAAAATAAGCACGTGGGCACTATCAATACAGGAAGAACCAGATGATCTTCTTCACTGTAGCGCCTTTCTCCAGCTGTGTCACACTACAACTATTGGCCGCGTTGGCTGGGAATGAGGGAGGCTGTAGTCCAGCGCACCTGCATGCTCTATTCCTCTCCTGATTTGCCATTTAACACTTTAGCCAGGATATTCAATAGGATATGGGGCCAGAGATGAAAATGGGTTTTCTTGCAGGGCCTGGTTCTTGGGTTTGTATTTCTTTTTGGTGGCCCACTATTCATGGTGAGTGGCCATTTCTTGGATGGGTTACAGATTTTTGAGGATCCATCAGAGATACTTCAAATGGAAATTGGAGGTGATCATGAAAGGTGTTACATCAGTTTATCTACTGAGCCAGTCTTGCATTCTAGTTCTGTCACTTTGCTTCTTCACTTGACTGAGTTGGTACATGAGGTTTTAAAATGCCTGCTCTTCAGGAATGACTATTTTTCCAAAGGGCCAAAGCAACTGCAGTTGCATTGCAGGACTTGCCAGCAGGAGTTTGTGGTGTGCTCTGGGTGAATGAGTGAGATAATGTTGGGAACAATGTAAGTAATTGCCCCTGGTGGAATTTTTAAATAGCATCTTTCCCATGGATCTAGATAAAGAGGATGTTATCAGTGTATCAATTTGAAAGATAATCAAATTTGCAGATGATACAAAACTGAGTGGAATACCAAACACCCTAGAAGACAGAATGAAGATCCAGAGCAATCTTGATAAACTTGAACACTGGGCTGAAAGAGAATGAAATTCAATAAGGACAAGTGCCAAGTCCTCCACTTAGGAAAAAGAAACCAAATGCATCGATACAAGAGAAGGAATAAGTGGCTCAACAGAACTGAAAAAGACCTTTGAGTTATTGTGGACAATAGCTAAGTTAAGCGCCAACAATGCAATGCAGCCGCCAAAAGGGCAAGTGCTATTTTGGGATGCATTCACAGAGGTATTACTTCCAAATCACAAGAAGTAGTGGTTCCCCTATACTCCTCACTAGTCAGACTTCATCTGGAATACCATGTCCAGTTCAGGGCACCAAGATTTAAGAAAGATGCAGAAAAATTAGAAAGGGTTCAGAGGAGGGCAACAAAAATGATCCAGAGTTTTGAAACATTATGAGGAGAGACTGAGAGAACCGGGCATGATCAGCTTTGAGAAGACCCGGGGGGGGGGGGGGGGTCATGGTATAACTCTGTAAGTACCTCAAAGACTGTCACAAGGAGGAAGGTCAAGACCCATTCTTGCTGACACCAGAGCGTAGGACATGAAATAATCAATTCAAGCTGAGACAACACAGATTCAGGCTAGATATCAGGAAAAGCTTCCACAACAACATGACAGTGGAACCAGCTGCCTAGAAAGGTGGTGGGCTCTCCCACACTGGAGACATCCAAGAAGAAATTGGACAGCCATCTGAATGGGATAGTGCAAATTGGTGTCCTGAAATAGCAGGTGGTTGGGCCCAATGGCCTTCATGGTCCTTTTCAACTCCATTATTCTACGATTCTATCTCCTGCAGACAACAGGAGCAATGGGCTTCTTTCAGTAGGATTGAAAGAAATGTTTCTTGGGATGTCCTAAGACAGTATCAACCAGCAGGTGGCACTTCCTCTTCTAACAATGGGAACATCCTTAAGATATTGGATAAATCTGTGTAACTGGGGGAAGGGAGGGTGGCCCATATGGGAGGTAATTATGTGCCCTTCTGGTTTGCAGCTCAGTCAAGCAGGGATGTCAAGAAGGGAAGAAGTGCACTGTGCACAACGATAAAAGAGGGAAATGCACAAAATCTCTTCCTCCATACAAAGAGGATCACAATCACTTTTCTGTATGGGTGTCTAAGTCACCCTGGTAATGTACACATGAGCAAATTATGCACAAGTAGCAGATATAGGCAGGGCAATGGTGAGTGGAGCTAGGACAGACACCCAGCATTAACCAATGGCAGCTTTTCCCCCCAAGACTAACTGCCACCACTGGGGGATAATTTTGAGGGAAAGAAGTTGGGAGCTTGGGAGGGAAGGTTCAGCCCGCACTTGCCCATGTGTTGAGACCCTTCCTCTGAAAATCTCCCTGAAGCATGGCAATTAAGTTTAGGAGGAGAAATGTTGCACTCAAATGAGATACACCTTTTGTAAGTCTAAATGCTGCACTGGGAGGGGATTTTCAAAGGGGTGGGAAATAGAAGGAGAGAGAAAAGGAGAAAGGGGAGGTAAAGAAAGATAGTTGAGAGGGTTCCTGAAAGAAGAAGAAGATGCCCTGTCATGAGTGCTTGATGCCCCTTCCCAATTTTGGTTCAACTTCACCCTCCACTGGTATGCTGCTCCTGAGAGATTTCCCTTGAGGAAATAAGTGCTCCACATAAAAGGTTCCCAGCTTGTGATCTAAACCCGTGAATTCAGTAAGAGCTCATAAAGGATAAATGAAAATTAAGCATCTTCCAGTTGTTAACCATCTGTTGTAATATTAGTGGCTCAAATCAGATAGCAAGTCATACCATGGTTAAAGAAACCTAACTATGGTTTTGTGTGATGTCTAAATTGACAAACCATAATTAGCGATTGGATGATGAACCAGAATAAAGTACCGTATTTTTCGCTCTATAAGACACACCTGACCATAAGACGCACCTAGTTTTTAGATGAGGAAAACAAGAAAAAAAATATTCTGAATCAAATCGTTTACTAAACTATTCTGATCCATGGAAAGCTTCCTGATAATCACAGGCACATTCTCCATCACTTCCCCATGGGCTTCATTAAAAGACGGGTTGCCATTTGAAAACACACACCGACCTGTGATTATCAAGAAGCTCACCTGCGCCGGGGGGGGCAGAGCAGGGCGCACCGAGCGCATGCTGGCCAGGTGGTGCAGGCGGGCCGGCAGCGTCCCAGCAGTGGTCTTTTGGGTGGCAGCAGGTCTTCCCGGACAGTGGGGGTGGGCAGTCCGTCCCAGTTCATCTCTCTGTGGGGCCGGCTCAGCCACGGCCGGTGGGTTAAAGCCCGTGGTTCCTCCTCCTCTGCACCCCTTCCCCGAGCGGCACAGCTCTCACCTGTGCCGGGGGGGGGGGGCGGAGCAGGGTGCGCTAAGCACATGCCGGCCAGGTGGTGCCAGGTGGTGCAGGCGGGCTGGCAGCGTCCCGGCAGTGGTATTACATGTCCTGGGCGTCGGGCACACCATGCTGCACATCTGACAGACTTACTGCACACACATATTCGCTCTATAAGACGCACAGACATTTCCCCTTACTTTTGAGGGGAGAAAAAGTGCGTCTTATAGAGCGAAAAATACGGTAACTACTGTCTGCAGTGGATCTCCTCTAATGAGTCGCTCCTTGTCAACCAGCAAGAGAGGTTTCAAACAGTTCATATCTTAGTGCTCTTCTACTTCCATTCACTGCAAAATCTCAGTGATAGGATCTCTCTCTCTCTCTCTCTCTCTCTCTCTCTCTCTCTCTCTCTCTCTCTCACACACACACACACACACACACACACACACACACACACGAAGTTCAGCCCACTGGGGATGGAAACAGGAGCAAGGCATGGCAGCCACTTGCTCAGCACTGCCATTCTGCAGCCTTACCTCAGTATGAATATTGGGCACTGAGCCTGTAAGCCCATTTTCAGTGATGGCGCTGTTGGAGCTATTCGGGGAGCTGGGGCCAGAGCCAGGGGCACTGTTGCACATTGAAGACACTGCAGAGAGGGAGGGAAAAATGAGATTGCCACCATGCCAGTCCTTGTACTCAAGTGCACATGTCGTGTTGAATCAGAATGCCAGTGTGCCAGTGTAGGGTGCTAAAATTTCATCTTTCCTTTTGAAGCAGAATCAAGCTTCTCATGGCAGCTAAGAAACATTTCAAAATGCACAAAAACCAGTGAGAAATTAGCAAAAGACTCCCATTACTGGATTGCCCTTCCCTTTCATCTGACTCTCCCTATTTTTATGGCCCTCTGTCTATCCCACCTACTCCTTCCACAGCTCAGTCTTGTTCAAAAAAATTCAGATAATGCTACCCCAAAAGACCATGTACACAATAGCTCCAGCCAATGGTCAGAAATGATGGGAGCTGTACTTGAACAATGACTGCACTGTACTGCATAAATCAAATCACTGATTAGCGGCCATGAAAACTCCAGTTTCGCAGTACACAGTTTGAAAGGTTGCCCGTGACATCTCAGTTACAAAATTAGGACTTCCTTATTTCAGTATCTGGAGAACAGAGAAGGCCTGTACACATGCAAGACACAGCTCTCAACACAAAAGAATTCCCCTCCTCACAAATTTTTTTGAATCTCACATTTCTGAGGGGGATTCACATAAAGAAATTTAGAACTGGCTTCCTCCTACCAACGATTTGTTGGTAATTCTGAATTCACCTTTCTACATTGGCTACAAACGCATATTAGAAACAGGTGTATATAAACTATTTTTCAATAAGGAACTTCAGTCCATTGAAAGCTCATTGGCTTATATAATAGTCAATTGACAGCTTGCTGCTGTCCCCTTTTGCCAACTAAAATAAACATTCCTTCAGAAGCAGCAGATGTTTCTGGATTATATACTCTGTTGTCTCTCTTCACCCCCACCATAATAGAAACAAAATGGACACCAAGCAAATTACAACCGTCTGGATTAATATCTAAATTTAACAGCTGCACATCTGAAGGGGGTGGGGTGGGAAATGCTTGGCTACATTCTTTATTTAGATATTTGCTTTTCTAATCTGCTGTTGTCTACCCTACTCATATCACCATGAATTTTAGAAATATTTAAATAGATGTGAGTTATGTGATCATACATCAGTCAAAATATTATTTTGAATAAAATACAACACAAGACTTCACCTCCTCTTTTGCATCCATAAGCAATTTTAAGCTAATCACAGTTCTCCATGATATATATGGGTAAAACTGTGTTTTTGTAAAAAATTGAAAACAAATCATGATGAAACCATGGTTTCTGAAAATGGATTGTTTTCAAGCCATAATTTAACAAGCCATGGTTCCCCAGAAAGCTGAATGGAGGTTTAACAAATGAAAACCTCTCTCCTTCTCATAGGCACAAAAGAAGAGAGGAGGGGGAGTGTGTGAGCCTTAGGGTCTCCAGAGTTGGTTCCTATAGTAGGAAATTATGGTTTCCAGTTTGCACATAGCAATAAAGAAATCATGTATAGTACGTATGCAGCAGAAAAGCAGGTTGCTTACCTGTAACTGATGTTCTTCGAGTGGCCATCTGTGCATTCACACATATGGGGTGTTGCGCCTGCGCAGTGCCTAGGCCAGAAAGATTGAAAGCTAATGGTTTTGGTGGGAAAACTCTGCTCCCCTCCTCCTCAGTAGTATATATAGAGTGGAGTGTCTACCATTTTCTCCAGTCTTTGGAGATAGAACGCCACCTTACGAAAGAAGATGGCATAACAACTTATCAGGTACCGCCGCAATAGCCCACGGTACCGATGACATAATAAAGTATCAGGTACTGAAGCAGTATCATACAGTACCGATAAAGAAACCACTCACCAACACCGAGCGGGGCTGGCGGGTGGGTTGTGTGAATGCACAGATGGCCACTTGAAGAACATCAGTTACAGGTAAGCAACCTGATTTTCTTCGTCGTGGCCTCTGTGCATCACACATATGGATGAATAGCAAGAGATGGTGGTGGGCGGTGTCGTCATTGAAGAACGGTAGAAAGAACAGCCCTCCCGAAGGAACAGTCTCTTCTGGCACGCACATCAAGGCGATAGTGCTTTGCGAAAGTACACGGAGTAGCCCAAGTTGCAGCCTTGCAGACCTCCTGGATCAGGACACCCGTGGCAAACGTGGAGGAAGCCGCCACCGCTCTAGTGGAATGACCCCTTGGAACAACAGGTAAGTCCATTTTTGCAAGCTGGTACGCTAACGAAATGGTTTGACCAATCCACTTCGACAGTCTCTGAGATGAAACAGGTTATCCTTGGTCCCATTGAGAGTACTTTCCAAAAAGTCTATTAGAGCATCTAAGAGACTCTGTGCGTGATCTATAGAAAGTCAAGCAGCGTCGTACATCCAAGGTATGCAAGAACCTTTCGATCGGGTTCGATGGCGACGGAAAGAAGGCAGGCAACACAATCTCTTGATTCAGGTGGAAAGGCATGGCAACTTTAGGCAAAAAAGACGGATCCATCCTCAGAACCACTTTTTCCTTATGGAAGTTGAGATAAGGTGGATCAATTCGAAGAGCACAAAGTTCACTGGCTCTATGAACTGATGTAACTGCAACAAGGAAGGCCGTCTTCCATGATACAAGACGCATATCGACAGTCGCTAGGGGCTCAAACAGTGGTCTTGTAAGTGCCTGAAGGACAACCAAAAGATTCCATGTGGGCATAACAGGCCGAATAGAAGGATGAAGATTTTGCAGTATTTTTGTATAAGCGGTTGTGAAAACACTGACAATCCTTGTACCGTACCCCGATAATGTGACACGGCTGCTGCACAGACCTTAATTGAGGAAGGTTTTAGTCCCGAACGATGCAGTTGCAGCAGAAACTGAAGAATATTCTCTACCGAAGCTGTAATCAGACTGAACGAGCGTGATTCCATGAAAGATGAGAAGCGGCGCCACTTTGCTGCGTAGGATTTCCGAGTTGATGGTCTTATTGCAGACTCGAGAATCCTTAAAACATCTGGATCTAAAGAGCTCAGTCCTGACAATACCCCCATCGGTACCGAGTCAGTGAGGAGGTCAGATCGGTCGTGAGTTGAGGTATTGAGTGACCTAGTAGATCTCTGTTCCGAAGCAGTGTCTTGAGTCAATGAATTCTCCATGCAGTGAGGTTCAATGAGGACAGGTCCGGGTGACGGACAGAGCCTTTTTGTTGAGTTAGTAGATCTTGTCTGGATGGAAGATGAAGGAAATTGCCGTTTGAGATCCGAAGGAGGGTGGAAAACTATGCTTGACGAGGCCACCAAGGTGTTATGAGTATTCCTGTGGCATCATTGTGCACAATCTTTGATACAACTTTTGTCAATAGAGGAATAGGCGGAAACGCGTAAAACCTGAGATTTGTCCAGGGGATCATAAGGGCATCTCCCATTGATCCCGGTCCTATTCCCGCCCTGGAGCAGAATCTTTTGCACACCCTGTTCTTGTGGGTAGCAAACAGGTCTATGTCCGAATGTTCCCAAAGTTGGAATAACTGTATGCAGACTTGATGATTCAGTTCCCATTCGTGGATGAACAACATGTGTCTGCTCAGGGTGTCTGCTTCCTCGTTGTCAGTCCTGGCAAGATGGACCGCCAAGAGGGTTATACCTCTCAGGATGCACCATTCCCAAATGTCCATGGACAGGCGGGCCAGGGCAGTGGACTTTGTTCTGTCCTGTTTGTTGATATAGAATACCACCACTATACTGTCGGACGTGATCTGTATCACTTGGTGGCGGACAACTTCCTCGAAGGACCAAAGTGCCTTGAAGATCTCTAGAAGCTCGAGGAAATTTATGTGACTCAATGACTCTTGCCAGTTCCACATGCCCTGAGATTGAAGCCCTGCGCATACCGCATCCCACCCAACCAGTGAAGCATCGGTATATAGAGTCAGCGTTGGGTGAGGGGTGATGAATGGAGTACCCACGCTTAGATTGGCTGGGGTCGTCCACCAAGTCAATGTTCGTATAACAGCGCAGGGCATACAAAGTGGTTTGTTAGGCAAATCTCATTGTGGACGAAAACTCTTGTTGAACCAGAGCTGAAGAGGGCAGAACTTCAACCTGGCATGTGGGACAATGGCAACTGCGGCAGCCATGTGACCCAGAAGTCTCTGGATTGAGAGCGCTGTAACTACATTGTCCTGTCGGATCCGAGAGATACAGGAGTGGAGGTTGTCCTGACAAGCTGGAGGGAGGAATGCCCTCGCTACCGTGGAATCGAGATGAGCTCCGATGAAGTCTATCACCTGCGTAGGGACAAGGGATGATTTTTCACGGTTAATACAAAGTCCGAGATTGTCCAACAGTGCGCAAGTCACCTCAACGGCTGACAGTAGGATTTCACGGGTCTGGGAAACTATAAGCCAGTCATCCAGGCAAGGGTACACTTGGATGCCTTGAAGCTGTAGATGAGCACACACCGGTGCCATACATTTCGTGAAGACCCTCGGGGCCGTGGCCAAACCGAATGGAAGGACATTGAATTCGTATATGTCGGTCCCGATGGTGAAACGCAGAAGACGCCTATGACTTGGATGGATCGAAATATGGAAGTAGGCATCTTTTAGATCAAGTGAGGCAAACCAATCCTCTCACCTCAGCAGTGGAAGGATATTTTGAAGGGTAGTCATCCGAAATTTCTTTGGTTTGATAAATCTTTTGATATTTCAGAGGTCCAAGATCGGACGAAGACCACCATCCTGTTTCAGGACCGTAAAATACCTAGAATAGAATCCGTGAAGCCAGTCGGAGCTAGAAATCCGTCGAATCGCGCCCTTACGAAGCAGTTGGTGTACTTCGTCCACTAGTACTGGAGAGTGCGGTGTAAATCGAATCAGGCTCGACGAAGGAACGGTATCGATTTCTATTCTGAATCCAAGCTGAATAATAGACAGGACCCACCGATCATATGTGATGGACTCCCAAATGGGGAGTCGGCCTTGCAGCCATTCCCCAAAAGAGAGGGGGAAAGGTGGGTGTGGAGGTGGAAGAGAGGTTCGCTTGTCCCATCAGCGTTGACGCTTCTCCGTATCGAAACGCTGGCAGTTCTGTGGGAAACGCTGATGGGGTTGTTGCCTTCTGCGTTGTGGCCATTGTTGGTACTATCTCTGAGGCGGCTGGTAGCGGTAGGATGGGCACAACCATGACCACTTATGTTTTTGCTTTCGGGGTAATTCCATCCGTCTTGCTGTCATACGGGACTCAAGGATGGACTTGAGCTTATGATCAGCGTGTGAATGAAACAGCCCAGAGCCGTCAAAGGGCATTTCTTCTATTTGCCACTTCATCTCGTCAGGAAAATTGCAATTCCTCAACCAGGCATGCCTTCACAGTGAGACGGCCCCGATGAGAGCCCTCAAATCCGTATCCACATGGTGACATGCTGTGGATAATTGTTGTACAGCGACTTGCATACCCTCCTTGATGAAAGTCCTAGCCAAATCCCGTTGTTGCTCAGGCAGGGGAGCGACGATGTTATTCAGCCTCTGCAAAATAAAGAATTGATACATGGCCAGGGTGGCTTCATAGTTAGACATGCAAAGCCCAAGCCCTGCAGCCGCACAGACGCTGCGCGCCAGGGTATCAATCTTGTGGCCCTTCTTGTCTCGGGGGGTGGTATGTCCCCTGGCTTCCCTGCCCTGGGATGATTCAACCACCACGGAATTCGGCTTAGGATGATGGAGTAAGAAGGATATGTCGCTCTCCCGGACTCGATACATGGATTCGTACCTTCTCACTGTGGGCTGAGTCTGCGAAGGCAAGTCCCAAGGCTGAGTCATCACCTGCCGCAAGGTTGTAATAAGCGGCAAGACAATTGCAGGTGATTGCTCTCCCCTGACAATGTCATAGAACTTGTCGGTGCTCGGATCTGGCTGGTGTTGCGCCTCAATCTCGAGAGACTGAACAAGTCTAGACATGAGCTCTCCGAATGAGATGTGGGGCTCTTCAGGTGATGATGGTCTCTGAGATGTAATAAGGACATCCGGGGAGGTGGAGTCTGCATCCGAGTCAGAGTCGGGCCCGAGGTGATATGGCTCCAACAAGGAAGTCCCTGGTGAAGTAGGATGTTCAGGTTCGACCCGCCTCGAGGTGGATGGCATGTCCTCATGGGCGGATGGCGAGGAACGGTTCTGTGGGTGAGGACAAAATCCAAAGGAGTGGTAGTCCTCCCAGCCCAATGGATAACTGTAGTAGGGCTGGAACCATCCTTCTTCCCGCCTTTCGTCCATCCAGGACCGAGGTGGTGGTGAGGTTGGAGATGGGTTTCGAGCTCGTGGGCATAGGAGTCGGAGAACAAGCCCTGGGAGGGGAGTCTTGAATCTCCCCACCGGAGATTGACTCGCGATGCGGCGCAGGCAACTGAGCAGGTAGGCCCTGTTGGGGGGCAGGTTGTATTGGAGACCATGGTGGGGTAACCTGCATCGCCACTTGAAGCATCGGTACCAATGGTGTTGGTACCGAAGCTGCCACCGGGATCGATGGTGCTGTCGAACCCAAATCCCTATGCCTCTTCTTATGGAGTGGTTTAGCCGCCTTGTCTTTCTTCGCCTTCTTATGGGCAGAAGAGTGATCCGACCCTCTGTGCTTCCTCTTTTCCCATTGTTTACGCGGGGGAGAAAGAGATTGTTGAACCCTGGAGGGGGAATTTCCATCATCCGAAGGAAGCGGCTGAGGCATGGGCGGCGTGGGCAAACGGCATTGTCCGGGCATGCCCAAGGCAGAGGCTGGGCATTGAGCCGATGTGGTCGAAGCTACGGCCTTGCGCTTAGCAGGTGGAGCATGCGCTGGCCCGGGCTTTGCTGCAGGCTGATCCGATTGCATCAGCGCTTGGTTCCACAGGAGCTTTCGCAAGCAACTCTCCCTATTTTTTCGTGCTTGCTTAGTAAAAGCAAGGCAATGGCGGCATTTATCCGTCCTGTGCCCCTCGCCGAGGCAAAGGAGGCACAAGTCGTGAGGGTCCGCCGGGGACATTTTGGACCCACATTCCGCACATTTGCGGAAGGCTGCCCGCTGCGCCATCGCAGAAAACGAAGAATTAGAATATAGGAAAGAGGGAAAGGTAGTATTTTTGTTTTGTTTTGTTTTGTTTTTTAATAGGAACGAAGAAAAGAGAGATGAAGCTATAACAAGGGGATAGTAACTTGGAATAACAGCAAGCACAACAAGAATATTAGAACAATAGAAATAAAGAACAAATACTGAGTCGAGCGAGAGATGAACAGGCACGAGGCACAGCGAACAGCAGTCGCAAAAGACTGGAGAAAATGGAGGTCCCTCTGCTCTATATATACTACCAAGGGGGAGGGGAGCGGAGTGTTTCCGCCAAAACTGTTAGCTTTCAGTCTTTCCGGCCTAGGCACTGCACAGGTGCAGCACCCCACATGTGTGATGCACAGAAGCCATGACGAAGAAACAACCCTTTAGAACCCTACCAAACACAGCCACAGTGTTTCAAGTGTTTTGCCATATTAATCAACCGCAACTTCATGTCCAGTACCCCGCTCCACCTGTACCTATTTAAAACTTTGGATTTTTTAAAACTCATCATTGCCCATGCTCCTTGACTTCATAGTCCCCCCAAAAGCTTCAGGGAATGCATTCAGAGAATAGAATTCTCTTTTAAAACAAGAAATGAGTTACTGGGCTAGTTTGTATAATATGGATTAATCGACCCACAAGGAGCTGAAGTGCATGCTGGCTGCTACTATGAATATGCTAATCCTGGCCAGGGGTTTCTGCGGCTTGTTGCATTGTACTAATCAGCAGGGTTTATTTGCAGATTAAACAAACCTTGCATAAACTTAAAATAGACTATGAGTTATGAAGGGGTTGTTTAATCCTCAAATAACCCTCTACCCCAGTTTGCATCACATGGCAAAATGGGGCTTGAATATTTCTAATGATGGACAGCATGCACCATGGCGCTCCAAAGGTTAATTAAACCATGATGAAATACCAAAGAAAATTTCTTGAGACCAACTTAGACGTTAGTTCAGCAGCCATAGATCCAATTCCCCAATTTAAAAAAATGTAAAGGCAAATGGGGGGCACCTAAGGAAGAACACTGAAGGTGAGATGGGTACTTAATCTGCCCCAGGCCTCCCTATTTACTGTGCAAACATCTCCTGCCAAGACTGATTTCCCCACTCCACTTTCAGTCAGGCTCACTTCTCTCACCTGTGATTTCAATTGCTCGCTTTTTGAAGGTGCTGATGACGGTCCCATCTTTCCTTCGCAGCAAGGGACTGCTCCGCCTCTCTGCAACCTTCTGCTTTAACCGTGAGCGCACTTTTAAGTTGGGTTCCGAGGCTGGAAGGAGCAGGGACATGGAGTAAGGAAAAGTAAGACGGTAAGGTTGCTGGCAAGGTACAGTGGCCTAGGCCAGGAAGGTAGGTAACCTGGTGCCACAGGTACCAAGCAATGCGCCCTTGCAGATCTTTCTTGATACCCACCAAAGTGCCCTACCAAGTTCCCCCAATTAATATATGTGTTCATACTGACAATCTGGGATCCCTGTGAAATAGGCTTCTTTTGGTGCTAAAAGCTGCAGGTTCAAAGGTATTATTTAGCATGCTAGGGCTCAGCCCCCACCTCTGCCTTGGGCTCAGCCTTTTGGCCTTTGTCACGCCTCCCATGACAGAGGTGGGGGCTGAGCTTGTCGGCTGACCATGGGATAATCACCAAACTCCTGCCATCCAGTCACCCCAAATCTAGTGTCTTCCAGACATTATGCCGGCTGGGGAATTCTAGGAGCTGTAGTTCAATATACCTGGAGGGTACCAGGTTAGGGAAGGTTGCCTAAGAGAGCAAGGGAAGGGTTCATAGCTCAGTGGTAGAGTCTTGCTTTGTATGTAGATATCTCTGTTTAGTCTTTTCCATTTCTATTTTAAAATGCTCAGGTAGCAACTAATGGGAAAGATCTCTCCCTGCCTGAGGCCCTGGAGAGCTACTGCCAATCAGAGTGGACATCAGTAGGCTAGATGGAGGAATAATCTGACCTGTCGTAAGGCAACTTCCTGTGACCCTAAGTAGCTTACCAGTTTTCCGGAGTGGAAAGTCATCTCTGCTGTCGTAAGTGCCAAGTAAAGGTAGTTTACAAGAGGGTGGTGTTCCCGGGCTTCCTGTCTGGGGAGGGGAACTCTGGTCCAATGAGACATGGTGAGCCCCCCTAGAGGAACAGGGAAATTTCATTATCAGATTATCAAGAAGACCCAGCAGGTATGTGGAAGGAAAGAGCAAAGTTACTGAGCTGCGGCTCATTCTTTCTCCCACACTTCTGGCTTCTGAGGGAACAGGGCTTTGGACCAGATTGGCCAGTCTGATGTCCGAAATTTCTGCATTCCTTGATGTAGACTGATGCAGCAATATAGGAAGCAGATCCAACAGGTTCTTTCAGAGCTGTCCTGATCTCCATCCTAAACTGCAGCTATAATTTACCATAACTTGCGGTTTCTTTAAATTTAACAGAATGAAACAAATAGAGTGATAGGGTCACACATGCAAATATGTCCAGCGATTTATACCATAACTATGCAATTTATTACACGCACTATCAGCAATGTTTTCAATGGACATAAAATTCTGCTTGCTTTATCTAACCTGTAATTCAACTACTTTCCTTTCAGTTTGATGAGGGGTTCTGTGACACCTCAACACCACACACACACACACAATGGCCAATAATAGGCAACTCGCTTGCTCTGACTCTTCTATGATCTTGGAACTCCCTGTAAGTGGTGAGCCAGCACTGGATTTAGACTTAATTTATGATTAAAGTAGATCTAGTAAATCAATGGGATGACTAAAATATTGATCCAACCCTTTAAAAAGATATAAGACTAAGAATTTTGCAGAAATGTTTCTTTGGACTGGGTCTTAATAAAGGGACTAGCAAGACTTAGGCTAATTTTGATTTACTATGGTATGGTAATTTATGTACTATTTTATTACTAATGGTAATTTATCTTGCCTAAATTTAACCTTAATTTGAGAGAACAGGGTAGAAAAATAATAAATTAAATGAAGAAGGAGAGAGGCCAGAACTGTGGAGGAAAGCAAGAGTTCTGCCATCTTTCAGATTGCTATAAAGCTGAACTGACAAGTCAGGGCTCTATTCTTGAATGTGGGTCAAGTGGATTGGGGGACATGACCTGGAGGGGGGACAAGATCCAGATAAGAATATTTTCTGTGAATGATAAGGGAGAATAAGGTGGGGGCAGGGATAATGGTCCATCTGGGATCTGCTGTAAGCTGGCTAAACGGATTACCACTCTTAAGCACTGAAGGTCCAGGAAACTCAGTGGGTTATCAAGAGGAAAAAGCTGCAGGTAGAAGATACCAAAGGCCAATCAAGGGTTAGTAGCAGAGAGCAAGAATGGGGTCAGTTTTACAGTCTGCATGTTTCATTTTATGAAAATAATGTGATTCTCCACTGCAGGCACCAATAACATATATCTTATATCAATACCATATATCTTACATTGCTGTGGACTCAAGAGGAGACTGGTAATCACCACCACTTACTTCAGGGTTTGATTAGTTATATGGTTAAGCCTGAGACTGCCAGTCCATGATTTGATTCATTATTTTGATCAACAGGTAATGCGCTTCCCTTTTTCTGTCTTAGATCTTAAGTGACGGATTTCCCTCAAATTCTCCCAACTCCTTGGCTCAAAAACTCAATCAACAGTCAATGGGCCTTTCTGTACAGAAATTCTCTAAGACAGAAATTGCTGTTAACAGAAATTCTTGGCTGGGAATTGGGGTGGTTATAAGTTGCACCTGAGGAAAAAAACCAAGCTATCATCTCTGCAATTGCATTGCTGGTTCTCTTGAGAAATGTATTTAGCTGGCTGATATGATGAGAATGTGTTGGCGCCTTCCAGTGGGATGACGTTGTGGACAGAAAAGGAAGTATATGGTGCCTCACATTTCCTGCACTCCTGGATCTCTTCATTGTTTGAAATAGAATATTTGCTTTTGCATAAACACACACACAGAGAAATGCATAAGCACCTCCTGGCTTAAATCAGGAGTGGGGATGTGAAGAGTCTATTTTGGGCAATAATGAAAGATGTAGAAAGACGTGGATGTGTTCGACAACACCATCACAACTGAAGCAGCTCTTGGAGTGATAACAGGAACAGATTGCTTTGAGCTGAAATTGTGTGCTCATATAACTGACAATGCACCCACAAAATGACTCCTTAAAAAAACATACTAGATTAATAAAATCAAGAATACATGTCATGCCTAAGCTCCATTCCCAGTTACTAAGGGCACCCATCCAGCATCGATATTTAATGTGAATTACTTATCTCTTGGAACAGGGGTGGGAAGTTTGTGGCCCAGCAATCGTTTTGGCCCCAAACTCTCTTCAGCCCTAGCCACTACAGTCAATTAAGAAATGTTTGGAGTTTTATGATAAAAGTTCTGGAGGACCACAAGTTGTTCCTCCCTCTTTAGCATAATAATCAGGATGACTACTGAATGGTCAAAGTGTAGATCTAATTCATATTTCAACACACACACTCACGCTAAATGAGAAACCAACATGTACACCCTGACTTGGCATTGGCTGAATAATGTACAAGAAATTTTACTCCTGGGTCTCTAGTCCCTGGCTTCCTAAACCCAGATACATAGATGCAAACTCCAATAATTTGGAGGGTGAAGTACAAATTCAGCACTTGCTCTTTGCTACATTCATTCCAGTGCTAAAACCCCAGGTACGCTGACACCTTGCTCTTAGCCAGGACTGAATGTCAAGCACAGACACAAAGGCAAGACCTACCAGCATTTGGGGTGCTGAGGGAGGGAATGGTTCAAGCCACCTGCTGCAGCTGGCTCTTTTGACTTGCTGAGAAGGAACTCCTGAAGTTTCAGTTTCACTTCAGTGCTGGCAATTGCACCTGCAGAAAATTTGGGAAAACAGTGGTGAAAAACACAAAGGCCCTATTCAGATGCAGTGATTTCAATCTCTAAAACCTTAGTTTATTATACTAAGCATGAGTGCTATACCTGTGCAAACAATTGTGATTTAATCCTGATCTATAATCCATCCTGGTTTCATATCCTGATTTGTAATCAGGAGATTTAGGGCACAATCCTATGTGTGTTTAGTAAAGAAAAAGTCCTATCAAGCGAACTGTAGAGTGCTGAGAATCATAGGCCTTTTTTCAGTCTAAGCATGTGATGTATTGTGCCCAAAGCCATTTCCCTAGTATGAGCAGAAATGGAAATTGTGGTTTAAGCAAGTGTGGAAATTCACATGATGGCATACGGCAGCAGGAAGGAAGAAGCCCATGGGAACACTGCTTCTTCTTGGTCTGAGGAACCATGGTTTCCTGGACCAAGACCATTAAATCTGGACCAAGGCCACAGGCTGAATCAGCAGAAGAAAGTATCTTCTGTGGGCAAGGAAAGGTTCAATCAATTCTATAAGCTTTTCTTTTCTATACACTTCCATCTCATGTCCCAGAAGGCAAACCATGTGCTCCTGTGGTAACAAAAGGGCCCACTACACCATTTTCTATCAAGCAATGTTTAACCAATGCACTGCATTCAGCTTTATCTGCCCCCTCATCCTACCCTACTATTTCTACTATTTCTGTTCCACCTCAAAAAACACACCTCCCCCTCACGTGTTTGAAGACTGTATCACAGAGGTGTCCCTCAATATTTATGTTTAAATGCACTTATTCTTATGTGTTCTATTTACTTATTAAGGGGCAGAATTTACATCATCTATCTAAAGGTCTATATAGGCACAATTCTTAAGCAACCACTCCATTAAAATATTAAATGGTAATATTTAACACTAAATATTAAACAACATATTTGAGAAGCATCTTTAATATATTCAACCATATATACATCACAAATTCTAACCTCTTCAAGCAAACATATGGTCTTGCTAAATTAATCCTAGGTGTTGTGGATTTCTGAGTAGCCTGAGAATTTCCTTGCAGAGACACCCAACTCTTTCATAAAACTACCTTTTTAAATGGTCTTGAAGGGAAATGTCACAACAAAGGGGCTCAAAACTTCAACAGTTTCTAAGATATGGGGAGGTTTGCAGGCAAAGTCCAGAAACTAAATGTGCTGGTTTGCATATGATGACTACCCCAAATATGGATAGAGCTGCTGTTGTCATTGTTGTATCATGGGTTGTTGTTACCTGTGAACCAACCGGGGGTTGTTAAACATGAACAACCAAGGAAGAGAACCCATGGTTTGCTGGGCTGTGAACTCTGGGTTCACGATTAACAACCCCTAGTTAAACCATTGTAAAGGGTTCACAGAGAACCCGCAATTCAACAACAACTCACAATTCAACCTTAACCCATACTGAACACATCCATTGTTGTTACATGCCAAGCAGGTGAATGAGAACTTTTAGAATTCTTCTTCAAGTTTTAAATGTATTTATTTTTGTCTAATTGTGCTTTACTGTATACTGCTTTGGGCCTTAGCATTCAGGATGAGAAAGAACATTGCCCTAACCCCTCCAGCTCTATCCCCCAAGTCGTCCCACTATAAACAGGATATCAAGATAATAAATATAGTGCCATAAAGATATATTACTCTCTTTGCTTTTCTCCTTGTTGCGCAAGATAAGAAGCTGCTGCTCCAGACGCTGCTTCTCCAGCTCTTCCTGCCGCTGCTGCTCTCGCTTACGTTGCTGCTCCAGTTCTTGTTGACGCTTTGCTGCCAGCATCTCCTGCTGTTGCTGCAATGGAATGATAGAGAGTTGAGTGAAAACTAGTGCAGGGAGGGGAGTGTGTGAGTGAGTGAGTGAGTGAGTGAGAGAGAGAGAGAGAGAGAGAGAGAGAGAGAGAGAGAGACTGCATGTACATGGATCACATGTAACATCCAGACATACTTTGAAAGTTCAAAATGTGAAGCTTTGCAGATGCAGATTTCCAGCTCAGACATTTGAGAAACTGTGTTAGTATTTTCTGATTTCACAGCTGCATGACAGGCAAAAGTACAGGAGAGCTCCCCTTCCAGGGGTTCAAAGGTCTGTCTGGGAAACAGATCCTGGAAATTCCATATGAACCTATTACTATTATTAAAATAATACATTTATATCCAACAATATTCCTCTATGAGGAGCTCTAAGCAGCTTACAGCAGCTGGTCTCCTCACAAGAACAACCCTGTTAGGTGAGCTAGGCTGAAAGACAATAACTGGCCATGACTCACTGATTGAGTTCCATGGCTGACTAGTGACTAGAACTTGGACCTCCAGAGTTCCAGTCTAGCACTCTGACCACTACACCAGACTCATATGGGTTTTCCTCTGAGGCCTTGCCTCCTGTACCCGTTGTCTGAGATTCTGTGGATGTTTCTGCAAAGTGGGACCTTCTCAGTATTCCTATGATCTGGAATACCCTTTCACAGGAGAGTCATTATCTGGGTCTTGGCTGTTTCTGATTGCTAAAGCTTTGTCATGCTTGTATAGGTTTTATATTTGATTTATATTGTTGCTAGTTGCCTCAGCAGACAGAAAATCAGTGCTATAAATAAACAAGCATATTATTATAAAATTACCCCAAAAAATCCTCTCCTGGAATTATTTACTGCTACTATCCTTTTGTCCTAAGCCCTTGCTGAACAACCTGGCTAAGACTCTGCCAACACTAGAACACTGTCACAATCATTTTATTTCTTAGTAACCCACCATTGCATGTAACTATCCCTATGCAGCAAATGCTTCATAAGATCTGGGCATTACATCTTGGCTACGGTGCACATGTATTTATTGATGTATATATGTATCACCTCCCTTCACAGTTATATACCACATTACCTTCCTCTTTCCATGATCTAGGCTGCCATTTCCAATCTGGATGATGTCTTGGGTAGCTTCTGCTACAGTTCTTTTTGTTTAGTCATACTTCAGAAGCATACCAATAGAATGCACTGAGCTTTTATAAAGAACAAAATCCCAAAGCACAGGAAAAACTCTATTGTAAAAGACTGAGACCCAAACTAGACAATATGTTAACTAAATGATATCTTGTGACTATTTCTTTAAAAAGAAAAAAAAAGCACATGTGGGAGAGGGGGGCAAATCAGATCAGGATTGTGGGAAGTGGAGATTGGGAAAGGTGATTGACCCACATTGTTTTCCCTATAAGAATCTCCACTATCTACTTTTTACCCCATATGTGCTATGTGCAGCACCCACACTTCCAGGACCAATAGCAATTCAGGGCTCTGGGGAGAAGTCCAACTTCAAAAATATACATTCAAAACTATGCAATTTTGAAGCACAAGCTTTTTTTAAAGAATGGCCAACCAATGACAGCTCCTCCAGGAGGAAGTGCTTAGGAATCCAGTAGGCAGGCCGTTTGGTACCTTTATGCCAAGCACAAAATCCCCTGACTTGTGCTCAGGAGTCAACAGAGTCAGGGCAGGCGAGCTAAAACTGGCACTTGTTATACCTGAGCCTCGTGACCCAGGGCAGTCTCATGTAGAGGAAACCTCAGCAGTTTAAACAAAAGGTTAGTGGACTAGAGGTGGCAGCTGCAAGGTCAGAAGCAGCAATACTAAATGCACTGCAGGCCATGGCCACCAGTGAGCCTCGAGTGGCTAGATTCAATCCCGGAGAGCCACAGACTGAGTGCCTGTTTCTTCAGAAGAAATACAACCCCACACATAAACACAGCAAGTACAGGCAGATCCCCAACCCTGCTATCCCTGCTCATTACCAATTCTTCTGTCTTGTCTGGATTAAGGTGTAAGGACCAGTCTCAGGGGTGATGCTCTGCATACAGAAGGCCCCAGATTTTATTCCCAGCATCTCTAGGCAGGGTAAGAAAAACTCTATCTTGGAGAGCTGTTGCTAGTTAGTCTCAACAGTATCAGGCAACCTGAACCAACAGTCTGGCTCAACATAGCTTCCTATGTTATAAGCCTCAGCTGATTAAACCTCACTTCAAACATAATAGTGTCCAAGAATTCATTGGAAAATATACTGTTTAATCAATTATTTGATTAAAAAGAAAAACAGAACTGGATGATATCAGAATACAGGAGAGGCTATCACTCATTTGGTACAGCATATGCTCTGCATGCATCCAATTCCAGGTCCAGTCCTAAACATCTGCAGTGTTAAAAAAAAAAGGTCCCCGCAGGGCTGAGGGGCCTCACAGAGCTGCTGCTGCTTAGGATGGACAACACTGACCTACATGAATGCATTGGGTGGCTCAGAAGAAAGCAGCTTTATGAATTCATCTCCAAATTACCTTGAGATGTTTCTGCAACTGGACTTCATGCTGCCGTGTTAGGTGCTCGTGCTGCTTCTGAAACTCGGCAAAGAGGAGCTGCTTCTGCAAATGCTGCTGCTGTTTCAAGGCAAGTAGCTCCTGCTGCAGCTGCTGTTCTCGGACAGCTGGATCTACGGGAGGCATACTGGGCCGAGCATCCATCCGCAAGTCCACCGGGCTGCTGCTGCTGCTGCTGTTGCAAGAGCTCTGCATCACCACGGGAAGTACCGGCTTTAAGTCCACAGCTGTGGATGAGAAAAGAGGGAGCTTGACTGGAGAGGCACAGTCTCTACAGCAATGAAGGGCTAAGATCAAGGTGTTTTGGTTCATAAAAGAAGAGTTCTGAAGCAAATAGCAATGCTCCAATTGGCCTGGCAAACTCTCAATTTTATGAAGCTCCCATGGTCCAGCCATCAGATGCTAAAATTTATGTCAACATTGTAAACCCTTTCTTGCCATTATCTAGGCTGTTCTATGTCATAGACAGTCCACAAACATTTTGACCACTTTGGGAAGCTGCCAGCAAGGTACTATTTAACAATAACAACAATAAAAACAATAAAAAAGGAAGATTAAGGTGGACTTGCAGCAAAAGGTTGCAGGTTTGGAAAGTCCTGTTCAGGGTCCCAACCAACTTATCATACTGAATATTCCATTTTATGTCCCCTGCTCCCCATTTCTCTCCCCAGTAGTCAGTTAGTGTGCCATGGCCACTGAGAATGTTCAGTCCTCGCTTCACACTGGATGCTGCCCCCTTTAAGGGTTTTTCTTTCTAAAGATTTTTTGTACTTTTGTGAACCTTAGCCTTTGAATGCCACTTATTTTTTGTAACTAATAGCTTTTGGCACACTAGCAAAAATGGTACCCTACATAAGAACAGAAGAAGAGCTGTGTTGGATCAGATCAAGGGTCTGTCCAGTCCAATATTCTGTTCACACATCAGCAACAGGAAACCCATTGCCCATGTTCCCCTCTGAAACTAGAAGCAGCAAATAACCATCAGGGCTAGTAGGCATTGATAACCTTTTCCTCATGAATTTACCCAGTTCCCTTTTAAAGCCATCCAGACTGGTAACCACCACTACATACTGTGGAAGTGACTTCCATATTTTAACTCTGCATTGTGTGAAGAAGTACTTTTATCCATCCTGAAACTCTCACCAATCAGTTTCATGGGATGAGCCCAGTTTCTAGTAATATGAGAGAGAGAAAATGCCTCCCTATCTACTTTCTGTACAGAATACACATTTTTTCTCACCTCTATTGTATCTCCCCTACCTTGCTTCTTTTCCCTGCTGTTGTGATCTTTCCTCTTAGGGAAGTTGCTCCATTCCCTTGATCTGCACTTTTTCCAACTGAATGCTAACAGCAAGATGTGGAGCAGGTCTCATAAACCCCCATCCCTCTCACAGGAAGTTTACAATCTAAGAAAGATTAGGAATGACCTGCCAGTTTTCTGGATTACTTCAGGAATCTGATGAAGGTACTAGCCTAGGAAAGTTCATGCCTCAATAAATGCATTAATCTTTGAGACTCCACAGGGGATTATTCATAAATATATGCCAATTTCTGATTTGTGCCTTATTTTTGAAACAGTTCTCTGGCAGCTTTGATGCCGATCCAAGGATAAATCCCAAGAGGGATTGCAGAGGCTAGCGGCCTTTAATCATGTACATTTGATCAACCTGGGTTTTAAGACTCTTCAAGAGTGGGTGCAAAGGAGTGTCCCTCAGTCTCTTTGGTCTTTTCAAAGACAGCCTCTATAGGTTTTTCCCTAAATCTGTACCCCAAGATGCACAAAGACCTAATTCCTAAGGAGACCTGTGTCTTTCCCTCTACAATGCCCAGTCAACTAGCATCTGAAGGTTTGACAAGCCAATGTCGAAGGAGCTGAGCAGAAACCCAAGCTACCAATTTATCTTTTCATAAATCTTTGGGCTTTGATTCAGAAGTATGAGCAACAGATACAGCTCCAAACTCTAGGATTTAAAACCATGGGATCCATCCTTCAAAGGCCTAGCCTACACGTGCACCAAAATGAGATGTTAGTGTGGACAATACCATTTCAGAAGAACATGTGAGAGATCACATTTTTTAGTGTTCCCCATTTGAAAAATGTCCATCAAGTGGAATGTTTGGTGATTCACAACTGGCCACCTTAACATGGAGGAATATTACAAATCGTAGCCCCCCACCACAGCCTGAAATAGTAAAAATTTTGTCTACCATCTCAGGAGTCTACCATGTCATTTTTAAGCAGTTGTTGCACCAGACCATAAAGGGGGTCAGTGGAAGATAAAAGTTCCTTGAAGGCAGCAGCAGGGGTGGGGGAATGGATGGACAGACAAACAATTCAGAAAGAAAGGAAATAAAACAATGGGGCATTTAGTGTGAAAGGCTTCCATGTTCAGATCCAACCCCCATTCAACTGGATATGTTATATCGTGTCATGTGAATCTAGCAAACATAGATATACAAAGGTTAAGCAACACTCACATAACCTCAGAATAAATAGACCATGGACTATATGATGGTTGCCAGTACAAACTCCAAGGGGGAGCATTATACAAAGTGGTTATACAAAGTGGTCCCTACAGGCATCATGGTTCTTCATGGGTTAAATATAAACCAGGTCAATCTGTCTTGATTATCTGAGCTTTATGCACAAATGGGGTCACTTTTGCGTATGTGAGGAAATACTTGTGAGTTTGTACAGCTTCGGTAGTCTGTTTGAACGAATTTGGTAAAACTGGAATACTTAAATATACTCCTTTAACCGGGTGAGATTTTCTTGGATATATGTGGTGCCACTGAGGTCAAAAAGTAATTTTCCTGGAATCATTGATGGTGGTGATGGATAGAAGCACCACCTTAGCAGATCTTTCACTGCCATCTCCCTTTTATATGCAAATCATTGCCCCATCCTTTAAGCAACCAAACAATCACGTGCTGCAACATGGGCCAGGTCAGGCCAGTCAACCATTAACCAGAGCTGCTCAGCCCATATATCTGTAATTTTATCCATTGCACTCTATGGGCCATTATCAGAAAAAAGAGCAATCCTGTTGGCCAGAAAGACATTAGGAATATTGTAAGAGTCACCAAGGGTCAGCTTTCAAAAGCTAGCACATACCTATAGCCTGGCCACCTCTATACCTAGCTGGGCTCTTAGGAAACACAGGTGTCACCTGGAAAAAGCATACACTCTTCCATTCAGGACACATTCAATCTCTGCTGGGAAATAAATTGTGCAGATGGCACAACCTCTCCCTGACGTGCAGGCACCACCTTAGTCATGGTGCTTCCTTCTAAAGGTTATGCTTATGCAGATAATCAGGAAATGACCAGTGTAGGTGAGGAAACAGTTATGCCAACTGCAGGAATCAGTGGCCCTGTGCAAAAGCAACAAGGAAATACAATCTAAGTGAGCTCCTTCTTTCAAATCAAGGACGACTTTGGCATGTAGAAGGCCTTGCCTGAGCAAGAACACGGGTGAGCTTAGTTCTAGAATCTGATTCTGATGCCCAGATTCAGCCAGATGATACTGTGAAGCAAGAAGAGATGAGAGTGCCTCAAAGCATATACAAAGTATACACCAATTACAGCCAGTTGGGATTCTGAGGATGGGCTTTTCAGACAGGAGGTTCAGCTTTCAGGACTCAGAAAGAAGCACCATCACAGAATGAATGCTTGGGGAAGAACCTGGCACCATGACCTTTTCACATCCACCTTGCACAGACCCCTCTGCACTCCCCAAATCACCATGGCTGTTTCCACCACCAGTATTCTCCTGTCCCAGGCTCCAGAACTGAGTCACCCACAGTTTTGGCAGGCTGTGAATGAACAAGGCCTCTGGTGACTCATCAGATGTGTACCCACCACTTTCACTCCTCACAGGCTGTTGTAAAAAAGCATGTGCTGTTTTTATTAAGTCACACGTGCATGCTTATGAGAGGGTGTGTGCATGTGCGTGCAGGCAGCCAGCCCACCACCACAGCTCCCCCTGAACCATTTCACCCAGGGCTGGAAGAAGGAGCCCTGAACATCACTGCAGCAAGGAGCACAAGCACAGCACACGCAGCTGACAAACCATCTCACTACGCAAATCCTCCACCTCCCTTTCTGGGGTTCTGTCATAATTATAAGCTGAAGGGATAGGGGGGAGGAAGACGACAAAGACGACAAAGAAGTCAGGAACTAAATATAGAGGAAGCCAAACAACAGCTGTTCACAGAAAGAAGGGGGAGGAAGAAAGAATGGCAGTCAACCGAGAGGTGAGAAAGGCAGAATGAAGAAAACAGGAGAGGAAAAGGGGGAGTAATGGATGCTTTTTTTCAGATTTTTACATTTATTTAGATTCCTAACTTAACCTGTGAAACAAAATAAAGGGTTGGGAAAGATCACTGAAAGGTTTTGAAAACACACACTGGGCAGGTGTGTGTGTGTGTGGGGGGGGGGGACAAGCCTCAAATTGGTACTGAATGAAAAGGCATATTCCTGAAAAGTAGAAATGTTGAAACACAGTGCATTCTGATAAGAATCTTCTTCAAGGGCAGCTGTAAAATATTAACATACGTGACAGAACAGTAAAAGTAATACTAGGCCATTCTAGAGAGTAGCTAGTCTCAAGTAAAACCAACTAAATTCTGCAGAATATAGAAAGTACCATATCAATTCCTTGTAATTATATCCATCATGTACCATGAAATATCCAACATTAACTCAATCATCATGGTTATTATCAATTAGCTGCCTGAGCTGGGATGGGAATCCAGCACTAAATAGAACAGAATGGACTGGACAGAATAGACCAAGTCCTGACCACTCATTAGGAACAATGTTGAAATTCGAAAGTGAAAAGTATCAGAGTTAAGAACATAAAAGCTCCTGCTGGAAGAGACCAAAGGTCCATCTAGCCCAGTGTCCTGTTTTGCTGATCATGGCTGGTCAGATGCATTTGCAAAGGGACTGAAGGCAAGAGCTATCTCCTATTCTTGTTTCCCAATGTTATGAAAGGGACTGGCGATGGCTCGGGCACTCTAAGCCCTAAAGATGCAAGATGCATGATGACTGCTAGTGATTACTAATTTGTAAAAGAATGGTACTGTGCGCTGATGTTGTGCCAAAATGAGGAAGGAACATGAACATGTTTGTTCCTGTGAATGAACACACATGCTTTTTAGCAACTTTTCCACTCTATTTTCAAGTATGGACCTTTAGAAGCGGGTGGATGCAGGAGGGAAGA